CCTCCACCACGATCTCTCCATACTGGCACTTGAACATCAGATCATGAACACCACTAACAACCCCCCAGCATTCGCCGCATGCGCCCTCGGCCGCACATTCACCGTCTCCTTCGCCTGCCGCGCCGAACACCGCTCCATGAACAGCTGCATGAAGCTCCACGCCACACAATCCGCACACGACGAGGCACGCGAGGAGTGGTTCGCCCTACGAATAGAGCGCCAGCGCGAACGCGAGCGAAAAGCCAGAGTCGCACAGGCCCAGGAGGAGTTTATGCGGGAGTGGTGGGGACTGCCGGAGCATGTGCGGCTGTCGAGACAGAAAGAGATGGAGCAGAGGGGGGAGAGGATACACGGACTTACGGCGAAGGATAGGCCGAGGGGCGAGGGACAATGATAATGAATTGTTGCATCTGTGGCGTTTTGGGGTATTGGACATCTACGCTGGGGGGGTTGTAAGAATAAAAGGTGATGTGAGGATAGGACAAGACAGTGTACTACTATGATCAGGATCAATGCCGAGACGGCATTCCGAAAGATTCAGTTCAACTCGATAAGCATATGCAACCGCCCGAGTCCAACAGGGTGATGACCAACGCCGAGAATGTTTAAGAGCATGCATTGATGCTTGTCGACTGATGCCCAAACAGCCTCGTGCCCATGATCGTCATAGAGGCTACTCAACCCAGCCGACGAATTGTGACAATTGTCGCCAAGCGTGCTTATCAAACATTCATCAGCATGTGTTTCCCCCTCAAACACAAACAGAGTCTTCAGTGGTGGAATCGGCAGTTCATGTATGTAACTGTAACAGAGGGTTGCGTGCATCAAGCGGTGAACCTGATGTTTCAAGGCCACAGACGGTCAAACGGAAATAAGGCCTCTAACTTAGAGGGGAAAGCCTATATCTCCAGCCCCTCGAAATCTCTTCCAGAATCCATGATCCCTAACATCATCTTCATAGGCTCAATCCCTCCTCAGCTCATTACCGACTTATACTCCCCGCACAATATCACACAAATCACCCGCGCAGAGACCAGTAAAAACACTCCCCGTCCAACCCAAATCTTTTGGCCCCGACCAATGACGCTGCAGTTTCCCCTCTCGAGAGTCGCGCCTCCAGGGCGCTTAGGTCCCTGCTGCAGTGTGACATCCCCGCCAATTGGTCCATCTCCTTGATGCTATTTTTAACCGTGTTAGTCCCAAGATGCGAGCGCTTAAAATGTGCGATGCATGGAGAATATAACATCAACCAACATGCTTTCCATTCTGGGGAATTCTTACTGTTGTTTATCGATCTGTTTGACAATTTGTTTTGATCATGAAGCGATAGCAGCATAATCGGCATTTTCATCGTCTTGCTAGCCTAGACCTCATCTCTATTGATACCCCTGCTCTTCTGGGAAGAAGTATATACTGTTTGATACAGAAGAATGTCGACTCCAACCCCAGGCGGGTTCTCTCTATTCCCGAGTCCCAACTCATCGAAACCGCCGCCTGTCTCACGGAACCAAACACCAAAACCTCGCCGTTCTGAATCTCGCGAGAGGAGAGCTCCAACGCCCAGTGACAGACGAGCACCTACACCAAGCGCCGCAACACCACAGGCAATGTCTCCAGAACCAAGACCGGCGTCGCCGAGAAATGGACGACAGACTCCTCAGAATAGAGCTCACACACCCATTGAATTCGAGCCTGTGCAGAGTGAACCGCCCAAGCCTGTAAAGGTTCAGCGACCTAGACCGACAGTGCAAATCCCTGGGCGTTCTGATACTGGCTTTGCGCAGGGTAATACCCTTGTTCGAAGTAGCAGTGATCGATCACGAAGTTCAATCGCGAAACCACCCCTCGGCGGTGAAACTACTGCGCAGCCCTTACGATCTATCTTCCCGGCTTATAACCCAGAGGTACCACTCGGTCAACAGAACTATGTTCCCACAGAGATCCAACCAACTCAGATGCCGAGAGCTGTCATAAGTCGTCAGACATATCACGAAACACCAGCCGGATCAGCCCCTCGAAACCCCATTCGGAGTCCAGTCATAAGTCCCATGAGCGTTCAGTCAGCTCAATCAACATGGCCACATCGCAATGTCCAACAACAAGAACCACCGCTGATTCCAACGGTTAGTTCAAACGAACAGCTCAAGAACTACTGGAAAGTCGCAAACGGATGGCAAGCTTCGCCGTCAGAGGGTCGAGTCTACTGCATGAAGCTAGCTCAAGAGAAAGACGCCCCCGTGTACAGCCTCTCATCAACCTCACAGCCATTCTACAACCTCCGAATAGATCCAACGTCTGCTTCAGCATACGTCACTCTCACACGACATGATCCCAACAAACCATACAAAGCTCCCAAGCCTGAAGCTAGCTCCTCAGCGAGCAGTATCATCAGCGGCGTTGTCGGGCACAACAGTAATTCCTCTGGTACAAAAGTCACCGATACAAAACACTGGCAAGAAGCGCTCACCACGACCCTCGAAGAGGAATCCCGTCGTCGTCCTCCAAACGATGGCCTCGTCGCTCTTCTCATGCCAACACCCGCTACAAAAATGGCCATCGAGCGTGCTCAAGATCCTCAGTCCGTCATGCTAGCAGAGCGCGAATGCGCCCGTCTCGTCTGGGACGAAGACAGCTCCCACCACTTCCTCGTGCATCCCTCCCTCGCAACGCCATTCTGCGTTACAATCGAGCGCTCGCCGTCCTGGTCACGGGTAGAATACACCCTCGAGCACAACGAATCACCACAACATCTCGCCAAACTCACGCGCGACGGCACAGGCGGCGGCTGGCTCGAGATCGACACTGGCATCGCCGCAAAGATAGAGTCCTACTTCATCGTCGACGTCGCCGTCACAGCCCTTCTCCTCGTCGCATCAGCCGATGAGAAGAACATGCCCGCAATGGAAGTCTTTGAACCACCGCCCCCTCTCATCCTCACAGCCAAGCAAGAAAAGCGCCTGAGTAAAATCGGCAAACGCGATGAGAGAAAGAAGCGCCACATGGAGTCGTTCGAGATTGACGTTGAGAGTCAAAACGAGAGTTTGGGTAAAAGCAAACCGCGAGAGAAGGAGGATAAACTTCCCTTCCTGATCCGCGTCATCGTCAAGATCGTAAAGGGCCTGTTTGCATGCTTCATCTGGATATTGACGATAAGCTTCAAATGTGTCGGGTTCGCATTCAAGGGTTGTTACAAGTGTGTAGGATCAAAGTATTAATGAGGACACGGACACGGACATTTATTTTAATTCGAGCGCGGCCAGTTCTTTTTCTGTATCATAAACCCATGGTGTTTTGAAGGGTATCTATTAGCTAGCGAGCCGTAACGAACTGAACACGAAATGACAAAGAAAGGCCCAGATGAATATTGATTCCGTTGATGAGATTTATCGCTTCCGTGTCCGCACCATGATCTTCTTTCCTTTGCGTGTAGTTCCTCCCGACGTCGCTGTCTTTGCCATCTTTGCGCGCTGAATTTCCAATTCGCCCTCTGCGTCTGTAAGAGCCTTGAGCTTCTTTCGTGCATTCTCCAATTGTCGACGAAGGCGGCGAAGGGCCTTTGCGCGCTCGAAATCTTCTTCTTTCTTCTTATCGTCGTCGAATCCTTCGAATGTCTTGTCGGCGTCATCTTGGTCCTCGAGATCCAGTATTGTTTCCTCGCGCTGTTCTTCATCGTCCATGAATACAATCTTTCGGGGTGCCTTGGGTCTTGAAGGAGCGGTCGCAAAGTCGAATTCGGAGTCGCTGCCCTCGTCCTCATCGTCCTCATCCTCGTCAAGCTTGTCAAAACCTCGTGTGAGAACTACCTGCTCTTCCAATCTTGCTACTTCCTTCGCAACAACCTGTCGCATCGTTCGAATGTATCCGATATCCTGCGTCTTCAAAAGCCGCACGGTCTCAACGTCCATCGCCTTGTTTCCTCGATCGCCCTCAACCGTTCCGCTCCATCGCTTGCCATCCTGGATCCTGGAGCCCGGTCCCTTTCGGGACATCATACCAAAGTAAAACTCATCCTCGTTTCGCTCGGCCGCCTTTTCTTTGAGGTTCTTGAGCTGCGCCTTCTTCTTGTTGAAGTCCTTGGCTCGAAGCGAGTAATCCTGCAATGGTCAAAAGCTGGTTCGGTGGGGGTATCGGGAGGTCTACAAACCTTGTGCTTCTCGAGGAGACCGAGTCTTCGACGTTCTAAAGGCTGCGCACGCTCTCGGTGAGGGCGTCGCGCCACGGCATTTCGCATAGACGACATTTTGTTGTGTTGTGTTGTGTGTATGGCGAGATGCAAAAGAATCAATCGTCGGCGCTTGTCAGAGCTGGAAAAGTGGCAGAATTTTTGAGATTTTTGGCGGTGAGCAAAGCCACATTTCCCTGGTTGCACCGCCACAATTGATGTTCAGTTAACCTTAACATCGTCGGAAGCTAGATTCACATCCGGTAAAAGCTCCAACCTCAAAAACGTTTGGTCTGGTCTTGGCGATGCCATACCAAGCTTTTTCGTCTCAATTATCCGTAGTATCATGAATTGTACCTTGGCTGGTGGCTAATCAGGGGGTTTCAGCCCGTCAGCAGCTTTGACTTTTGGCTTTTGGCTTTCAGGGCATGCACCCCTGAAAATCGCCCTTTTCTCAGTGAGGGATACGAGAAACAGGCCGTGCATATCCCTTCCTCCACCTGATATGTCATACTTGGACACTAAAGACGGTAAGAGTGACTGCGCATCTCGCGTCTGCAGATTATGTTTTATTCTTAGAAGCTTAAAGCTTGCGTGTCAGCAAGTGGAGCGAGTGTTTTATTCCTTGTCTCGAATCCTTGTTCCCGATCCCTTTAGTTGTTATAAGATCTTGGCTGACCCCAACTGTTCTTACCTGTTCATCTTTTTCACGGTCGGCATTGAGTTCAGGTGGTATTCTCGACGCTCTCTGCTGTTCCAATGGTGACTTGAATCGACACAGTATCATTCCTTAATTTTTCTTGTTTCTGTATTTTTTGAGTGCTATACTTCATCAAAAATGGGCGTAGGTCTGCCATTCACCCCGTCCAGGGCATTATTATCACTCTTCATCGCATTACTCGTATTCTACTGCCTTTTCAGCGAAATATCAGGCCCCAGCATTCAATTCATCCCCAGCAGCTATGACTGGAGCAAACACACCCTCCGGTATCCATTGACCATCAGCAGCATGGCCAAACCCCCGCGAGGATCACCAGTCAATTTGCCACGTATCCAGCACGACTTCTCCAATCCCGAATTGAGGAAACGTGAACTTGAGACCGCGGATCAGAGGAAGAAAGACATCAAGCAGGCATTTAAAAAGACTTGGAGGTCTTATGAGAAGTATGCTTGGGGAAGCGATGAATTGAAGCCTTTGAGCTTGGAGGGTCGTGATACTTTTGGTGGGTGGGCTGCCACCATCTGCGACAATCTCGACACGTTGTGGATCATGGGTATGAAGCGGGAATTTTACAGAGCCGTTGACTTTGTGACTCGCATGGACTGGGATATTCCGACCGCCGATGGATTCAACGTTTTTGAGACTACGATTCGACATCTTGGTGGTTTACTGTCAGCGTATGAACTCAGTGGAGAGAACGCCTTGCTGGCCAAGGCAATTGAACTGGGAGATCTTTTGTACGGTACTTTCGACAACCCTGAGCATATGCCACCGCACACGATCAGATTCAAGACCCTCAAGGAAGGGTTGGGTCATCCAGAACCGCGACAGAGCGCTGCTAGTTTGGGTAGTATGAGCATGGAGTTCACCCGTTTATCGCAACAGACCGGCAACCCTAAGTACTACGATGCCATCGATTACATCACTAAAGCATTTGAACGAACACAAAACGAGACTGCCATTCCAGGATTATGGCCTCTTCAGATAAATGCTGAGGACGGCTTCAAGATTACCGACGAGACATTTGGTATGGGCGCCAACGGCGACTCACTGTATGAGTACCTCATCAAGGAGTACGTTCTTTTACAAGGTCTCGAACCCAAGTATGGGAAGATGTACCTGGCTGCCGCCGAAGCTGGAATTAAGCACCTGATGTTCCGACCGATGCTTCCCGATCAAGATGACGTTCTCATGCTGGGCGAAGCGTCGTTCCCCCCTCGAGTCAAGGAGTCGCGATTGAGTACAGGCGTGGAGCATTTGACCTGCTTCGCTGGAGGCATGTATGCCCTTGGCGGCAGAGCTCTGGGACGAGATGACCACGTTGTTATTGGCGAGAAGCTCGCTCGTGGATGTGCAAAGGCCTACGCTGCGTATCCCAGTGGCCTCATGCCAGAAATCGTGCAAGTCGAACGCTGTCCGACCCTCGAGCCCTGCGCCTTCGAGCCAAAGTATAAAAAAGAGCCTCTCGGTTTCCGCGCAAGAGAGGCATCATACCTTCTTCGACCCGAGACCATCGAGTCTATTTTCTACCTGTATCGTATCACTGGCAAAGAAGACCTTCGCGACATTGCGTGGAACATGTGGACTGCGATCCGCGCTGCTACTGAGACGGATAACGCGTTTGCGGCGGTGGAGGATGTCGGTGCTGAAGAGATCAAGCATAAAGATTATATGGAGAGCTTTTGGATGGCTGAGACGTTGAAGTATTTCTATCTGATCTTTGAGGATGAGGAAGTTATTAGTTTGGATGAGTGGGTGTTCAACACGGAGGCTCATCCATTGAGACGCATGGCTAGTTGACGGTCGGAGAAGATAGAAGCCAAGTAATATTAACATTCGACTGTCCAATAGAGGCTCAGTAATAACATTCGGAACCCCAATGCCATCTAGTCTCATCCAGCCTATCTGACTGACCCCATCCCTGTTAAGGCGTAGTGACTCCTTTCTCAGTGCAGGGACCAGGAGGGCCTCAAAAACAAGCATACAAAGCTCTGACTTGGTCTGTTTCCTACTCAACAAAAATTCACGGTCGACCAACACAGAAACCAAGTGGATATCATAATTTCGGGACACGGCTCGCGTTCTGGTTGTGCTTCCGGTTGGTTGGTGAGTTTGCACGCTCTGCTGACCAGACGTCGGCGTGTCGTGGCTCAATCAACCAGGCACATAGCATTGGGGATGCTGCACCAGGCTGTCAGCCAAGTCACTGGGTCTGCCTTATCAACGGGTAGACTCACCCCGCTTGTTCGATTTCTCGTGCCCAGAGACCGGCTTCGCTGTTTCGGTGATTTGTGGTGACATTTAACAGGATATAATTTGGGTTGAACAGTGAGATATAGTGAAGCAATGGCATGCAATATGATGTTCTAATCTTGAGTCAAGGTACTTACGGCGTGGAGGGACTTTAAATACTATCAATAATTCATCGGGTCATTGACGCCGTTCAATCGTGATATGATCAATGATTGATCAATGATTGATCATTGATCTATCAGTGATGGGTTTTTGATACACCCAAGATGCACTAATTTTTTAGTGTGCCAACAACGGGCGAGCTTTGCTTTTTAACCTCATGACACGAACTACAGAGCCGACCGCTTCAGCATTGATGGACTGGGATGAAGCCAAGGAGGCCCAAAAATCCGAATCCGACAGCCAATAGAATCCCCCCCGCTCGCTCAGGCGAGCATGGCTAAGAGCCCTGCCGGGAACCGGGAGCTCTAGTAGATCTTACTTCTTGTTCATCCTCTACATGGATCAACCTAGATTCTTTCTGGGGGAGATGTTGTTCTGGATGGGGTTCCGTGATGAGCCCAGTGTTGAAGCACAGTGGGTGAATAAGTGGATGCAACAAGAAAGGAGTAAGTAGATAAATTAAGGCACCTGGCGAACCATTCTGTTGTCCTGGCACCTCCGTTCCTCTCTTCTTCTTGTCAACACAAACCTCCTGTCCTTCGCCCCCACTAGGATGATAGACGAAGCTCTTGTGGAGGTTGACGGGCTCTTTGCGGGTCTCATTTACCTCGATGCGACAGATCCCCCGCTCCTCAAGAGAACTTCAAAGGACTGGTTTCAAAATAGTCTTGCTGCTAAGCTAGACGTTATCTGCAATGCTTGCGAAACTCGCCCGGAGACCGACACGTCCAGCGCATCATCTTCCACGAACCACGAAGGCATCCTAGCCCGAAACGCCGCATGGTCCTCTATTCGAACAGTCCGAGACGGAATGCAGATTCTCTGGGATCATTTCGTCGATGTTTCCCGGGTTCTAAATACACCGACAATTGATAGCCTACGCAAGAGCTACCATGATGCTCAAGGCCTTTGCTATGAAGGAGTGTTTACATTCCGCCATACCGCCCTTGACCAGAGGCACGACGACTTGGTCGCGATATTTGCCTTTTGTAGCTTGTCATATGTTATTGCTCGTCTTTCCTGTGCTCGCAATAGAGCCAACCAGATCGATATAGCCGCCGGTCTCCGGTCATGGCGTGATGCAATCAAGGAAGAGGACGAGCGACAGGCCTTTGATGCTCTGGCCGTGCAGATGTGGCCAGAAGCAATTAATACAGTCCATTTTCAGCCATTGGCTCGATCTGCGAGCACTCACGGCCACAGTGGTAGCGCGTCTCCTGTGCCTTCTATCCCCTACCAAAGCGCAATACCACCACTTGCTCCTGGCCTTAGCAGCACGCAGCCATTTGACGGCAACCAGCAAGGTCAGGAACTCTCCAGTATCATGGGGAAAGACTTCATCCCAATTCAGGATACATGGCAAGATAACGAGAGAGTCAGTAATGGCACGACAAACACCTCCACAGCTGTCAGCGGGAGTACTCAAAGCTTAACGGACCTACTGAATGATGCCTTTCTCTTGCATGCAACAAGCAACGAGCCATACCCTGACTATCGGGCCTGGTCAGACTCGGGCTCCATTCTGTCGCAGACCTTCGACATGACGGAAGGGCTGAACTGGACAGCATTCAGAGACCCAACAGGTCAGTCAGCTGGCTATACCAAGGTCATCACCGATTACGCCCAGGAATCGAGTGATACAGCCCTGCCGGAAACAACATCTTGCACCAGCGCCCTACAAGAGACACCAACATTCATGGTTGTCAGAGATTATATCCGCGACAACTGTAACTTTTGGCACCGACTCGCCGGCTCCGGTATAGTGTCTAAAGACCACAAATCACGTCGCTCATGGCAGCAAAAAACACCAGCCTGGATGGAGTGCAAACAGACATCATCATACATCCAACAACTGCGATCTGTGGAGCACACTCGCAATACAGAGTCGTGTGGTATTGTCGCTGTTGCTGCAGCTTACATCAGATGGGGGTTTCTTCAAAGTGTCGAAGATACAAAGCTTTATATGGCAAAACTGGGAGATGTAAGTGAGATCCATACAGAAAACAAGATAGCGAAACTGATTTGACCGGCCATAGTTGCTATTAGACACCGAAGAAGACCGTGAAGAGTTCTGCACATGGATTCAGGGCTTTTCGGGTGACAATGAGTACGTCGACATGCTGGTCTAGCTGATGAGTGACTGGCTGACAATCGTCTAGGAAACCATTGCTATGCCCATGCTGCCCTCACAGAGACAAGCATGCCAGCAATCTGGCAAGACACATAAAAAACAGACATGGGAATGCTGAGTATGAGAAATACAGGCAGCGAATCAAGGCTCTAAGACCAAAAAAAAAAGTTAAAGCCAACATCACGAAGCCAACAGGAGTGATAAACTCGGGGTAAGACTCGCAGGAGCAAAAGTATAAGTGACTACAGTGACGGGCAAACAGTGGCCCAAGAACTCAATAGAGAGTTTAGATATGTATATTGATGGTTTAATGGGATAAAAACGGAGGATATTTGCTTGGGATGGCAGGGAAAACTGGATTATAGACGATTGGGATTTAATTAAATGTATTGATCATAGACCTGCATCGAAGTATGATCCCAGCGGGTGATCACCGTGGTACTTCCATCAGCCCAGGCTAACCAAGATCTACCAATGTGCGCCTCTGCCGACTGATCCAACGAACATCTCCGGCGAATGTTTCACCCGTTGACAAGGCTGACATCGGACCCCGGTTTTCCGCCCCCAGATAATCGCGTCGTGACCCTTGCAATGGTTCTTCTTGGTCACCGCTTGGCAGGCTCAGTCGCTCGAGTCCTTGTTGGCTGCATCTGCACATGCACGAGCGACCAAGCCAAGGCTCTACTGGTTTTGACTGTCTGCTATTAGCATTAGTTTCCAAGAATGTCAATCAGCGCTGTGGTCTACCGATAACCATGGGACTTCCAGCAATATATAAAAGCCAGTTGTCCACGAAAGTAGAGTACGCACTGGCATGACCCGTGAAACGCCTATGGGCAATTCGGCCTCTTGAGGGTTTGTTGGTTAGTGTCTGCACAAGCACTGGTGACCGGGGCTCAGCCCGTTTTGGCAGGTCCAACCACTTCTGCATGGCTGGCGGAATTGCTTGGCAAACAGTAATGAAACCAAGTCTGATTTGCTGAACAGCAGTGACTTCACGTTGTGGTGGTATTCTGGTTGGCTTGGTAGGATCTTCCCAGCTTTCAGATGTCGTATAAACAGCCAGCAATTATGTTTCATCAAAACCCAAGTACTGGGAATTCTCTATCGGCATCACAGATGAACAAGTTCTAAATAATATCTTCCTTTAATTGGTAATTTATGTAGCCATCTTCACACCTAACGCCACTTCGACTCCCCTGTTTCTCAAGCTCGATGCGATAACACAATTGTGTTGTGGCGCTCCAGTTAGCCATCAGCCGTTACAACCGGGGGGTCTCAGCTGAGTGGCTCGGCCGAGTCCCCGTTGGTTGTGTTGGTGCATGCAAGGGTGACCAAGGCCCAGTGTGTTTTGACTCCGCCAGCCAGGTTTGAAGCGCAACTGACGAATTTCCTTCAAATAATGTAAGCGAACCGTCTCATGGGCACTCGATTGGCTGTGTTTGCTTACCGTTATGGTGAGTGTGAGGCTGAGAACCAGTTTCTTGAGGCATGATTGAAGGTAGGTGAGGGATCGTTTTGAATGACAATGTATTGTTCGATAAGTTCGTTTAGGAACAATCCGACGTCTACTGTTGTTCAGAAGATATTTATATAATGTCCAAAAAGCTCGATTTACTCAGAGATCAATTGTAGGTTGCTCAGTCGCTCAACACTCTCGTCGTCCAACTACATGAGCAACTCACGAGCGGTGCTTGAGCAATCTACGACAGGTTCCCTGCTCAATTGTAAACTGAGCTCACAAAGGCCTGTCATACATACCCATTACCACGTATTGTGCCCGCGAGCTGCTCATTTTGCCCCCCTTAGCCCATCAGCTGACGCTAAACAAATAACGAGCAAAGTCTGAAACCCGTGAGCTTCTCTCCCTGCTCATATTCTTTTTTCTTTTGCGCTGTCCGACTCCCATACAGGGTAGCATCTCATCATGCTCATGAGCCGCTCGTGTGGCTGCTCTTATTTCACCAGCTGCTCACGGACCAACAACAAGCAAGTCTAGCAGATCCATGAGCAACTCCTCCTGCTCATATACTTTGTTGCGCAGCCGAGCGACTATTACGGGTGGTGACATCTCATCGTGCTCGCGAGCAGAGCGAGCAGCTCATGAGCAATTGACGTGGCTCATAATTGCTTTTGGGCGATGCATTGAGCAAGCAATCGTTGCCCATTATGGTTAAAGTCAACGTATGCCAAGGCATTCTAGCCCGCCGATCTCCCATTTTGAGCGTAGAAGTCACTCCGGGCCGTGCTCCCGTTCTCAGAGAGCCGCATGGCCTCAGAGGACTAGAAAGAGGAGTACCGGCCTCTCATAAATTCAAGCCACGGGCGAACCATTTTCACCTTTCTTTTTCAAGTCAGTTGCCTCTTGTACTTTCTCAAGCGCAGCCCCATCACTCGTCAATTCTTGAGATCATACCTTGCAGAGATGCCTTATCTCGATCAATACAGCCCCTTGTACTCATACGCTGGTGGCAGCACGCGCACTGGCGTCGGGGGCTTAAGAGCAGCTGAACACCTCGGAAGAGCACTCGCAGAAGTAGATGGCCTTTTTGCTGGCTTCACGCACCTTGACGAAACAGAACCTGAGTCGAGAAACAGTCGGTCCAGTAGCGGTCACGACGACCTTGCACTTGAGCTGGACTCATTGTGCAATACAGCTCCCACCAACAGCACCCCAGACTCACAGCCTGATTCCACCGACCCCAGAAATCAGGCTCGGGAAAATGCGTGGGCGTCCATACGAACTGTTCGGGAGGGAATGCAAATTCTCTGGGAACACTTCGTCGACGTTTCTTACGATGTCAACCTCCCAACCATCAACAACATTCGTGCCGAATACCACGACTCCAGAGGCCTTCGTCAAGCAGGCGTCTTTGCTTTCCGGAACACGCTGACCGGACCAGCACCCAATGATCTCGTTAAGATCTTCGCCTTCTGCAGCTTATCATATGTTGTGTCCCGTCTTCTTTACTCAAGAGGACGACTGGCAGAAGGCGACATCCTCGCTGGCATCCGTCTGTGGCTCAACGCTCTCGAGGATGAAGACGAACGAAAGGCCCTTGAGGTTCTCGCGAGGCGACTTTGGCCTGAAGCACGAAACCATCTGCATTTTATTGACTTGAACTTGGGAGAGCAGTCGCGCAAGCTAGCGACCTCTCTGCAACGAGCTGAGACGCCATTCTCGGCGCCGTCGACCCAGACATACCCAGTCTTACCACTTACCAGCCTTGGGCCTCAGACACAGCCGCTGTATGAGCAACCGGCACCGGCGTATTCATACGAATTGGGAAACTCCCATGACCTGGCTATTGCACCAGGCATTGGGACCATAGACCCGGTGCTGTTGAACATACTCGCAGCGGACATTTCGCCAGCCTACGTCCACAATCTGACCGATCGGACATATCACGAGCTCAATTTCTCCCTCGCACTTCCTGAGACGCATTCTCAAGTTCCTGGACCAGGCCCAAATCTCTGGCATGGGTTTGATCCAGGCCCAGTGCAACCCCCTCACCTTGATGTCGGTGCAATGGAGGGCATCACGCCTTGGAGTGCGATACCGCAATGCAACATTGGCAGCCCGATCGCCAGCACCTCGAGCCACGAGTCATACAGTCAATCTCCGTCTAGCACAAATACATCCAACGACATTCTCACATCCCTTCAGGGTACTTCTGTATTCACAAGTGTGTTGGAGTACATACGAGAACACGGAGCATTCTGGTTCAGGCTCGCAGGCTGCGGACTGGTATCGAAAGATCTCCGGTCATGTCTCGCCTGGAGTCAGGAGCGTTCAAGGAAGAGAAAACAGATAGAGGCCAGTTATATACAGCCCCTATCGTCCGAGAAGTACACCAGAGACCTACCAGCTCGTGGGATAGTCTCTGTTGTGGAAGCATTCTTCGATCAGGGCTTGCTGCAAAGCATCGAGGACATCAAAAGCTACATGGAGCGTGTCGCCGGCGTAAGTCCATTTATTTGACTACGTCTTTGCTAGCTGAGCTAATATGTATACCGCAGCTATTGTTCAGCGACCGGGTCGCTTGCCAGGAGTTCCGCGACTGGGTCGACGGCGTTCAAGGGAGTCCGCAAGCTTCCTCGTCCACTCCGAGGGCGACGACCAAGTTGTATGCCACACCAACACTTCTTTCATGTGTTTATTTACTGATATCGGTTTAGAAAACGTCTATCTTGTCCAAGATGCGAATACACAAGCGACCGATCGTTCAACATGGAAAGACATCACAACATGCACGAAAGGAATGAAGAGGATAATAAGAAGAAAAGTAGGAAATCTTGAAAATGGTTTATGATACCTTGTGGCTAGAAGAGCGAGAGGAGTAGTAAGCGATAGAATTGATGATCTCTGGGAAGATCGCCTCGAGATTCTGCGACGACTGCGAAGTGCTGGAAATTGAAACCTTAAATTTCCGAACGGCAAGGTCATTTAGTCGTGAGAATTTAGTTTTTATAGAATTGTTTCTTGAATGAAAATAAAGAGCTTTACCTTGAGTCTTCATTCGTCTGTGGGAATGAAACGTCGAACCATCTTCCCCAACGTTGAGAGTATTGACCCGCGATTAATGGCATCCCGACGCCCTAGTTACTTTGCAACCTCAAATTCTAAAATGAAGCTCACACGTCCGAGGCACTTACGACGACGGTTGACCCTGTTTGCGTCACTGAAACATTCAACAATACGTTGACAATGTGGGGGCCATTTCCTTGACAAGACAACACAGCCACGTACAGTATTATCCATGTCCGACTGAGGATGAAGGGGTGAACGCAGATCATGGACCGCGGCCCTAGCTCGGCTCATCAAGTATTGGATCTCGGAAGCTTGGGGATGCGCCTAAGCTTGGGTCTAGTTTAAGGCACGTAATTAAGTTAACTCATAAATAAAGATCAGGCACCCCTGATCTTGTGGGGTGAAGATTCGCGGTCTGCCACTGGCTCGGCTACTGGCTGCGAAGCTGATGGCTCAAGCTGATGGCAGCCGGAAGCCCGGGCGGATGTTGCAAGATGACATGTACCTGCTTATCCTTCTACGCCTTGATCTTCTAGACTGGGCATGATGGGGCTCCGCATGGATCTAATGAGCATGTCTAGAAGGCTCACTGGGGAAGTGCGACATGTGAGGGAAACGAGACGGAGGACAAATGAACAAAACATAAATATATATATATATATATTCTTGGATACCGATGGTTTGTGTTTCTAGATCACTTTTGTTGTTCGCTGAGAGTTTTCTCAAGTGCCTATTACCACCTGCTATCACCACGCATATTCAAGACATGTACCTTCACTGCAGTTCAACCACCAGCGATGGTCTTAATGCGCTTTTAATAGATCGAAGTTTGACGCTTTTGACTGAGACGGAGCTCAAGCATCTTCACAATGTCAATGCACGGCTGTGGGACTTATCCTTCCAACCAACTCCTGGTGTTACTCAGCCATTTGTTACAATTCCTTTTCATTCTCCAGGCTCCCCATCGCAACCCACCACGTCGCCACCGTCATGGACCCAGCAGGCTACTGGTATTACTGAGTTGCTAAATGAATGCAACAAGCTGTATGGCTATGGTTTTGCGTCCGTATCAGAAGGAGAAACTCCCGTCTCGTCGCCATTAAGACCTCTAGAGCAAGTTATCTCGAAGGGCCGCGACAAGTCAAGGTGTGTCACCAAAACGCGATCTCCGTTTCGGTTTCTTATACTAGGCTGGTAGAGGATTATTATGCCCCGAGTGTCGCTCTTATACTAGCAATCGCTCCTATAACATGAAGCGACACCAGAGAGCATGCCAAAAGAAAGTCAAAAGTGGTGTCGCGAGAGAGGGGAAGACCTTAAGATGGCTTGACAGGCAAACCAAGGTAGAGAGAGAATAGGGTCAAAATGGAGTATGATGAAGGTTTTGCCAAATGAGTAAATACTTGTCGCGGCTTAGATGTAATTGGAATGGAGTTGAACTGGTTACGGTGGGAGAGCTGGCAACGTCAGGGTATAGATATGAGTCGGATGCTCAATTATTAACATTACATTGGAAAATGAGCCCTGAATAGCGAGGCGACGACCTGGAAATGGTCTCTATTGTGCCTACATAATGCAGCTCATCCTCTCTTCTGTTACGGGTTCGGCGACTGTTTTGTGTCAAGCGATTCATGGCATCTCTCACTCTCAGGCAGTTACGCCGAGAGTCTCACCAGAAACTCCAAGCCACACGGCGACTTACCAATGGACAAACGTTTCTTCAATGTTATATTACTGGCGTTTTGAATACTCCATCGACGCAATATCTCCGTATCTGTTCTGAGATATGATGTTGTCAGATTTACGATTCGGTTTGACCATGGCCCGCCAAAGCAGTCGTATCCTCCAGGAGACTTTTGATTGACTTCGCCAGGCAGATCTTCAGCGATGAGTGGTACATCGATGTAATTGTACCACACGAGAAATAAGGTACCGGGTCTCAAAGAATCTGTATTTGGGCCCTGACTGCAAGAAACACAGCGCGAGAAGGCATCGCGCACTCGTTTATGAGAGCGGAGTCACCTATAAGTGAAGAAGAAAGCAGAGAGTCCCTCGACATTGGAGGAGATGGCGGCGTTGTGCGAGGAGAGTAATAGATGGAGTGGCGAAGGATGCAACTTAATCGGCGAGAGCAGATGGGCCCATGAGAGCGTGCATACCGCGACTAAAGAACTTGGACGAACGAACATCGATGCATGAACTGGTTGATTGAGATTTAAAATGTATGTGAAGAGCAAATAAGGCTCTGAGGGATGAATTGGGAAATGCGGTCTATTTAAAGTACATAAATATCAACTACCAAGCTTCGTTGAGAGCCCAGAACCCAAGACCTCTCAATGCGTGCTCCTGTCGATCCATTCGAAGAATAATTTGCCAGCTGGCAATGAGTAATCTACCCCAGCCAATCCTTCTGTGTCCCTTGCAGCCGATTTTCTTCGTCACAGCTTGGGCTGTTCAGCCGCTCGAGCCCTTGTTGGTTGTGTCTGCACCTGAACATGCGACCAAGGTTCCGCTTGTTTTGACAGGCTCAACCAGTTCTGTAGGGCTGGAGAAATCTCTTGGCAACTGTAAGTAAAGCACACCCGACTTGCCGTGGCTGCTTACCGTCGCGCTGGTTTTGGGGTTGCTTTGAACTGATCTTCTCAGCCTGAGTCGTTTCTTGAGGCATCGTTGATCGCGAGGGCAGCGGTCCACTTCTGTGCAACTCTGATGACGATATTTCGTTTGTGATCTTTTGTATTCGTTTTATGAATTGGTAATAAACTTCATTTTGCGGATGTATGGGCTACATATATAAGCTTCAACCAGCTGCCCATTTCTACGACTCGAGTTATATGGCCTTCAACGCAGCATCTCATCAAGCTCCCCTTTGCTCGCGAGCAAACCTAGGACTTGCTTTGAGCATGCGAAGAGCAAAGAGCGATTACGTAGGCTCATATACGTTTTTTCGCTCGCGGAGCACGCTGTGACTGACTCGTGGCTTGCTTGCTACCCTTGCGAATTACTCATTCGCCATGCTCAAGAACTCTGCTCAATTGCGGCATAGTTAGAAGAGAACAGGGCCATCACATCATAAGCGGTGGCGCGGCCTTCAGCTGAAACCGAAAAATGCACCGAGCAAGACAATGGGTCAAAGTCGACGCCTGGCAAGGCGTTCTGACCAACAGCAGAATACAGCTCCGCTATTGCTGACGGCTACGTCACTCACCCATCAAAGAGCCAAGAGACTGGGAGACGGGAATTGTTTTCTCATATCAGGTGAAACATCGCAACATTCGACTCGCTCTGTTGTCTCTTGCACTTTCACCTGCGTAGCGGCATGCCTCACCAATCGCGGAGGCGGACAACTGCATAGCACGCTCTCTACAACTCACTACCACGGAGCCTGAGCCGAGACAGCTAAAAACTTCACTCTGACTCCAGGCAGTTCTCAATTTTGAGCGAATTCGTCCAGGATTACAGCCCCCAATGCATCAGCTGCACCGCCTGATTTTGCTTGTCCCCGAAATCAGTCGGGGTGCAAGGGCTGGGCGGTTTACTCAGACAAGTGCTCTGTGAACATTTCTTTTCTATTCTGCAACATTTCCCCACGGACGCGATCGACAGTATGCTCGCAGGATGTAACGATACGAAGGTGGAAGAGTTCGCTTTTTACATCATCCCTTGCCGAGCGTCCAATGAACACCCCAAGATACAGTAAATGGGCAACTTCCCAGCGACACTCTTATTACGATGTAGCGATGACCCCATTGAACGTCATTCATCAATCAGGCCTGTGGCCTGATTGACTCTTGCTGCTGAGCATTCTTGCAACGGCCATTTCAACAACCTTCCTTCATGCACACAAGAGGCACGATTTCTCACTCGCACTCTCTGCGAGGAGGCCCCCCTCGGTCATCAATCGCTCGAAGCTCGCCAGAAACGACTCTGTTGTAACGAGCATCACCGCTCGAAGGGCAATACAGCAGACGAGCGACGACGAAGCATATCCCCGTCCTTCATCGGGTACAGATACAGGTTCAGATACCAAAGTGCTTTGCCAATAGTTTTATTATCTATGGCCGTACTGGAGCCCTTAGCAAAGGGGTTGTCTTGATGGTTAAATCTGCTGGCTATGGACTGTTGCCGAGAGACATCACGTCCCATCCTTCTTAGCATGACAGTATAGAACTATTGCCCAACCTTACACTATATCTTGGTGGAAGCACGATTGATCTTCCCCTTCTGAGGCGTATCGGTACTAGTAAACCAGCGATCGAACGGGTAATATGAAGAGTTGCCCTGTGAGACGAGTAGTGAGGGCAAGAAAAATAATAAAAGACCTCAAGCACGTAAAATTGGCCAATTTTCTCGAAGGCAGGTGTGAAAGGTGATAGAAATAAGCTTAAAACTGTTAGTCTTAAGGTTGTTCAGAAGACGACTGACGACTGTGGCGGATCAAAGTAGTAGCTGCTTGGCTTTCCGCTTAACTCGCTGGAATACGAAGATCAAGAGTATTTGAGGAGCATGGACTCTCGGGCATTTAACCTCGGGCATTTCATCTGGCAATAAAAGCATCCGCAGCCAGTTCAAATGTCTGGTCATACAGCACGTGTCATGTTTCTTCTCATTAACGCTTCAGCCGATCTGGTTAGTCACGATCACCAATTCATATACAACCTTAATTTGACGAGACGTCGATGCACTCTGAGTCTGCCTGAGCATATTAATTGGTAGCAATCCAGACAAGGCAGAATCTGGTTGTCTTAATTTGTATATCATGAGATCTCATATGCATTCACTTCCGAAATAACACCGAGCGTGGAAGCAGTATTGCGCTTCTCTGATGACCTCGAGCTGGTGCTGTATATGAAGCTAACCTCAAAATCACAGCTGAGATATATCTTTGGCTCCCGACTGTCCAAGATATGGTTAATATGGGAGCCGACAATAGTTCTCATTAATTGAGCCAGTTGGGTCTGCTGTATGATCTTGCACAGGCCGAAGGCTCACTTGGAGCCTTGCTGAGTGAGATCAATCCTCTGAAGTGAAACTGACTTCCATTTATAGAGCGGCTATGCTACTTTTCAGCGCAGACGGGAGAGACCATCGTCATGAAATGTCGTCTTTTCCGTCTTTTCCACTCCGTACCTGACACGCGTCTTCAGGGCGGAATTAAAACTGACATCTAAATCAGAGGGTTGCCAGCATCCTGTTGTAGGCCAATCATCAAGGGTCGTGTGTTTTCTCCCACCGATGGTTATCGGGCGAGATCAATTCTGATAAATGATACCCATGGGGTTCATAGCACCACCACCGTAATCCTCACCTGCTCCCCAAAGTTCGTCCACACCTCCTGCATACGACACTCCTGAACCGTTCGCAATTGCAGTAGACACGCCTCCAACCACCCCCCATCTTCTCTCCAAGGTTTCAGAGAATCTTCTCTTTTCTTTCATTTCCCTTGCCTCTCCATGGCCGCAACTGTCCAATTGCGAAGGTGAACAGCAGCACTTAGAAGCCAAAACAAATAGATAAATACAGGCTCTTGGCCACGATTATCTGGTGTTTCCCGATAAGTTCTACTTTTCTTAGTAATTTCCTCTTAGTTATCAACATCAAAATGTACGGCAGGTGTTCTCTTTCCAGCTCCTTTGTTAGCCAATATTGCAGTATTGTAAATACGGGATCCCACCTCGCTTCTCTCAATAACGCAGAGCCTCAGCGCCTTCACGACGTCAACAAAGACTTGTGGCAACGTACATTTCTATCAGTTATGGGAAGCGAACATGATAAATCATCTACTCTCAATATAACTTTTGGCCTACATGGCAATTCCTTGCCTATACTTAACCCGGGATCTCTGCCCCAGCCCCAGCATGCCCATGCATTCCCCAGCCCTAACACCCCAAACCACTATAACTTTGCGTCACCACAACCCGCAATTGCAGGCCCTGAGCTTAAATCCGAGCCCAATCAGGACGCCACACCAACCCAAGTTCAAAGCCCTCGGTATGTGAATTGATTCGCTGTTATATATATATATATATATATATAAATAAAGAGGTATTTCTGACTTACACCAGGCGATGCGGTAGCAGGCCTTTCTCATGTCCTGATTGTCGCACTTATGCCACCAATCGTAGATACAACTTGAAGCGACACCGAGAGACGCGGCACCGAACAATGCGACACAGCCATTAAGAGGAAATAGAACCTTACGATTGAGAAACTTCGACTTTTTACGATGATGAATGATGCCTTGGGCGGGAAGCGGTCGACGGACGTACAGGCGCAACGGCAGGGAAATTGGCGACAAGCAAGATGCAGCTGAAGAACTCGGTACAGCGAAGGGAGAACTTATGACTATTTCGTTGTATATTTTTTCTTCGGTTGCAACATTTCATATTGAAGAGTATTAATTAGAAGAGAAACATGTAAATATGTATACAATAAATACTGAATTGACAAAATTGGGTTTAAGCGCAGCGGTTCGGGCGTCAAAACAAACAAGATAAGGGAAGATTCAAGTCCGGTGTTTGAAGACGGGAGCGATCTCTGTACCTGGGACCGTTGCTTATTGCATCTTCAAGCCTCTCGCATTTTAGCAAGGCCACCCAAGCCTTGGAAGCAAGTCCATGTATACATCAATTGCCAACATTTTCTCCATCAATTTGCTACAGTAAATGGCCCAAGACGAATGTGCGGTATCTGCAATCTTGCTCCCCATCAAAGCTGTTCCTCTCTAGTGATAACTTGTTGCGACTAAGGATCAATTGCAGCCAACTCGTTCAGCCAAGCTATGGAGCATGCGAGCCTATCACCTACGAGAAACAGAATGTATTCACAATAAAAGTCTCCACAGCCTACCAGTCGCAAACTGAGATTGATAGCTAGAGACGAATAAAAGATAACTAGCTCGTCCGCACCGGAGCCACGGTCATGAGTCTGACGGTGCCGCGGTCGGGGGTAGTTACAGGGAATGAATGCACGCTTGGATTGGGTGGGTGAGTGGGAAAGGGTGGGATTGGGTCCAACTCCACAACACGATATACTTAAAATGGGGCGGTATAGGTACCCTGTAATTGATACATGATATCGAGGTTGAAATGAAGAGAGGTCTCTACTACGGTATACATGATGTTGATGTATGAACATAGTGTTGAGGTTGAACATGGCTCACAGTAAAGATAGTTGAATAACACTGTATGGAAATCAGTGGGTTCCCAATCAATCAACGCCATGAGAGGCCTAATAAGGCATTTTAGGGGGCCATACGGTGCAGGTACTTTTTAGGTACTGTAAGATCTGTTCGGCCCATGTGTGTAGGTTGCACACCTAGTCAGAATTGAGCATACCGCTGATCGGTAGGGTACTCTAGAAGATGGATATGCATGTTCATCGACATCGAACCTGTTTGATACGCAGGTCCCGAATGGTCAAAGCGGTGCTATTCTCATGCCGTGTAAGTGCCGTCGCAGACCCAAACAAATACATAAATTTACTTGAGGCGCCATCATGTTCACGCTTCCAGGAAGCTTTGTCTTTGCCTCAATGCTTCTCTTCAGTACTCACCACCAAGATGCAAAGCATACCTCCTTGTTCGAGCCCATCCGCTAGCGCCGACCTTCATGTCACAACAGAGAGAAATAACTTGGCGTCTATCCGCAAGTCACAGCCTACACACCTTCATAATGTTGACATATATATATGGGAAATTTCTTACCAGTCAGCTATTGTTACTCCGAAAGACATTCCAACGCCTGTTGTTACGCCTGCACCTTCTCCATCTACCCCAGACTCTGGATCCTCGTCGCAACCTCAAGATCCTCGTCAATCACCCATCGAAGACACAGACCAGCATCACTCTATCTCACCAACAACTTCTGTAGCCATTGACACTGAGCTCTCACTTTCATCCCCAGGGGAGGCTCTACCAGCTCATAATCGGGGTAATAGGTATGTCAATTAGAAGCACGGTCCTCAAGTCGTGTTCTAACAACGGGTTAGCAGGCGGGCTTTGTGCCCAGAGTGTCGCGCCTACGCCAGCAAACGCTCGTTCAATATGAAGCGACATCGAAAAGCCTGCCACAAGAAGGCTACAAACGGTCGCCCAAAAGCCACTGAGACATCAAGGTTGGGAGTGTCTGGCGCGACGCCGTTCTGAGAACGACATGAGAGCCTGGAGGACCAATGACAAGTTTAACAGGTAAACGGGGAAAGGCCACGGGCGAAGACAGGGCGCAACATAAGAGTCCAGCACTGGTTACAAATTCGGTCTATTCATTTCCCTTATTGTTGTAAAGTAATGCAGCGCGTGTGTACCTTGGGGTGGACTGACAAATTTATGGATAGATGACAAGACGTGGGAATGGCTTCACTCGTTGACACATACGACACCTAAATCTTTGAATCAACTTCGAGGTTTGGGTTTGTATATCATATGTATATTGAACTGCAAAATGAAAGAAATTATTACGATGAGTTGCAAAGCAGCTCAAGCATCCCGACCTCGTAAGCCAGCCCAGAAGTGTCTTTATCGCGATTTTGAAGCAAGCTGGCTGGGCCCTCGATTCACAAACTACCTTTTTTCGGTATTTAACCATCCTTTTGCTTCAGGCAGCTGGTGCTATGTTTGCTGTTTTGCTCTTCGGTCGGGAGGATTGGACGAGGTCGAAATGGTGTCTCGGTTTGGCAAGAGCCCGTTGACTGGACCATGCATCAGTCGCAGAGACGACGTCTTCAGGCTCGTTCAGCCAGATTTGGAGCATAACCGAATCTACGGCAAGTAAGTTAGTATTTGAACCAAATGTTAATCAATGTCTTACCTCGAGATTTCGTCTCTTGTTGTTGCTTCGTCTGTTGGTCTGGTGTCGGCATGACTAGTAGCTTTGATCAACGACTTATACAAGGGGTACAGCGATATTGTTTGCCCTCTACATCTTGCTTTCTCCGTTGGATGGGTTTAGCTGTTTTATACCCTTTCAGTCACACTTCGTACGGGTCTTGCAATTGCTCCGGACAGCTCCTTGAGTGCTCACTTACTCGGAGCAAGTGGGAGCCACGGAGCTCCCAGCTCCGTATACTCAGGCCTACTTGACACCAGATGGGTGTACTTCTGTCAAAAAACTGCAAGCTGAGCTAACAAGACTCTTTGCCATCCAATAAGCATGTAGATGAAAGTCGTCGTCACTTGAGTTGACCCGCAGTTGGCTTCCGTAACGGCACTCGCGGAGACTCAAGGCGGTGGACCTGCAGTGTTTCGCCTTGGCATTTCATCAGACACTGGCTGAGATCTGCAGGGCTGAGAGGGGCATACCAAGAAAGCGAGGTAACGCCGTTCTGACATACACCCACCCGCATGCTTACTCGAGGCACGCTACTTGAAATGCCCACTGACACATGCCACGCCCAGTTCAGGAAAGGTCGAGTCTTCCCATGATTATCCAAGAAATTAACACACTATTGGCCAACCTTCAAGTCGGCGCCCCGGCGTTTGCACCAGCCGACGCAGTCGGAATGTCATACTAGCTCCAGAACCATCTCTAAGCTTAAATCCGCCGAGGATCTAGATGCCAACGACTTTCACTAAACTGCAGGGTGCTCAGCCCTGGCGAGCAAGGCTCTGGTTCTCGCATGGCGTCAAATCAGTATACAATATTAAATGCCTATGTGACACCTTAGTGACTATATAGCAAGAAATATACCCAATTATCAGCCTTGTTCAATTGGTGGTCACGGGAAAGAGAGATGGCTCTCGTGAACAATTGACAATGTCAAAGTCTTGGAGTTGGAGATGATCCCTGGGGATACCATGCGAGGCTAAAATTAAAGATCCAAATTCCACCATCATTTCGCACCGTCTGACCGTATATCGCATCACAGCTAATAGGGAGATGTTCCAGAAGGACTGGAAGTAAGGTGAGTCGGGCTCCCAAGAAAGTCGGCTAGTCGGACGTAACGGACGGCCCGCAATCTGCCCGATCTGCTTGCGACAATGGATTTGTTAACCTGTGGCTGAGCACACAGAGAACTAAGCTTATGTACGACAAATAAGACAACCTCTTCGCCAAAGGGCCAATGAGGTATGCCGCCTTTTCTTAATCTCGTGGACCTTAAAATTGCTCCAGACAGCTTCTTGAGTGCTCACTTACTTGGGGCAAGTGTGAGCGTGGGGCGCCCAGCATACTGACGGGAGCGACAGTTGGATCCGCACCCGTGCACCTGCAAAGACTATTGGCTCGTCCCGCAGGCTTTCGAGCCAAAGTCGCGGAGATCTTCAAGGTTGACAGGGGAGACACGCGATCTCAAGTGCTATGCTGGATAAGCCGAAAAAAGAAGAAGAAAAAGAAAGGGAAAAGAACAGCACTTGAGGTGGGCCGCTTGAAAAGGCACTGACACATGACACGCACAGGAGGATCGTGGCCAAGGCCCCCCATGTCAGAGGCCTTGAGCATGACGAGCTCGAGCCCACTGCGATCCGCTGAGGCCACTAATGCACCAGAGTCTAGGAACGGTCGGATGAGGTAGCTTTCAAGAAAGAGACAACTGTCACAATTGGCCGAACCGCCAGTCGGCGAGGACGGCGACCACATTTGAGTCGGCTGACAGTCGTAATGCTATGCTTGCTCCGGAGCTATCTTTGTTTCAGATGTACCCGGTCAACGATCTTGACAATACGACAGGGTGCAACTCCATCGGACGATAATCTTACACTGCGCTGAACTACATTTCTACATTGACTAGGGTACTTACATGACCCGTCAGAGGCTGCAAATCTAGAGAGAACCCCAATCGTTGGTCCTTGTTCTGCTAAGTTTTATTTTCTCAGGTAAGATCCATGGCGATCTTGAAGAATTGAGAATGCCACAACTTTGGGGTTTGCAAGTTTGAGGTTTAAAAGTTACGCTACGGGTCTATAGAAGGTCCAAGTCCCGCCATCGCATGTGCTTCATGGAGCCAAGTGAGTGCTGTCCCTGAGTTGGTAGAGACGTTGCGGACTGCTCGCCAGGAACCAGTTGACTGACCAGCAAGCCAGGGAAGCCTCACGCCGGTACATTGCCAAAAATAAGGTACATGTCCCGATTTTTACGTGCATTATCAGCCATAGCAGCCAGAGCCTAGTAGCCGCAGCTGACTTCTAATGCACCTACAGAAATCTACTAACTCTAGTACCTTGGGTAATGATGTGTCATGCTGTAAATACGGAGGACCGTCCAGCCGTCGTAGTCACAGATCTAGCCCAATCTGCACTAGACCCGCCCACTTAGGGTTATGATCGCCGCAGCGGAGCCACCTGGAAAAATGTTCCTGAAAACCTGCGGGGCATTGGCAGCGACAGACCCAGGAGGTTGTTTTGAAAGAATCCTTGAGGTAGGTACCGTAACACAAGTACCAGCTATGCCATCTTTCTCAACCCGTTTTATAAAGAAAGGATATTACCCAGAATCAAGCAATTTAATCACTTACTTTCATCTTTCACGTCCCCATTCTAACCCATCATACAAATTTTCCCCCTTCATACATTCCGTTTGTCATCTAAGTATTTGATGGGCATGATGTCGATGAACCCCACTGTCTCTCTGCAGACGCTTTCGGCAGCTGATGGGTTCCTCGCCGGGCTTATCTATCTCAGTGCAACAAAACAAGCCACTGCCCAAAACCGAGCCACTGGTCTTTTTACCCCCACAATCCAATCGTGGAGATGCCTCGAGATGATTTGGGTCAGTCTCGAAACTGTTCAGAATCGCATGTTGGAGCTAGTTCCTAGATTGAGTCTCCGAGGTATCGACAATACCCTTGACTCTTTCATCAGCCCTATAATGTTCTTTCAGGCCGCTGTTTTGTCGCTCCGAAGCTCTTTGATTGGCCGACCCCCGAGCACTTTGGGGGACGTTGTTGCTCTCCTCTGTCTGTCGCACGTAATTTTGGGTCAACTACGAAGCAGCCAAAATTCGGCGATGAGTAATACTACACTTAACATTGATCAATGGGGAAGTGCCATCAGCATATACGATCATCGACAAGCATTCGCCAGTCTAATTCGGGCGTTGTTCCCGGAAATAACGACCTCGACCCCGCCTTCGAGCTTACTGGACCCTGTAACGGCGGCGGACGCCAACGATGTTCTGCGCTTAGCCATGTACCAAGATACACCTTCTGAACCACCACCTCAAGAAAGAGAGCTCTTGGGCTCTCTTCCGCAATACAGCGATGTGGTCCCCAGCTTGCTCAGCCTCATTGTATCCCAGCATACAGACCAAACAGCGTACAACGGCTGTTGCACCTTTGGGGAGACAGGGTTCCAGACTTTAGCTCTGTTAGATCCACACGGATCGGCCCTTGTCGCTAACTTTACGCTATTTCTGGAGCGATGCGGAGACCTGTTCCAGAACCTTTCCGGGAGTTGCGTAACGGCAATGAACCAGTACTCACCTTCGTCTGTTCTCAATCGGGCAAGGCCCCAAAGCAATGATGTCAGCTCATACTTGCAACGCATGCGACAAGATGGGTCCTTTCAAGATCCATCCTCAATGGGTATTCTTTCCATTGTCGATACATTCGTCCAGCTTGGGTACCTGCAAACGCCCAAAGATGTCCAAGTCTACATGATCATTGTTGGCAAGGTACAGAGACGCGATACTGAATATGACCTTGACGCAACTGACGCGAGATCTAGGAAATTATACCCGACAGCGAATATGTAAATTTCGTTGCGAATATCCTTGGGATGGCTCCATCCTCAGGCTCTAGAGGCCCCTCCAGACCACGCACAGCAAGGCCAGAGCGGTGCGTCCAATAATAACCCGCTTGTATTCCGAGAGCTAACACAACATGTCCTAAAAGAAAGTTCTCTTGTCCCAAATGTCGGAAGCGGTTCACGAGAAAGAGCAATATGCAGCGGCACTGGAACGCGTTCCACAAACATTAGCTTGGCAGCAATTGTCTGACAGGGCCTACCATTGAGGGCGTTTTGTTATAGCGATATTTAATAGCAAGCTCTAGTCTATTTAAGCGCATATAAGCAGTTGTGTTAGTGTCGTGTTTTTCCTCCGCCTCAATTTAAACAATCCCATTCAGTTATGTATCCCTACGGTGACGTCAATCTTCGTTTTGCCTGTGTGTGGCGTCGTGTTGGCGGTGTTGCGTCTCGGCCGAGTGCTGGATTGTTTGGAGGACCATGTCGGACACGATGGCTTTGGGCTTGTCCAACCATATACGGAGCATTGCAAAGAAAAGCCGCCCAAGTACATCATTGATGCTACGCTCCAACCTTGCATCCAGATCCCCTGAAGGCGCTGTGACGCTGCGGGATCCTGCAGATGCTCCACAATTCGCGACCTCGGGGACTCATTTTGTGGAGGCCACCCACCGTCTTTCCTGGCCTGGATGCCGTTGCTCCTCCCTAGGTGCCACCCATATCCTCAATAGCAAACCGCAATCCTCGGTGCGCTGGGAACCTCTGATTGACTTCCACTTAAGAGGCACCCAATTTCAGAAGAAAAGTACCATATGACCAATGCAGAGAAGAACTCACACCGAAGACCATTATGAGACGACACATTGCCAGGAAACTTGCAAACCAACCACAGTGCCTGCGATACGCAGATGGTGTCTGTGAATACCAGCTAGCAGATAGCGGATGTTGAAGAGTAAGCGTGGCTGCGCATAGAACAAATCACGTGGTCGAAGTTCAACATGAGAGATTCCTGCTCTGGGAGCACCCATCACTCACCACTCCATTCCCCTGGGACAATTTGGGGGCTAAATTAATTACTGTCTAAATTGAACGCAACATGCATCCCATCCCGCAGAATGCTAGGTAACTTGCATTCTTACAGGATCCAATTACCGCCTACCAAGTTTCACTTCCGAGCCCCGCACTCCCGCCGTCCAGCCCTACAACCAACATGGAGTGCTAAGGTCGGCACGGAACCGCGGTCTCCTCCGGAGACTATGAAATATATAAACAGATGATAAATTTACTCAAGTTTTTTCCCCCCCATTTCATAGTACTAAAACTCATCTTTAATCACATTTTCTCATGGAGAGAATCCAATACAATGGTGCCATTTCGGCAATCGATGGATTGTTCGCACTCTTTGTCTACCTTGACAAGACAGAATCTGAGATGATGCCCACTTTTCACGATGATCTCCGCCATCAAATCGACCGCTATTGGCAAGGCCTTCGACAAATTGCATCTTCTCACACAGCACCTAGCCTTACTGCTCTCTTTCATTCTTTCAACTCTTCAACGCAATTCTACGAGGTAGCTATCTTCACTTTTCGCAATGTCCTGGTTGGCGCCAAGCCAGATTCCTTGAATGCCATCTTCTCCCTCTGCAGTTTGTCCTACATCGCTTCATGCTGCCTGCGAAACTTCGACAATTTTCGGGACATTAGAGTCTGGCGAAATGCTATTAGCGATCCTCAAGAACGAAAAGCATTCCGTGATTTGGCCGGTATTATTTGGCCACATGTGTCTCCAGTCTCAATTGAGGATACCCTCTATTCCCAGTTGCCGACAGTCACCAGGCCGGGGACTACTCACCAAAACGCAGCCACCCATATCTCAGCAATTGGATTCGACTTTGTTCCTGATGAATGGTTATCCAATGACTTGCCCGATGCCGTTTTGGAGCTTGATGCGATGCCCGATTCGTCGGCTACGACTAGCATTGAGAACTCACAGCGAAGTACCCTCAAGGACTTACAAGGTTCAGCGATCGTGTCTAACCTTATCTGTTTTCTGGCAGAATGCGGGGATCTACTCCACGTTTTCGCCGGGCGTGGGTTAACAGCCAAGGACCTGTACTCCTGTATCGCCTTCACTCAGGGAGGTTCTCAGGCTAAATTTGCGGTCAACGCTTGTGTGAAACGTCTAAAAAGCGATGAAACATACCAAAGTCCGTCTTCAGCGGGAATTTTGGCCATTGTGGAGAGATTCATCGCCCTCGGGTATCTACAGACCCAGGAGGAACTACGCAAGTACATGCTGTGCGTTGGGCGGGTAAGTGGTCAAGTGCCTCTAGAAACGGGAGGGACATTGGACTGACAAGTCCTACAGAGGGTCATACTTGAAGACGAAGCTTTTGCAGCGTTTTGTCAGTCCGTTTGTGAATCAACGGCCACTGTTACAAGACCTCCAACCCCTCCACATAGAGGTCGACGCAGGGGACTGGGACCCAGATTGATCCCGGGTCGGTAAGGCGACACTCTAGCATTTATCTTTTGTACCCGCCAAGCTTATCAATTTCTTACTTATCTAGAGAGATATCGTGTGAAGTGTGCGGTCAATTATTTTCGAGAACGTACAACAAAAATCGACATGTCGAGACCAGACATCCCCGGTCCCAGCTCAGCCTAAACGCCAATGGATTGGTCCAGGGTAGCGTGCGATTGACAGCTTAGGATGGCGAATGGTTCACAAAGCGAGGAGGATACCCGCGGTTTTTGTGTTTTGTAGCGCACGGTTTTCATTTACGCGGAAACGTTTCACGCGTAAAACGGGTTGGTTTAGCAGTTCAGCTGCTGAAGCGGTTTGGGCGGCGCCGGGGTAGCTAAAGTTAAATGGTGATGCAGTCTCCCTGTTGTTGGAAATTTATCTGACGCTTTATGAACGGCCGGCGACTGAGACTGATTCATTCGTCGCGACCTCTTACAACGCCATCCTTTATGGTAATGAGATTATTCACAATTGGAGCCTTCTTGGCTTTCAGTTTCTCTCATAGCGTGTGACAACGTTCTCCCCCAACTCTACGGCAGTAACGGCGGTGTGATCCTTGAGCGACATAACACCATGGCAGTGCCATTTAAACACGTGTCGCAAATCCGCCGAAATTTCCGACCACAAGCGATCGGTGTCGCCATATTTGCCTCTTTATTCTCGTCATGAGTGATGCAAACAGTCAAGTTTGTGATGATCAACTACCGACTGGGCCCCGCGGAAGGCCTCGGGCCCCGGTCGGTAGGTAATTTGAGTTTATCTACAAGAAACTTAGCGAAGGCCGGGGTAAAACGCGTTTAAGATGAAGGATCTGAATAAAGCACAAATGCCAATAAAACCACCCACCGTAGAGCGGAATTGAGGCTTGGTCAAGCACACGACAGTTGCCGCGTGGCTGCCAACCTGTTCTATACATGTATTCCAAAATAGCAACACACGATACTGAAACAAGCTTAAGTCCCAGGTACAGCGCGGAATGGCATCGCCACAAGAGAGTCAGTGAAACAGTGGGAGTGGAGCTGAGGGTTACACCTGAGAGGCCGATGATGGAATTGCGGCTGGTGATGACATGTAAAAGATGGCGCAGACCTTGGAAGGGCCTAAGATCGGCGCAGGGATGAAGTGAATAGCGGGTTGTGGTTGGGTAATGCCGGTGGGACATGACGCAGTGCGCTATGATTCTTCATGCAGGGCCTGAAATGACAGGAGAGAAACAGGCAATCAAGCTGAGGGAGGCAGGGGAGCCGAGAGCTATATCAAGGAGAGGTTCTGCTCCTGTTTCTCTCCTCCATCATTCTCAGTCATTCACCTAAACATCTACATCTCTTCCTCAAACATTCAACCAGTCCATCAATACATCTTCATCACATAACTACACCTAAAACTACACACAACAACAACACTCAAGATGCTCTACACTCAAGTCGCCCTCCTCGCAGCTGCAACCCTCGTCGCCGGCAACGCAGCTCCCGAGCCCGAGATCACCCAACGCGCCGTGCTCCCCCGCGACATCATCCCCGACGACATCAAGTCCTGGGCCGAGAGCAAAGCCTCCGCCGCCGGCCAAGACGTCGACGACTGGGTCAAGAGCCACTACTCCGAAGCCGAGCAATGGGCCTCCGACAAGGGCGGCGACGCCAAGACCTGGGCTGAAGGTCAAGCCTCCGACGCACGCGACAAGGGCTCCGAGATTGCCTCGCGCGCCAGCACCGCTTTTGATGGAATCAGCTCCAAGGTTCGCACTGCTGTTGATGAGGCTAGTGCTAGTGCCTCTGCGGCTGCGAATAACGACAATGCTGCTGCTACTGTTGGCGGTGGACAGGCTGGTGTTGTTGCGTTCATGGCGGCTGTTGGCGCTGCTGTCTTTGCCTTCATGGCTTAAGCGCTTCATGAATTGTTTTACTTGCGACACCTTGATACCTTATGCGGCATGGACTTCAATTTGCATCGGAGTTTACGGAACACTGGGGCATAGAGAACGGCGACATTTAGAATGTGTGGTCGGGAATGGCTCGGTCAGGGAATGGGAATGGATTGACGCTGAATCATGAGAGCGACAAAGACTTGCTTAGAAACAATTTAACGCATACGAACTTACAATCGCCTTGATATTGTGATGACTGTATGGTACTGCTCATGTCGAGTGTCTTGTCCAACCGGCAAACCGCCTGTGACCTGATGCATTTGTTCTATGATACATACTCATCTACAATAATATACAATTCTATACCCTACCCAAACAAACAATGAGTCGCGATTCTATCCATCATCACTTTTTACAACATCATCCACATACTCATCACTGCTTACCCCTTAGCTGCAACCCATACGGCGCAAGCTGCTCCGCCGTAACCCTCGTCGGCGCCTTGACAAACGGATCATCACCCTTCATCGTCTTCGGAAACGCAATCACATCCCTCACAGTCGTCGTATCCGTCAACAGCGCAACCAACCGATCAAAGCCCAGCGCAAATCCCGCATGCGGCGGACACCCAGCCTTCAACGCATCAAACAAATGCGCAAAGTCCTCGATCCTACTATCCTTCATCTTGAGGATATCCCGCATGATGAACTCCTGCACGGCGGGTATGTGGATACGCTCGCTGCCGCCACCGACCTCGACGCCGTTGAGGACGAGATCGTATGCTGCGCTCTTAGCCTGCAATGGGTCTGTGAAGAGGAGCTCGAGGTCGTGCTTGGATTTAGGGGCTGTGAAGGGGTGGTGCGCTGCTGCGATGCCGGCGGAGCCTTCTTGGCCTGGATCGTTGTCCTCGCCGGTGGGTTTGAACATGGGAAAGTCAATTACCCAGACGAATTGCATTGACTCGGGGGTACCGGGTGCGGGGAGATCTTCTACGAGGCCGTTGGCGAGAAGCTTCTTGTACAACTCGTTGCGGATTTCGCCGATTGCTGTGGAGGCGCGGTAGTATTGACCCTTTGGCTTCTCGCGGGCTTGAAAGACGAGGATATCACCCTCTAGAACACCTTTTCCGCCCGTCGCGATATTGATGATTTCGTCGCATTCTACACCGAGTGAAGAGAAACCGCCTCGGGGTTGTCTTGAGTCGCAGACTAGTATCACTGGCATGCCATCTTTGTTCTCGCGAAGGTGTTTGGGTAATGTTTCAATGAACTCTTCAGTGAAGCGCTTTGGTCTTGGGATGTCGTCTTCGAGGTCTTTGACGGGGATGTGGAATGCTTCGATGAGGGGGTCTTTGAGGTAGGTCATCATGCTGGCGAACTGCTCGCACATTTCGTTCGGTATCGTGTGGATCTGGAAGTGTTAGTGGTAGATTGACGAGGGGAATATGCGACGTACTCTTCCTGGGAGGCGCAGGTCTGGCTTGTCGGTTCCGTACATCGAAATGCACTCTTGGAACGTAAGTGTGGTGACCTTGTGCTGAACCGGTTCATCGGCAGGACGAGAACCTTGGGGAATGTCTGCAATCACAGGCACACGACTTCCCCGGATGTTCTTGTAGCTATGCGCCGGTCTCAAAGCCTCCAGCGACCGCAGCACAATATCCGTAACGTCCTTCCTCACCACCTCCGCATTCGCAAATGCCCACTCCATATCAAGCTGCGTAAACTCAGGTTGCCGATCCGTGCGAGCGTCCTCATCACGATAGCAGCGCGCCCACTGCATGTATCGCGAAACACCACTGGCCATGAGGACCTGCTTGTACTGCTGGGGACTTTGTGTGAGAGCGTATGCGAAACCAGGACGACGAGTCGGCACCAGGAATTCCCGTGCGCCTTCGGGCGTTGACTTGAACAGTGTTGGAGTCTCGATGTCGGTGAAGCCCTTCTCTTGCAGACCGGCTGTCAATTGTCCCTTGAGCCATGATCGGAATTGGAGTCTGGCTAGGAGCTCGGGGTGATGGCGGAGCTGGTAATGGCGCTTGGTATCGGGGAATATGACGTCGGGTGTCACAATGAGGTTTTGCTGGACGTCATTCAATGGTCGGATGTCTTTGACGTAAAAGGTTCGCTTGGAGGGTTGCTTCTCGGCGTCTGGGCTTGGGTTCGCTTCGCTTTCGGTGCTAACGATGGCTGGACTTGTGGCGCGAATGCTTCGAAAGAGTGCAGACGCTTCAGGGTATTTCGTCGAGTCGGCGCATAGTTGAATGACTTCGCCGGATGGTAGAACAAGATCGGCGAACGAGAGCTTTGACGATATGTTCCTCCTCTTATTCATGAACCCCGCATACTGCCCGTTGATACCAGGCGTAGTCGGTATACCCGCATTGCTATCTGGCGCACGTTAGCACCGACCTAGCGGGCATTGAAGTCGTCGTACACTGATCCCAGAGCTTGAGAACGTCGTCTTTGGTGGACTGAGCTTTTGAGTAGGCGATGGAGGAGTGGCTGAAGCTTCGGGGGAGGAATTGTCGGGTGCGCAAGGGAGTTAAGGGTCGAGTGCATGAGCTGAGGCGCAAGGAGGCACGGCAGCGAGAGAGAGGGAGCGCCATGGCTATTGTTGTGTCAATTGAGGCATTGGATTGTCTGGAGGAGGATGGTGGGTCGATTGACTTGGAATTTCGTGGTGCGCTTCGGTAAGAGGGCTTATCGATAAGGGACCGCTCCTCGGCTGCCCTTCTGCACCACAGACGACAGCACGTTACACTGACCTGACTCTATAAACGGAGGACAGCGCTTTGACAATGGAGACGGGAGAGCTTCCATGGCTGAAGGCGGCTCATCTGACATTCCCTCCCGTGCGCCAACGTTCTTCACGCGGACTAGAGCGTCAGCACCAACAGCCACCAAACCCTGACAATGAATCGGGGCTGAATTAGTCGAGTCCCGCCTCAATTGGTGATGATGCTTGAATGTCATATCCAAATGGTATTATGCCAGGCTTGCTATGCTTTTTCTATGATACAGAGCCCGAATTCGAGTGTACATTAATTATCTGGGCCCAAGATCTATCTTCCCTTGGTGTAACGATGCTTCGTCGTCGCCTGAACCTCGATCACTGGGATCGCCATGCGGTATGCTTCCATCTCTTGTCGCAAGCCCCCTTTGGCTTGAGTTGGGTTCGTATGCATCATCTATCCGATGGAAATGCCCCGTCTTTCCACCCGTTCCTCCAATCGTAACGAGTTCTGTTTGCAGTCCGGTGTGAGCAGCTGCATCTTTTCTTGATGTGATGCTTTCGAACTTGGATGAGATCATGAGCATTAGTGGTCGCAGTGTTGGGAGGCAGAGGGCGATGGTTCCGCAGGCGACTTCGACGACACACCAGGTGCAAGCTGTAGCGAGGGTCCCTGTTCGAGTTAGTTGAGAGTCGCAGGCGTGCGTGTCGCTTGAGTTCTTACATGTTGTATCAATTGGGTCGAATTGCATAATGGTTGTGAATCGGTAAATACTGGCGAACAAGACACTAAACGGGTCAATACCAAGGACTCACGGGCTGGTGGACGAGGACTTACAAACTGCCGAGCAAAAAGATAACCAACAGCGACAATTTCTGTGCCATGTTGACCTGCAACTTCAAAATAGGCCCGACTGGCAAACACAAAATCGCGATATCCGTTGCAATATTCGGTATCGCATTGCCAATAAACGACGCCTTGAGGTTGATGCAAGTCCCATAGTCAAGCCACGGCATCCAAGCCTTCTTGATCGGATGGCACTGGAAGATGCACACGGCGCAAATTGCAATCCACCAGCCAATCACGACAGCAGCGATGATGGCCGAGGCCAATCGGAAGTTTCGAGATGGGAAGATGCGCAGGTACATCGATAGAAGGGCGAGTTTGATGAGCATCACTGCCGTGACATAGATGCATTCGAAGGCGAGGAGGATCTTGAAGAAGATTATTAGATCTTCTTCCGACACGCGCTTTGCATGCTTTCCGAGGCCATGCGCAATCACTGATCAATTGTTAGCAACGATACAAACGCCAATAAATGGTCTTACTTACTGCCATAATTGAGACCACCTGTGATGAACACAAAGACCTAACACATTGTCAGAATTGTACAACTCTTGGCACCCAACCAAACCCACCAGCGCTACCAGAGTCAACCAGTCATCAGTTCCAAATCCAATCCTCACATATCGCGCCCAGAACCGCAGAGCGACAAACACAGCGGACAGAACGAGAACAATTGTCGTCGTGGCATTGAGCTCGCTGCTCCGATCGGTATTCTCGTCACGGCCATACAACGAGGCCATACTGAAGAAAAAAACCGATGATGCTGAAACAAAAAAAAAAGGGAGACCAAGTTCACATGAGGGGATGTCGTAGGGATGAAGTAACGAGAGAGAGCAATGCACCACAGTACGAAAAGCATTCCAGAAGGAGCCGGGCTTTAAACTTAGTTTCGAATCTCGAATCCGCCCCGGATATTTTCTTCTCACAAGTGTTCGATAAACCTCCCGTCCGTTTCTCACTACTAAACACGCTAGCTGGGCGTTGCGAGGTGAGGTGACATCGCCAGCGAGGCAAGGGTCTGGATTAACGAGTGGCTTTTCTTCGACGCCACCGGGGAAGACTCCCTAACTTTGCGGACGACCATCCCACGGACCAGTCAGACACTCACAGATGCATTTAGCGTTGTCAGTTGTCAATTTCCGTCGAGTCAAGACCGGCGAGTCCCCCTTTATTGGCATTGTTGTCCAATCTAAACCTGCGAGAATGAAGATCTTTGTTGCTCGCAGAAGCAAAAAAAGAAGCAAAACATACGTACGTAACGAGTCAGAGCGGTAGACTACTGGGAAAAAATTGCAGCGTTGCACTCGTACTGTAACCAATTCGGCTCTAATATGGATCGATACCTATTTTGAAGTCTGAGCTAGACAAGGGACGTGGCTGTTTTTGGATCCATTGAAATGCGGCACCGCGCGAGACAACAGTTGAGGTCTGAGCAACCTACAGCCTTATCATCTTAAAAATGCACCTAATAAGCCCTGTCTAGTGCTTCGACGGCGGGCGGAACCAGTGCCCCGTGTGCTGATCAGTCTCGGTTGGGCTCCAAGTCTTTCTTTCGGAAATCAACGGTTTTAACTGGTCTCCTATTAGCTCTTTGACCTTATTGTGAGCAGTCACATAAGTCAATGAAGAATTATTGCTTTCACAATTAACCGAGTCTGAACTCGACGGACGTCGAGTTGAGTTTCGATGTTTGAATCAGATGAAACAATTCACCCGGGATTTCGGCACCTTTGATACCCAGCAGCGTGGTATCGTCACTGGAACACGCAATCCTTGCACCATGCTAGGCGAACGAATTAGTTATTCTCCGGCGTTCTTTCTGAGCCTGGTTTGGCGTTCACCTCCTTAATTCACCAAATTTTCGGGAATACTGAAACAGAGAATGTCATTGTTAAGAGCGATCTGCCATTATAATTCCTCTATTTGATCTGCGAAATCAAGGTCTCGAAATCAACCAGGTCCCAGACCTGGGCGAATTTCCCATCCACGACATGGTACAGCGTGAACTGATTCGTCTCAATCTTGCGGCCTGTGGCTTTGTAGCCTCGAAAATCACCCTTGTGAGTGCCCGTGACTTTGAATAGAAGGGAAAGATAGTCGCCCTCGATGGTGAGGTTTCGCAGGTTCCAGTGCCAGTCGGGAAATGCGTCGATCATGGGTTGGAAGGAAGATGTTGCTTCTTCTGGGGTTATTGGCTTGTCGTTGACGACGAGAGGGGATGCGTAGAATGATCTCATCGCTTCAAAGTCATGGGCGTTGCAGTGTTCCAGATATGTTTTGTATAACGCTCGATACTCGTCGATTGACTTGGATTGGCTGGGTGCTTGTTGACTGGCCATTGTTTTGGTACGATGGGGCAAAACTAGCTTGTTTGGAAAAAGATGGCGATGAACCGTTGACGGGGAGCTTGTAAGGGGTATACGAGGCTAGACGAGAGTGGAGCTGCTAATGGGTCTTGGATATTAGATAACCGTTCTCTGTACAAACACTGGTAATTTATATTTGGATTGCAAGCAGCAGGATTGTCTGATGATATTATCAAAAGCTTACATTGTCGCTTACTGATCTTTGTCATGCCTGAGCATGTATGATGATAGGCTGGAAAGAGAGTCAGCGCAGCATATTGCCTAAAATCGATAGAATCATATGCAGGCCAAGATATGACCGTCAGGCCGAGGAGTTCTGTCCTTTTGCAATGATGATATACACATATAAGATCTCTGCTGGATCAGTCAACTCTGAAATTGAGGGAATAGGGGAAAATCAATCATCCGAAATGAATCACAACGCTTCGGACCTGGAAGTGACGAAGCCAGGTCTGGCGAGATGTGAACATCGGTCAAGCCAATAGCGACTGGTGGTACGTACTTCTTAGAGAAACCGAGATGGACTTGACATTGACAGTGAATCCTTGAGGGTTATTCATATCCGTGTCGGCACCTGCAGAGGAAACAAATACCCGTGGAAGATTCGGCCAGACTCTGCTTACGCCCATCAAAATGAGGCTCTGTACAAGAAGGATGGTCCTAGTTGGCATGTCAAGCTGTATTTGACATTGACTTTGCTAGGCCAAGCTAACCAAGACCCAGATTGAACTCTATCGACTTCTTTGGACTGTGCTCCTTTTCGACAAGGAGAACCCTGATCGGCGAAGTGTTAGCCGCGTTTGACGCATGCCATATCCAACTAAGCCCCATTCAAATCTAGCCCAAACCCACAGCATTATCAGAATTGACTCGCGCTCTGCAGCGTGAACCCTGCGCGAGTCGTAACGAGATATGGCGGACCCTGCAATTGAGTGGATTCAACTGAAACTGGACCCCTCAACGAGTGAGGTGTTTCTAGTCCAGTCCGTGAGACATTACTTATTCTATCGTGCTTCCCTTCCATATTCTCTCCAGTTTGATTACTTACTATCTTAGCAGTCTATTTGAACCTTATCATGTCTAACCCTACTATCGTCTTCGCTCCTGGTGCGTGGCACACAGCTGATTGCTACGATGTCGTGCGGAAAGAACTCCACGCCAAGGGCTGGGAGACTGAGGCTGTTGATTACCCCTCCGTTGGTGCTGAGCCCCCTACTAAGGGACTAAGCGATGATGTCGCCGCTGTGCGAGCTGTTGTTGAGAAGTTGGCTGAGGAGGGCAAGAAGGTCATGGTTGTTGTGCACTCATACGGTGGCCTTGTCGGTGCTGAGGCTGTTAAGGGCTTGGGCTTGAAGCAGCGCGTGCAGGAGGGCAAGACAGGCGGTGTGATTCAGCTTGTTTATCTGAGTGCGTTTGTCATGCCAAAGGGAGTCAGTATTCTTGCAGCCCTTGGAGGACAGTATCTTCCTTGGATGCGAGTCGAGGTGAGTTGTATATCGCTCATATCACGATGATTGCCTAACGATGAACAGGGAGACCATGTCTACGCTGACACCCCCGAAAACGTCTTCTACCACGATGTTGATCCTGAAACGCAAACCAAGGCTATTGCTGCGTTGAAGCATCAGTCTCGTCGCGTGTACACCGACAATGTGGAGTATGAGCCGTGGCACGACGTTCCCTGCTTCTTCATTTTCTGCGATGAAGACCGTGCTATTCCTTTGGCTATTCAGGAGAATCTGGCTTCTACGCTGGGTCCTGATGCTGGGAGCTTTCATATCAAGAGCTCTCACTCGCCGTTCCTGTCGCTGCCGAAGGAGACGGTCGAGGGGTTGGAGAAAGCTGCCCAGGATGGGTTGGCCAAGAGCTCAAGCTAGATTTTTTGAGGGATTTTATGGTATGATTTCAATGTTAGCGAATGGAAATCATGATTTGATGGGAGATAAATTGCTGTGCAATTTGTGACGAGTATATGCTGCTTCGACCACATATAGGGCTGAGCTCGTGATCAGACTCCAATTTTCCGCTGGTGATTCAGTCATTTCATGTTGTACAAGATATTTATTCCTAGAGATGGATCTTTACACAAAACCTACTCGACCTGTCGCAAGTGGACACTTGAACTTTGTATAGAGTTTTGAGTGTTTAGGCACCGAGTCCAGGCAGCATCATGTCCCCTGATTTTCACTTTCTCTCGTCTCTCGATCCAATCACAAATCAAAACCTTGTACGAAAGGTCTTGTCGGCGCTTTGTCTTCGTCTATGATATCATGGAAAACCTAGATTTCATATCCAGCTATAAAGCCCGCAGCGCCCCCTCTTCACTCCTCACCCCCTCACCCATCCCGTGAAAAACCTATCTTCGTTCAAACATGCCTTCTGACATCTTCAACCGGCTCCCGCCCGAGATTCATATCAACGTCGTGAAATGTCTCAAGACCCAGGAAGGCAACACCATGCTTCATGCAATGCAAGCTTTGGCAAACCATGCTTTAATTCAGGACTTTGGATCTCTTTCAAGCTATAACTTACTTCGAGACGTTCGATCTTTTACCTCGGCTTCCCCAACCGCAAGACGCTATTTCTATGCCAATCAATGCGCCTTTTTTATACAACCATATATCCAAAACATATCTAAGATTTTCCAGGACGAATCACTTGTATCCTTAGCAGTGATTCTCCTGCAAGCGAGAAAGATACGTGCTCGGGCTCGTGGGTTAACGTCCCCCCAGATCGAGCAGAGCATCAAACCTTGTCTCGACGCGTTCACTCGCTTCGAAAAATCAGTGCCTGAAGAGGAATGGAAAGAGGACTTGGGTTGCATTACAGCCCTAATTGACATGAATCGGGAATTTGATCACATCGTGTATCAATATTCTTCGCGGGAAAGGTGGTCATATCAAGTTCCCCAATCTTCATATCGGAGCAATTTCATCAATCACTTCCTCCGTTACGACCTTTATTGCCAACTAGGATGTCACGGGGAAGACAAGCTCTTTGCAGAAAACGAACACATCAAAAAACTCGAATCTCATCTCTACAAGCTCATTCTACCAAAACCCCAAACTGGCAGCTGGGAAGTACTCAACATGATATGGTTGATTAAAAAGATACTCAAAAGCATCATACGGTCCGTCGATTCCCAAGTCCAATATGTAGGGGATGGACGAAAAGAGATAAACCAAGTGGACGAAATTATACGCCAAGGAGGGCCATCGGATTTCGTCATGCAGCGCCTCCGAGAATGCCGCTTTAAATCAAGACTCGAGTATGATACTAAGATATTTCTGGATCACGCTTGTCTACAGGGTTATCCTTTTATCCTCTCCTTAAGACAACCCACAAGAGATGCACGAAAAGCATTGATCGATATGTTTTTCAAAATCACAGTTGAGAAATTGCAAGAGAAGGCTGGGAAGTCCGGGTCTACTCGATGTGCTAGGAGGCTAGAAAGCTTATACCGCTCTCTCGCTAGTTGATGGTAACGCGAGATGAGTTTGGAGCTAGATGGATTTTGAAGCACAGAATGCCAGGTTTTATTTCAGTATGTATGACGTAACCACTTATGATAAATATTATTCACAAGATAATATTGGGAGCGCGGTTAAAAGAGAGTTAGCGAGGCAAAACCTTGGATATTGGGTGATCTAAGATGCACAAAAACAAAGCACAAGAAAGAAGAAACCTTCATTAAGCTACTGGATCTTTACAGAAAATTAGGGCCACATAAAGTAATATAAATGTGCACTTATAGAGCTCGAGAGTTTATATGGAATAAACATTAAATGTTCTCCATTATCTGAAGTGATGAGATACTGGCAGCCTTTGCACAAACTAAAGAAGCCTGAAATACGAAGCTGAGCGTATAAACGTGTAATTATATGCTGAGAAACAGGTAGACTCGCAAGCGCGGCTGTAATCACTTAATAGATAAGAGTAGAAGCACGCTGATTCGAATGCTGAGCCGTAGTTCTGTCGACAAGAAGTCTTTATCAATTATGCTTTATAGCCGAATAGGCTGCCCCTATCACAGAGGGCTACTGCATAGTGACTTTCTCTTAGCAAGTATAATCAGCTTAACTTATATTTGGAAAACCATAATGCAAATGCTGCTATTTAAGAAACTGTTCTCCCTGTCTTGAAACTTCCTGTAATCTATTCATATGAAGCACAACTACTCAAGTCTTGGTGACCAAACCTCATACTGCTAGCAAAACGGCAAAACAATAATATCATTCATTATTCAACACACACCATTCATCACCAATATTTATAGAAATGTCTCGCAACACGAGCGATTCCACCCTCTTTCTTGTTGGTGCAGCCGCATCCTTGGCTTTAAGCTTTCTGACCTTCTACCTCCAAAAAGATACTGGACCCCAATTCGAGAAAACTGATTGCTTTGAGAAGCTTCCAGCGGAGCTCAAGTTCCAGATATTCGAGCAACTCGACTCAATGAGCGATGTAGCATTACTCGCTGCGGCTTCTCCGTCAGTGCGAGCTTGCTATTCAGTAAACAGACATAAGCTCCTCAGAAACAATATTTCCTACATCCGAGAGATATTCTACAATGATGAGCTTATACCTTTGGCTTTGATGGTTGCGAGGATGCGACGTCGCTTGAAAAGGCGCCAGAACATACATCAAGTTGTCGGACTCCTGGAACACTATGTTCATGGAGGCAAGTCTAAATTGTTTCGGCGGAAGTTTGACAACTGGGAGGAGAACCTCGCACAGATCCAAGATCTGGTCAATATGAGTACAGAGATTCTGAAGCTTTGTCCGAGGTCATCCTATGGTCCATCAACAGCATTTTACAAGCCACTTCTTTCTAGACTGTGGCACCACAGATTCGTGGAGACCTATCTGCGCGATGAAATCAGTGACACCATGAAGCGCTATGGCGACAGGAAAATGCTTCCGCCTCAAGAAAATCTTAGTCCTAAGCTATACGTGTTCTTGTTCACGCGCAATTATGTGGGAAGCAGGCTGCCTGACAGTAAGCCCAACCGCCCTACTACGCTATCAAATTCTGCGAAGCTAACATTTACCAGATTACACTGCTGATATAGTAGACTTGAATGTCGCTCTCGGTCGGCTTGGTGCTCTAACCTTGGAAGAGATAGGTTTTAGTATTTGCGATCCCTTGGACGGCCTGAGGATATCGAGCCAGAGGAAGCATCAGATACAAAGTTGGAGAGATGGGCGAAAGAAAGCCTGGGAGGAGGAAGATGAGAATGGGCTAAGGATGGTTTATGATGGCTACGGGCGGCTCCTCCCAGCCGATGAAGTTGCTCAAATGGATCAAACTACTGGTCGCGGTGTTGATGATGAGGAGCTAACCTTATCACAACTTGACTGAAAGATCGCAGGCACCCACTAATATGCCCCTAAGTCCGGTGAAAGAGTTATCATCTGGATTTTGCTCTTATCAGCTATATACTATAGTAATTAGTTAGTCATTATCATATAATGTCCAAGTTGTTATCTAGATGTGTTATTCACAGTTAAGACTTATTAAATCAGCAGGGAGAACTTGGTATCAATAGAGCAACTACTGTGACACCTAAGGTATTCAGTTCTGGATGATCATTAGCTACCAGGCTTTGTAATTTAAAGCTAGCATGGGTCTCCTGTAAAATAAATCCCTAAGCTGCATCGGGATTTTCTCCCAAACATTACTTGTTCTTGATCTGGCTCATCCAACACTGGGTATAAGAAACTCAGAGGATAATACTCTAATACTCAGATAAATGACTATGTATGTATAATGCATTTAATGATATGATGAACAGGGAAATGCGCGCCTCAACTTTTACACACAGTCTACACGAATCATGATGATCCTTGGTTCTAACTACAGATGGCTCCGCTCGGAAAGGGTCGAACGCACAGCCATGGCAGCTCGTGTTCCTTCTTCAATGGCTCCGTCAATAAAGCTACGCCATCCAAGGGCCCAATCCGAGCAGGCAAAGATGATGTTGCCCTGCGTGGCTCGCATGTCGCCAAGATGATCGGTCAGAAGACCAGGTCGAGAGAAGAACCTGAAATTGTTAACTCCTCCATATCAAAGCAAGGGGCATGACTTACCAAGCTCCCTTTGCAAACTCATCCTTGGACCAGTTGTGAAAGACCAAGCGCTTGATATCCATCGGAGCAAAGCCTTGGAAGGCAGCCTTGGTCTTTTCAATGTCCTCCTCAGGATGGAAGTGGTTGTGCTGACCGCCAAAGGCCACGATGTGAGTGTTACCAGCAGGGGTCGTACCATCTCCAAAGCCGTATGAGAGCTTGTTGTGAGGGTAGCTGATACTAGTCATGGAGCGAAGATCTCGATCAGAAACCTCAGCATGAACTTTGGTGCACTGGTTGACATGACCAATATCCGCCGCCGCCTTCTTCCCAGGCATCAGAGGAGGATCGAAATGCACATCGTTAAGAATGTTAAGCGGCATAGCGCTAATCATCTTCAACGCTCTGAACTTCTGGCCACTTCGCGCAGTAACTTCAACACCAACAGGACCACTCTTGACAGAAGCAACGGGGGTGCTAAACGAGTATGTCAAGTTTCCACTCGCCAAAGCCTCCTTGAAGAAACGAATAGAGAAACTTGACTGGCCGCCCTTGAACTTGTACTTGACGAGATACTCGATGCAACCTTGGTATGTGTAGCCGCTAAGCGCCCACCAGTGCAAGAACTCGTAGAAGCTAGTGGTCTCAAGGGTACCGCCGCTGCAGAGAAGAACGAAGGCTTCTAGGCATATACGCTCGTTGGGGGTGAGATCGTTTTCGATCTCGGCGAGACGGTCTGCAATGGACATGTGGTCGTATTTGGCGGCTGTTGGGCCGAGATTTGCGCTGTGAGGGAAGACTAATGCTTCACGACCGGCTTGACCGTCGATGTTGACAAGTTTCTCAAGACCACTTTGCATTAGTTGATCCTGGGTTCGTTAGTCTGGATTCTTGATTTCATATAGATACTGGACTTACCTCTTCTTCGTGGGTGAACTTTTGAGTGCCTTCAGGTGTTACCATGAGATACTTATTGACGCCCCTTGAGAAGTCATATGAGATCTCCAGTTCATCTTGCATGCCATATCGAGAGATCTCACGCCACACATTGGGCTGTCCCCAGTATACCCAGGTACCACCCATTTCATAAGGATAGCCCTCGATGTTTGAGCTCCATGACCGGCCACCAATGCGATCACGAGCTTCAATGAGCAACACTTTGAGGCCTGGTGTTTGTTAGTAATGGGTCATGGCTAAGAAGGACTTATACTCACCAGCAACGGCTGCATCACGAGCTGCAGTTAGACCACAGTAACCCGCACCAACAACAATCACATCAAACTTTGTGTCCTTGTCTGAGAGATTGGTGGGAGGGTTGATGGCCCCAATGCATGGAACACCAGGCTTGAGTCCTTGGGACTCAGTCCATGAGAAGCCGTCTCGAGAAGACATTATGAGGCCGTTTGGTCAAGCTTGATAGCAAAGACTGGATTACGCGTCCCTCGAGTCGAGACAACTCGAATGCTAAAGACACTTGCGCAACAAAACAAGAATGATAGACAGAATCAACCAGAAGTATCGTCGAGGACGGCTACTCATTTTATCCTCGGTCCGTGTTCTCATCCTCGCCCCCAGTGCCCATTTCCCCAAACGGAAATTTCGCGAGAAGATAACGATGATCCTCTATCTAGTCCAAAACCTCACGATACGAAGATCTCGCCCCATCGCGATATCAGCTATCTCTGACGCGAATTACCGCATCCGGTAATTTCGCGAGAGACCCAGACAATCTAGATCTCCCCCGCAATCCGCTAGGACCCAGCATCAAGGTTGGCGCTAGCAAGCCAATTCCTTGGCCATCCCGGAAACCAATGAACTATGTCATTCTTCTCGTAAATCTGCCGGATTCGGTATATTCAGTGGAGATGCACTGATATCGCAAAACCTGGGGTAATGGACCATGTCTTATCAGGATATCTCGGCAGATTGGAAGTGTTTGAATGATAAGTTGACAGTGAAGGCAGTGTAGATTGACGTGCTGTTGGAGATTTGTGCAACGGTGGCCCCCTTTCCCTGATAGGTCTTATCAACACAAGTGGCTCGGCCGTGTGACCTTGGGAAACGAGTATATGAGTCAAGCGTTTTCTCCTTCCAATCCTCCAACGAGAAAACTTCGTCAAAGCAGAACTCGATAACAGCCAATATGACTTCTTCAACGCAGGAGGGCGCTCTTCAGCAGCGTCTCTCGACTTTGACCATGGTCGCTATGGCCTTTGCCATTCTCAAGTTCGTCATACCCTGTTTTTGTTCTTGGCACTGGCTAACCCCTCGTCAGTACATGGATTGCACTCGCTGGTACCATGGCATACATTCTTCCTTCTGGGGGCTCTGTGTCGTTCATCTATGGATTCATAGTTTGTGTTCTTTGCAACTTGGCTCTTGCTGCTAGTCTGGGAGAGATGGCAGCACTTTGGCCAACTGCAGGTAAGAACAAACTCGAGTATGTCCTAGGAACAATGGCTGATTGCTTTTAGGTGGACAGTATCACTTCATGTACGCTCTTTGTACACCAAAGTGGAAACGGCCTATGGTACGCTGAACCCACTGACTCAGGAACAAAGACTAACAGTTGAAAGAGTTTCTTCGTTGGATGGACCAACATTGCTGGCTGGTTGACTATTGTGACAACTCAAGCCTTCTTTGCTGGTAAGTTATCGCGCATGGACGTCAGTAAATCGATTACTAACTGGTACAACCTAGCTCAACTAGTCTCCGCCGCAGCCGTCGTCGCTTCGAACAATGCATACGAAGCAACACAATGGAAGACATATCTCTTCTTTCTCGCGATTCTTACCTTCGGAACGGTCGGCAACGTTTGGGGCAACAAGATCCTCGGTCGCTGGAATGACATGGCTCGTAAGTCCCCTGTTAGCATATCCCGTCCCACCAACTTACGCAGTGGATAGTGTATTGGTCTGTCCTCTCTGTTGTAATCATGAGCATCATCCTCCTTTCCATGTCACCAAAGACAGATGCTCGTCAAGTCTTTACAGAGTTCAGAAATGAGACTGGCTGGTCAGATGGTGTGGCTTGGATCCTTGGCTTACTGCAATCTGCCCTCTCGCTCATTGGGTTTGATGTCGTCTTGCATCTAACTGAAGAGATGCCTAACCCATCAAGAGATGCACCTCGAGCAATGATGCTAGCTATAGTCATCGGCGGTGTCACGTAAGTCGTTCTATCCCTTCTGCTCTATTGCCGTTGCTAACCTGGTGCAGCGGCTTCCTATTCATCCTCGTCATCCTCTTCTGTCTCACAGACCCAGAAACGATCCTCGCATCCAACACAGGCATGCCCATCGTCGAACTCTTCCTCCAGAGCAAAAAGAGTCGTGCCGCTGCAACTATCCTAGCCCTTATGCTAAGTGTCTGTTTCATCAACGGCACATCAGCCAGCATCACCAGTGCCAGCCGTCTTCTCTACGCCATGGCTAGAGACAAGGGTATCATCTGCCATAACTACTTTGCGCATATTGAACCGAAACTCGACGTCCCGGTCCGCACAATCACCTTGTGTTTCATCTTCAACGTCCTCTTTGGGCTCTTGTATCTTGGTCCTGCTGTGGCTTTCAGTGCTTACATTGCTTCGTGCACTATCTTCCTCAATGTATCGTATGTCGGGCCTGTCATTGCCTTGTTGGTCAGAGGCAGAGGTATCCTCAAGGAGTACCAGACAAGAAAGACACCGGCCAGGATGGGCTTGAGGACTGGTGCTGTCGTCAATGTCATCGCAAGTGTCTTTGTCATCGTCATCACCATCGTAAGTACAAGATAACTTGACTGTTTCAACTCCTAGCTGACTCTTCGCAGTTCTTCTGTTTTCCGACTGCCCTCCCCGTGTCAGCTAATACCATGAGTAAGTATATCTGTCCTTAGTACCTGGAAGTTTACTAACCTGGACAGACTACGTTTCCGCTGTCGTCGGCGTTTTCTACCTACTTCTTGCCTTGTACTGGATGGTCTATGGCAAGACCTTTGAAGGCCCTGTAAGTCAACCACGCAATCTAAATGAAAGTCTTGTTCATCGTCTAACACAATTCCAGAACTTTGAGGCCATCATTGGACAGCCTTTACAGATCAAAGGAGAACATGAGATGGAAGCAGTTCAGGAGAAGTCTGAAACGTCAACGAAGGCTTGACTCTTAATCCGATATTTATTGCAACCCACAGGATAGCTATGACAATAAAGTTTTCATTCAGATCATTGTTAAGAGGAGAATAGTGAGTCGCAAGTGCTTGAACAAACAGTGGCATTGTTCACAGGACAAATCTCTCACACCCATGACTCTTGAGAAGCAAGAAAATATATGACTAGATTGATCTAAAGCTCCACCAAACTACTCTAAACTACTCTAAATGCTTTCGTAGCTTAGGATATGCTTAGGGTCATCGTGTTTGTAACGTCCCGCCTTGTTCCTTAGTTGAGAACGATGGTGCTGCAGTATAGTCTAGGGTCGGGAACCCCTGTGTGAAGCGTTAAAGATTATTTGAACTCGAATGGAGTCGCGATGTCGCAAAAAGCAGGATGGACTGGAAAGGCCGGTCCCGGTTCATACAGCCCTGTAGCTGTCTTTCGATGATGCGCCTGGAACTTCTGTTGAGGGATAGGTATCTCAGCGAATGGTATGTGGTTAACGAGATTTGAGGCACTAACCTTATGAGCCATGTTGTTCAAATCCTCGTGTAGACCCTGGCTATTTGCAAAGACCTTTTTGAACACTTTGCAACCAACAACGCGGCAGACGTGATGACCAATTAAACTCCCAGTCCGTTGGAGAGATAGGAATACAAAGCCGAAAATAGGCATGCTTCTGCAATCCTTGGGAGGTTGGCGAATGGCCATAATCTGGTCAAAGTCGGGTAGAGGAGGCGGGGTGAAGGAGGCGCTGGTGGTGGAGAACATGTCGGCCATTCGAAGTCGGCAAGTGACAGAACAGGGTAAGAATCAAATAGCTCAAGCTTGTGAGCTTAATGCTTGTTGGAGTAGGAGGTAGAAAATTGCTGTCAAAGGATAGAGAGGGGGATACCCAGCCACTCGTGGTTGTGAGAAGCGCTAATTAAGAGTCAAGCCTCGGTGATTAGCTTAACATGACATATTCAGATCATTATTACAAAGGGCAGGCAAGCGTTGTTAGATAACAGCTACACACAGAGGTTGATCATATTGGAAAGACGTAAGTCAAGATATAGTAACTTTGAGAACATAATGGAGCTATGATGTCGGAGAGAGACTTACTTACCACACAAGTACTTCACAAGCAATAAAGGAGAAAGTTGTGCAACCAATTAATTAGATGCTGACCATACCAAGAATACATGGGGTCCCTGTGAATAATACTTTTACTATAGAAGAGCCCCCTCGTTCCCGTATCATTTCAGAGCTCATTCACCTATAAAGACCCCATACCAAAATTTCATCCTCTCCATCTGCATCTGTCCCTTGTCCTTCCAGCCATATACCCAGCCTAGTTAGTACCATTGTCCTGCTTTTTGATAGGACCTCCATCGCGGCCATCGTCCTTCGCCTTTCGCTTCATGCCCCTGTCGGGCGTCTCGGGCCTCGCTGCATCCGAAAAGGGCGCGTCGATCTCCGCCTGCTCTAATTCCTCGTGCTCCTGGGCCATGTCATCGATATCCGAGGACTCTTCATCCTCAAAGTCGCTGACCAACTCGAACCCATCGCTGAGTTGCTGCTTATCCTTTCTAGCCTCGACACCACAACGTGTCTGGCTGTGACGGTTCGCGGCTCCCCGCTCTTTGCTGCCTCGATCGCGAGCTTTGGCGACAGCAGCAACAAGCTTTTCGAAGAAGTAGTTAGAAAGCTTCTCGGGTGGACTGGATAGATGGGCCTCGATCTCGTCCGGAGATCCAAAGGTGGACGCGAGCTCGCGGCAGCCGTCGACGATCCAGTCAACGTTCTCTGTCCACCAATCCTGAATCTCGTCTTGAGGATTATCCAGCAGCAACTTGGCAACGATGGAGAAAACGTGTCCAAGGCCTATCATGTCGTTTGAATGATACTCAATATTGTGCCCGATGACATCTCGCTCAACAACCCAGGCATAGCGGTTGAAAGGCTGATGCCAGGAGGTCTTGATGAGCTCAAAGACGCAAATCTCACGCATCGCATCAGTCATCCAGTCAGGAAGCATAACTTCTGCAGACAACTGGTTCGCCCACTTGGTGACGCAGATGCGCTCTATGTTGTCATAGTAGCTGTTCTTCAACTTGATTAGGTGGAACTTGACAGGCTTGACCTGGTTGATTCGGATCAGGCGGCCGATGATTTGAAGCATGGCTTTCGCGGTCATAAGCCAGTTCATGAAAATGCCTTTGCAGCAGCAGGTATGCATATTGACACTAGTACCCATGTTGCTCGCATTGGCGACAAACACCTCGATGCCTGATTTGGGGTCGTTCCACTTGGCGATAATGTTGTTTTTGGTGATGGAGCTGTCCGAAGGGCGAACGGTAACAACGTCCAAACCAGCTATAGTAAACAGCTGAACCACGATACTATCGTACACAGTTAGCATATTCTCACAATTCCAAGCAAGCCTGCTCGAACTCGGGAAGGGTTGGCACTTACGCCTGAATCCATGGCGAATCCACATAGACAAGGACACGTTCTTTCTCCTCTCTGACATACTGCCATACCAATTCCAAGGTTCGGGTCATGACGGGACTCATGTAGCAGAGCCAGTGGATATAGCCAACACGGTCGCTTGGTGGAAGTAAGGATGGGTCGATGTTAGTCTGATGAAAGAAGAAGCTGAGCCCACCATTGATGTCGTTGTGAAGAAGTTCTTCAACCTTGTCAACACCGACAACTGGTGTCGACCGCGTCTTACTCTCTCGTGCCATTTGCGAATTGGTACGAACGACCGTGGGATCTCTCAGCGATTTGATACGCTGGTTGACAGCATCTTCCTCTCCAAAAATAATCGGGTTATCTGAGGACAAGAGTTTGTAGTTCCGCCAGTCAAATGAAGTCAGGACACCCTTTCTGTGCTCGCCAAAGTTCATCTTGGGAGGAGAGTCCTTGATTTGATGACTGATGGTCTCAGAGTTACCGCTTCGATGCATATCCTCGATGCTGGACTCCTTCATCTTCTTCTGGAACAGCTTCTTTGCCTGGTCCTGTCCCATTTTTCGAACAGCATTAAAGATTTTTTTTCGTTTCGTCGTGTGTTACTTCTTCGAGTACGATCGTCGAATGGAGTAGATCCTGAGCAGGACAGCACACCTTTCCGTCCGGCAATTTAAGCGGTGTCCTCATGGTACGGCGAACCTGGAGCATCTTGTAGATCGGTCGCACAACGCGATGACCAGCCTCGGTTCCCCAATTGAATGCACTACCAGCAGCGCGGAAAATGACCGGGTTGGTCATCCAGAGGCGACACTTGCCGCCAGATTTGTTGAAAGCATCTTGGAGGGCGGCAAACTGGGAGAACTTTGTCAAGTAGGCTTCAGTGAAGATGCCATGCGTGGCATCCTTCCCGCCGTTGAACTTGTTCTCTTCTGTATAAGGATCATAGCTCTCGTCGTACAACCCTGGCACCTAGCCAATTGATCGAATGTCGACGTCAAGTACAATACCATAAGCTGCCCACATGAGAGACAGGGGAGACAATAAGTCTCTGAAGGAACTCTGAACCGGGGTCCCAGTCACCCACAAAAGCTTCTTCCAGTCGAGAAGGCGCAGCATGTGATTATAGATGCCGTTGAGCTTTTTGGCGATGTGAGCATCGTCAGCAACAATAAACTCAAATGTTGCTTTCGAGAAGGCTTTATCTTTGGACAGATACTCGATGAGATTGCCGTCGGCCTTTTCGGCAGCCTCGGTTTCGTTTTGGGTGATAAACTCGATATCGTCCATGTTAAGCTCACTGGCGGTGTATTTCTTGATGGTCGCCTGCTCCTCCCGCCCATCCTCGACATCCTCATCCTGGGCTTCAGAACTGTCTCTCGCCTTCGTTCGTTGTTTAATGACCGATGCGGGGGCTTTGCCATCCTTGAAGACAAATAGTCGCTCTCTCTTCAAAACGGCGCGGCTGGACCATGTTGGGTAGGTTGAAATAACGACGACGTGGCCATTCTGTTGAAGATGTCAGATTCATAATTCCAAGCAGGGGTGTTTGAAATACCTTTGGATCATGGGTACTATCGGCGAATTGATTCAACAAACTAATGCATTTGTTGTTATCAACCACACGTGCTTTCCTCTCCGGGAATTCGCTGGGCGTGCTGTAGTAGACGAAGATCTCGAGGTTTTTGAAGTTCTCATGGCCCTCTTTCCAGGTCTGGCAAATCGCATTGACTGGTGTAAGAATAAGGGATGGGTAAAACCTGATGTCCGATTCGCCTCGAGTCTCCATGTCCATGTTATACCGCTCTTCTTGGCGTCTTTGATTGAGGACGATGGTGCTATAGTAGATTTTAGTTTTCCCCGTCCCCATGTCGTTGGAAAGGAAGGTATGTCGCCAAAAAGTCTCTCCACGTTGAAAGGTGCTGACAGCATCTGGGACACATTAGTACGTCAGTGGTATTGACAAGCGGTTGCAATTCCAAGCAGACTTGTTTGAATATTGTGTGTTACAATTCCAAACAGACCGGCTTGGAATCCAATAACATCAAGGCGAGCAAAACTTACCTTCCACTTGGTGGGGCTTGAGGGACTCAACATCCTCGCGGTCAGGATACAGTCTGAGATCAGGCCAAGGCGCAATCCCAAACGTCGCGCAGAGGGACTGCAGCCCTTCCTTAGACGGTTCTGGCTGAAGGGACGATAGCACATGCTCCAGAGCGTACTGCTGGCGACTGAGCTTTACCAGCTCTGCTTCTTTTTCAGGGTTCGCACGCCGAAACTCCGTGACAACTTCAGACTCCTCCTGGCTTCTGATGAAATCGTTGATCTCGTTGCCTGGAAGGAAACTGTCGACATGTGTGATCGTTTCCTGAAGCTGAGCCAACATGGCGTCAAAGTCATGCTTTCCATGGACAGAGTTGAGAAGACCAATAACAGCTTTGAAGCTTGTCTTGCTCAAAGGCTCCATGTCTTTGATCCTGGCCTCAGCAATTCTCGCCTTGATGGCAAGTTTCGGCCGGGTTGACTGAGTGGACTCCAACAACGCAGCGCAAACATCGACATGGTGATTTCCAGTGACTGCAGGCAGAGCATCTGGATCCGGGGGTATCTGATAATCACTGAGGAGGTCAATGTCTCTGCCGCCATCCATCTGCTGCTCTCGGTACTTCTTCGCCCAAGCCTTTTGGGCTACCCGTCGCTCAAGGCTTTTCTCCTTGACACTGGCTTGGAACTTGGCACCCGCCACGAGAGAAACGTCCATGACCGTGTCGCCAACCTCCGGAACCTCTGCAATCGCCGCCGCGGACTCATCGAAGTAGCCTACGAACCCCGCCTCGTTGGCATTGCTAGATGGGGTCCGCGTTATCCAAGCCGTACGCTTAGATCGACGGCAAACAAGGGCGTAGAAGATCAAAATGGCACGGTGTAGATCTTCCATGGAAAACAAGCCCGCGACCTGTGTTCCAGTACCGCCACCGAATTCCGCAGGAGTTGGAAATCGATGAACGTACTTCCCTCTGTCGCGAGAGTAGACACGCTCTCTGTCCCAGTCTATGGGAGCAAAAAGGAGGATCTGGACAGCATGGGCAAGAACAAATGCCTTTGGAGATATCTGTTCTTTGTTCGACAATACCCTTGAGTCCACGTGCTTGTTGAGGGCTGGGATCAAAGTTGGCCTGGGACAAAGTTTCGCTACCCGGTCGACAAACGACTTGATCTCTTCGTCGTCGTCATAGGCTTTCAAGACGTCGTTTGGCGTCGGCTTTGGGATCGATGAGGCATTTTCCTCGACGCCGCGAGCTCGGAAATCTGCGTATATCTGTTCAATGAACTTCTGAAACTCGACTTCATCTCCTTCTGCATTATCCCTGGTCTGCTAAACCATTGAATCTGGTGCATTGGCATTGATCGTGTCTTCGTTGGGTCGGAAGTTCACAGCTAATAAGGCAGCCTTGCCGACAATCTCGGGGACTTCACGTATGGTTAGCATAATTCCAAGCAGACCTGCTCGAATTTTCTTACCAATGATGTCGATATATGACAAGAATTCCATTGTGCCCTGAAAGGTGCAATACCTGGCAACTTGCAAAGGGGGATTGTCGACAACGAAGCTTTCCTGAATCAAGACACTATCTGGATACTTCCGCTTCTTGTGCTTTTCGCGATCTTCACTATTTATCTGTTGTTGTGTTTGCCTTGGGCCCTGGTGGAACACATGCTTATAGTCGCTATGCTCCTCGGCCCATGCAGGCCATTTGAGACCCGGAGCAGCTAGATAATTCTTTTCCGCGTCGAAAATGCGAAATAGACTGATAAAGCCATGATGATGCTTGGCGGCGTCTTTGGCTTCCCGGGTCTCGGATGCGGTCCTTTGTCGGGGGGTTTTGCCGGTCGTCTTCTTCGCTAGAGCGCGAGACGGCATGTTGGCGAGGGGGCTGCTCGGGTCACAATTGGATTCGAGTTCAACGATGCTAAGCAGGGGTGCTTGAAAACCTAAGAATGGTTGATTTCGAGCAGGCGTGTTTGGAATAGTGAAGCGTATATCGCACTTTGAGAGACGCAAGTGTGCCAGTGTGGTATCGCGATCTTAGGCGCGCAATGGTATTAAGGATCGAGAACACGATTACCGGATTCGAGTAAGTGACAATTCCAAGCAGACGTGCTTGGAAGTGCTGGAAAACTTTCAAGGCTAGGACAATTGGAATCGCGAACTTAGCGTTAAGTCGCGAAACAAGATAAAGAGGCTGTTGAGGGCTCCGAATTCGTCAAAGGCTTAGAATAGCCGACTTCAACGATTCCAAGCAGGCGTGCTTCAGAATTCCGAATGAAAGAGAAGAGAAAACGCAGCCCTGCCGGTCTGATCGATGAAGAATATGTAGGAGGAAAGGAGGAGGAAGTTGAAGAGAAGAAGTGAAAGAATTTATACTCGAGGAGCTGGCTGCTGATTAAGCGAGAGACACGTGACTTTCTCATAGCTGGTAATTGTGTTATGTCTCAATCATGTCAGAAAAGTCCAGACAGTTGAGTATCAAGTTATCCATGAAGTTGCAGTCTTGATGCGGAGAGTTGTCAATTGGTGTGCTACCGTTAGGCTAAAGGGGCAAGGATTGTCTAAGTGGAACATAAACTAGCCCAATAAGAACGCTAGACAAATGACACTAGACAAGAACAAGGTTCTTTGCTCCCCACCATATACAGACACCTTGATCAGAGTGGGAGAGTTCTTCAACAATGATCAACGTCGCAGTAACACAGACTGTAAAGTTTCGGTAGAATGAGCTCCATCTTCCTCAAGCGGTCGTGAGATTTGAGCAGGGTAAATGTCAGCCCGGCCTGTAGGAAACAACTCCTCTGCTTTGTTGCTTTTGCCTATGGTTTCCATTGTTCCTTTTACCTTGGATTCCGCAACCAATTCCCCTATCACCTCTGGACACACCCTACGCTTAACAACACAATAGCATTGTTGTCAACTGAAAAAGACAATATACAGTCGCTGTCTTGAACCTTGATGAGACCGTCATAGAACTTTGAAGATCAAGTGGGTATATTCATATAGCAAAGCTAGCTATTTGATCGTTGTAACATCTTCCGCCATTCGCTTCAACAAACACTCATGACGCATTAACTATTTGGGCAATTACCACTCAGCACCGGGCAGAGCAATCTCGGTTCCCTTGAAAGAACCGCTGACCTTTCCAAGCTCGAGGGCGGCGTTGATGACACCACCGAATCCTTCTCCAGCGATCAAACCAGCGGCGATCGCGAACGCATACATCTCGAAGTGGTTGTTGAACCACTTGCGCCACCACCACGCAGTAATAGAGCCAACTGCATAATTTGTTAGTTAAGAGTTCGTAAAATGATACCAAAATGACTTACAGAGAATGGCATTGGCATATCCGGAGTCGGGGCCGAGAACCCAGGCGACACCGACGGACATCCAGTTGGGGAGCCAATCACGGTACTTCTCGCGGGAACCGACGAGCCAGAAGTGCTTGACGATAGCCTGGACAGCGCAAAGGATACCCATGGCAATGGAGAAGTAGGCAGAGGACTTGGGGATAGGGATGCTGGGCATGGTGACAGCAGTAGCGACAGCTTGCCAAGCAGCGACGGAGGGAGCAGCGAAGGGGCAGATATCAGCGGGGTCATCGCTGGGTCGGTAGACGCAAGGGTAGGCAGACATGAAGAGGACAAAGATACCGGGGGCAAGGAAGACGGAGACGACGGTACCCATGGCCTGGGCGTAGAACTGCAGCTTGGGGGGAGTCTTGAGGAGGAAACCAACTCGGAAGTCGCTGACAAGAGAGTTGGCAACGTCAGCAGTACCGGAAGCAATGTTACCGGCAACGAGGTTGATTCGCTGGGCATCCTTGATGGCGAAGTGGTTCTTGGTGATACCACCATAGACAAGCTGGGAAGCCTTGGCGGAAGCAGTAAGGGGAGCACAGTCGGTGACAGCGCCACCGTAGATGGACATGAAAGCGAAGATGACACCGAGGATACAGGCGAGGAGAGCAAGACCAGCGTTCATGTGGAACTGGACCTCGCTGACGATCATGGCGAGAACGAGGGCAGCGAGAGTACCGGCGACCCAGACCCAGGTAGGGACCTGGTCCTGAGCGGAAGCAAAGTCCTCAACACCACCGTCGGCATCAGCCTTGGCAGCCTGCTTAGCGAACCAAGCGTTGCTGTGACCGCGAGCCTGGAGTCTGTTGTTGATGGAGCGGGCGGACTCGTGGACGGCGAACTTGATACCATCCCAGACGACCTTTCCGTGGAGGAAGAACTCAATGAGAGAGTAGACCATGAGGACCATGACACCGGGCCAGAGCATCCAGTATCGGGGTGAGGGAACGTAGTCGGGATCGTCGACACCAGTCATGACGCTGAATCGAGTGATGCCTTCCCACTTACCCTCGCCGACAGCGATACCAATGCACTCGCCATAGTGGACTAGAAGAGGACCGATGAGACCCCAGGCGACGACGGTTCCACCCCACCAAGAGACAGCAGCGTTGAGACCGACGAGGATACCGGAGCCGAAGAAGGCGGGAGTGAGCTGGATGTACCAACCCCAGTTCTCAGGCTCAAGAAGACCGCTGGCGGTGTATCCAGACCAGACATAGAACCAGGTGAAGATGTGCCAGTTGTGAAGAATACCGTCGGCATACTGTCCAACACAGATGATGAGCAGAGCAATGATGAAAGCAATGCCCAGAGCCTTGATCTTTCGCAGCGCATCAGCCGCACCGGATCCAACAGCGTGCATGGAGCGGATAGTCATAGCGGTAGCAGTAGGCGTAGGGAAGACGAGGTTAAGCTCTCTGGCGACGTTGATGATGAAGAATCGTCGGAGGGGAACAGCAGCGAAGAGGCCGAAGAAGGCGCAGACGAAGGTGATGGTGAGGATGCGACCAAAGTCCTTCTTGGGGTCGTCAGAGAGGAGGTCGAGACGGTACATGGCGGGGAGACCGGCGACGAAGACACCGGACATACCACCGGCGCCAGTGGCAGCGGCCTGGATGATGGAGTTCTCTTGGGGACCGAACTTGCCGCCGAGGATGGGGACGTGAGGGAGGGACTTTGTCAACATGAGGATGAAGCCATAACCGAAGATGGCGCCGAACATGGTAGCGGGGAAAGTGAAACCAGTCTTGAGACCTGCAGTTTGTTAGTATATGAGATGAAGGTTGAGATGTTGAGGGTGAGCATACCGAGATAGACGTTGGAGGCGTTGACAAGAGAGCCGAGAATGATACCAACAATGACAGCACGAGCAGTCAGAGGGTTAGGCTCATGCTCAACACCCTTTGCGGGAGGGAAGCTGGAGAACAGGTCGACGATACGATCATCTTCGCTGTCGGCCTCGGACTTGAGGTCCGTGTCGAAGTGAGGCTCCTTCTCATCGTAGCGATGCTGCGCGGTCTCATCGTATCGAGGCTGGAGGGTATCCTCAGGCACACGATCGGGGACGACTGTTTCGGCGACCATGATGGGCGATCAGTTGAAGAGTCAAAGGAGAGCTTGAACTGGCTGGTACGAGAACCCGAAGAACTGGGGGAGCAGCGATCTATTTATCATGTCTCCTGCAACGTCGTACAACAGCTGGGCAGGTGTTGTTCAGTGGTGGCACTTTTGGGACAGCGCCCCGATTGAGTAAGTGGCTGCCAACCCCATCTCTCACTCAAATCAATTCCGCACTTCGGGGGGGACTTTTTGCAACGGCCCCAGAAGAGGAAGCGAGACAAACGATCTTTTGACAATTGCCAAATAAAGAGTCGAGCATCCACAGATTGGGCGGACCCCTTATCTTCGTGAGGGAACCAATGAGGATGGGGCGGTTGTGTTTGGAGCTGCCAAAATGGGAGCAGTATTTTATCGTGTGCTTGAACTTTTGTGCATGAGATGAGTTGAGGACCAGGGTCAAGGGCTCCACCCCCAGATAGAGGAGAGCGGGTGGCACCGAGGGACGATACGCGCCACATGTTGATTGATCTGTGTGTGAGTGTGTGTGTGTGTGCTACAGGGGGATTAGGTATTAAAGATTTTATGGTTGTTATGGTTATCGGGGGGTTACTCTGCATTAGACTGTGAATGGTCAAGGGGCGCTGCCACTCGCAATATCATTGCCTCACTAGGCCATGCCATCACTGAATCACCAGATACTCACTGTACCTACTCACTCATTGCATCCTCGGCGCAATACATTTAATTCTAGACCACAATCCACAAACCCGCTTCAATTGCTCATATTTCCAAACCTCCTGACATGTCCTCCGATAGCGCAGTCGTTCCCCATATCAATCAATCAATATCTCTCGCAATGCGAATGAATAATAAATCGGTATTACCCTCCAAACAGCCTATCAGCGCCGCGCTAAACCCAAACGGTGGGTGTGCTCCGTGTGCTGGCCAATGGCTCGGGGAACCTTTGTTGCTCTTGGCGCACTCTGCGGGTACCTTTGTTAGTTGGAGAAGGGCCTTTTTGTTTGGAGATGCAACAGGACAGGGCATCAAGACTCCGGAATGGAATAACCTCTAGTTAGATACGTAGATAAGCCTAAATGGAGATCTGATGTTGCACCGAGGGCCCGTCCGTACTCAACAGCGTCATGGATATTCACAAGACACCGGAGCCTTAGTGATGCATTTTGTTCAGGTAGGTATTTACTTGACACTGCACTCTGTAGGTGAAACAGGCCTCTCATTTACAGCGCATCGCCTCCCCCGCATTCACTACAGCGCTCTGATATTCCGCTGTCGAGTGCCGAGGCCAGGGATTGCCAAGCCCAAAGGGACCGCTGCTTGCATTTCTGGGATGATCGACCCTTGCCCCGTGCTATCTCGGGCCCCCATACTCGCACTGCAGGAATCACCTGGTGTTCCCAAGCCAACATACAGAATGGACTTTTGTCTACGGAGCAGCTTGACTAGACCCAATTCTACACATCGCTCGACCCACTGCGTAACCATCAGACGATAGCGAGTTCCACGATCGTGATGCTATCTCAGTGAAAAGAAATGCCTACCCTATTGCCACTGAAATCAATTGCAACGTTTGATGCACCATCTCTCATCCCAGTAAATCATCGGCGTCGCCATTGTCGATCAGTGTGTGTGTGCCTGGGAGGATATTCTGGAAGATTGGAAGATCGGCTTGGCCACAGATACCAAGACCGTTATACCCGTGGCCAAGAATGCGGCGACATGCACTAACCGATGCCCAGAATTTTTTCTTCTTTCTGACGTTCATGGATAACTTCGACACCAACTCGGTCGCGATGTTATCAATCGCCCGCCACGCGAGCTTCTATTTTCGCGTTCTAGGCGGATGAGGATCGCAATCCCTGTATTTTTTGTGCTCCATGACAGATTGCGACACGATTACAGGTTGATAGCGATTCATTAGTGAGGTCTTAGTAAGATCCATCACTTCAATCGTATTTGGGCATATCTCGCGATTTTGAAGAAATGCTTGACGTTGCTGTAGCCATTATTACAGTGAGGATAATGTTGAAGGCGCGAGCAATTATTTTCTCGCACCGCCGAGCGCACTGTAATCAAATGTATCGTTTGTATCAAAATGTGGCATTCAACACCAAAGATACAGAGTGCACAATGCCTGCATGATTGCCACTTGGCACTCACCACCACCAACCCAACTGCTGCTACCCTTGCAAGTAGCACTAATCGACAATTCAAGGTTAAAACCTCTATTTTCCTGTTTCTCTCCGGCGCCAGGCTCCTTCACGTGCTAATGCAACCTTCCAACCACCAAAAACAACCAGGAAAACCTTCCAAAGCGCCTAGATAAAACCCTCCCCCATATCAATTAGCCACTATCAAACAAGCATATCATTCAGCTCCGACCCAACAGTTAGGAAAAGTGCCCCAATCCGGGTTTTCGCCGGGGTCATCCTGACCTACCCCCAGCCTGTCAAAGGTTCCAGTCTAGGGAGCTTCCACTTCGGGACACGCTCTGTCGCTTCCCCGTGAATATCGCCCCCACAATCGGGATAGATTACATATGCACGGGAGGCGAGAGGTCGGGATCTTTGTTGGTTACCAAAGGGTGATCCTTCAGGCGGGTTGTGGCGGGTTTTGGGAAAGACGGTTTTTGGGCCTTGATAAACCGATATCTGCTATGCTGATTTTGGAATGAGATGTCTGGGGTGAGCGCGTGATGAGGGGATTGCCACAGAAGTTCCGGGAGGAGCTGATATACGAGGGGTGAAGGTGTTGTTGTTTGATAATGGATTGCGGCACGGGCGACTATCAAGGTCCTTTTTGAGAGACCTGCCCCAAAGCGTAACCTGTCAGCTTCACTAGGTCAGTATCTTTTCAGAAACATCGATTGAAGATGGTTTACACGATATCTCGGAGGATTTCACCAAGTTGTAAGTCTTGGCTTGGATGAGCTACCAGATAACATCAACAGGCCAAGATGAAGATGTCAGCGGTCAATCTCGAATGGACATGATATACGAGGCTTATCAGATCGACGATGAGATAAGACATCGCCTGCAAATCATGTCGCGAGGAAAAACTATCTTTGCTAAGTTGACAACCCATTGTCGATATACGACCCAATGTTCCGATGACTGAACTTGAAGAAATATTGGACAACTCAAGACATGATATAAGTAGAAGTCTTTTAAGACCTCAGGGAAACCTGCACTAAAGATGGACATTATCCAACGTTCTGATAACCTCACTACAACTCAGATCTGCCATCCCACCAACGTTGTCTCTGAATTAGCCTATGGCTCAGTGATCCCAAGACCTGAGAACACCACTGTCTTACAACGCTCCAGATACTCTTCCACATCCGTCTTCATGTGCCAGGCCTCATTATACGCCGCACTCAAACACAACTCTCCCCTGAACGTACCAAGAAATAAACCCAGCCCATTTCCGAGCTCTTCGCCCGTCACCCAGGGATCTCTCGCCTCAAACGCACCTGTCTTCGGCACCACGATAGCGTTAGTACGACCCATGCTCGAGATCGATACAGACGGATGAGCATTGGGCTCCGGCACAGGCAGCGGACGAGGACCAGAGGGTAGAGATGGGGTAGCTTGGGAGAACATAGTTGGGGCGAGGACGTAGAATTCTTCGTCTTGTTTGACTGTGAGATAGAAGTCTTTGACGGTTTCGAGAATGGAGAGAAACTCCTTCTTGCGCGTTTGTGCGTCTGGTTCTGTGGAAGCTGGGTGCAGATCCATGTCAACGACAAGGCTTTGGCCAGAGACAGAATGGTAGACAGCTGCCGGATGACGAGCCGTGCTATACGGTTCTTGACAGCTTGAGCGCTCATTGCGTAGGATGTAGTTGATGTATCGAACTCGCTTGGTCTGAGTCGGTTTATCCTGTAGGTCTCGCACGACCATAGCAGCCGCGGCATGGAAGACATGTGTCGGCGTAGCCTTAGCCATCTTACATGCCTCCAGGAGCTGTTGCGTTTCCTCCCTGGTGAGAGTGAGTGCCAAGCGCTGGTGACGGCCTGGCAGTAAATCACCCTGTCGATAGGGAAGCGCAAGAATCTCCACGCTGGGATCAGAAGCGGCGGCGGCTTTTTGAGCTGCCATCTGCTCGAGTCTGTCTAGTTGAGCTTGATCCGGGGCTTCGGGGATTTGAGCGGCGACTCGGTAGGATGGACTCAGGTTTGAAGTCTCACTGCCGTCGAGGGCGGGGGTTTCATAGGAGTTACCCTTTTGGTGGGCTTCTGAGGCGAGGGATATGAAGTTGTTGAGCATCATGAGAGTTCCGATGCCGTCGATTATGTCGTGAGGGGAGCGGAAGACGAGGTCTCGGCGGATTTTCACGGATCCATCATCACCGTGCTCAGCTGGGAGATGCAAGATAAACATGGTTGGGAGTTTCGGAGCAGGAGGGTCTGAATTAGCCCACTCATTACCAGTCTGACCATTGGAGACATGGATAAGAGTCCTCTCCAGCCAAGCATCCTTATCTGCTTCTCCCTGCAGCTCTCTATATGTCTTGATCCACTCACCTGACTCAACGTCCTGAGTCACTTGAGATGCAAGTGTAGGGTGAGCGTATCTGAGTGCAAGCCATGCCTTTCTCAAAGCTTCGTCAACTTCAAGATCAGCATCGTGCAACGAGCCCTTGGTATGCTGAATGGAGAGTGAAACATGCCCTGTCATTCCGAAGAACATGCGACCGCTTCCTTCGTAGAGGACGACCATCGTCGAGTAAAATTGCTCGATCTCATCGATATGACGTTGCCATACTCCAGGCTTGGCTTGATGCCATTGAAAATCCCGAGTCGTAGTCATTTTGTTTGGTAAAATGATACAATACTGAATGATCCTTGGTTATTCGATTGGTATTCAGATAAAATAAATAATTGGAAATTCCAAGGAGCGCAAAGCACCTTGATATAAGTAGTCCCCTCAGGCTTGACGTCGAGGAGGAACCATTCACCTGTCGGGATCACGGGCCGTCTTCCGGGCTGGCCATCTCAACACTCACTGGTCCATCTGGTAAACCAAGGCAAAACTCTGGTTAAACATCTCAATGATCCGAGAGTTGTGATGCAAGAAGCATATGCCGCTATCATGAAGCCAATAGGGTGAGACATTGTCAAGACCTTGATGTTGGTGGGGTTCTGATCACAGTAAGTGGACTTTTGATATTGCCAAATAGGGAGATTGAATAGAAAACGCGCTATCCAAGCTAGGTATTAGAGACAGCGCGCTTGTCCTAACTGAGAAATCTAACCAGCGTTTTATATCAGATGATATACAGAATCAAACCACTCCCATGCGGCCAAGAAATGGGTTTCTTCGTGTACACTTCCTCCCCTTCTCTAAGCACCAAGCAACTCTCAGGGTCTGGTGACAGGCTCAGGACGCAAGCAAGGAAAGATGAGGTTCCTCAACGCAAGTTTCATCATCTTATTTCCCAACCTCTTACTCCTCTCCGCATACTCCTTCGAATCATTGACATGCGGAAACGGCACATCAGGAACTTCCTTGCCCAAAAACTGACACAACGGCTCCCAACCATCCGCAAGCTTGAAATCCAAAAGCTGCTCCTTGGGTACAGTGTCTCTGATGTACTTGTTATGTCGAACATACGCTGGTTTAAGGTATTCGATAATGTCGTTGGGAGAAGGCGCCCTCGTCCAGCCTTGATGAAGCTTATTGCACGGTCTCGGACTTAAAAACCCAGAGAGATCACCGACCTTGGCTCCGAGTTTTCGTTGGAAGGGACTCGTTGAGCTCTTGACTACGACGTGCATGCTCGGAAACCACTTCTCGATGTCGCGCTCGATAAGAATGACTTTGGCGTCGGGATAAGCGGGGATGAGCGACTCGGCGAAGAAAGAAGCGACATCAGATACAGCATCGTAATCTCCAAACACTTCGTCCCATTCTTCGCGGGAGAATGGTTTGCCGCGGTATGTTGGGATGTTGGTGAATGTTGCGTCGGCCGCTCTGTCGAAAATAGGCCATTGCCATTGAAGTTCCTCAAGCTCGGCAGCTTCCCAGCCGTGATGCACCTTGGGATAGCCGAGTATTTGCAGCGCTTTCATAAGCGACGCTGAGCCATTGCGGGGAGCACCGAGGCATAGAATTGGTGGAGGTCGAGTTGCTTTTGGTGATGCCGTTGACTCCTTGTCCTTTTCGCTCTGCGACGACGAGTCGACGGTCTTTTCTTGGTTGTCCATGTTGAATATAGTGATACTGAGAAGTAAGTAGAGAGAAGTGTAAAGGGGAAGAAGTGGCCAGGTGATCTCTTTATTAAGATCCTGCGCAACGCTAATTTCTCCGACGATGGCTGAGACACGGAAATCTTAGCATGGGTCCAGTCACACTGACGAGAACCCTGCAGCCTTTTTATAACCAGGGCATAAAGAATGGTTGACTCATGATAAAAGTATATATTGAATGGCTGAGTTATTGAGAGTCAATATTAGGTAAAATGGCAATAGAGTCTATTCTGCCCAGAAGCCAAAAAAGCTAATGTGTTATTTTTACCGAAAGGTCACCAAGTGGTGAGAAGTAGATGTCTTCAGACGGACGCCATGGATCATCATCAATTTCGCCCAATTGCCTTGTCAGACATGGCGCTTCTCATATGCTGGGGTAAGCACTTGTTCTAGCGGGCGTAGATCAAGCCCCATCGTATTCGTAGTTGAGAAGGATCTGCGACAGAAATGAAAGACCCCTGGTAAGCAAAGAAAAGAAGGTTATTCGGGATCCCGAGGGGCCGTAAGCTGACGCGACATCCGATGGTACTGTGGTGCTAGCGGCAGGCATTGGAGTCCGCACTGAACAGAGTAGTAGAATAATTTATGGGACAGTTTCTTTTTGCAAGAAAAATGTTGAACAAGATAACGAGTCTTTCTACTTCAGGCGTTCAGCTACCGACGAAATCTCCCGGCTCATCCTGGATAGTGATCTCGGAAGTGTCGGCATGAACCAGGATCCTACGTAACCTTAAATCCATGTTTGCAACAACTACCGAACTTTTAATTGAATGGGCGGAGACCTCAATGCCTCGGCTTCTTGTCCACAAGCTCTCGTTCCACGCCTTTGGAGCTTTTCTATCATCAATCTAGTAAATCTGTCAATAAATCTGCAACAATATTGACGGGAGAGATCTTACTCGGCCTCGGGGAACCGCGTTGGCAGCGGTCGCACAGCGCTCTTTTTCTGCGGAACGAATGGCTCGCTGTTCTCGGAGGCTTTGTCGTGCTGCAAGCCACCGGGTTTTCCATCGGTGATCTCTGGCAATGGAATATAGTCGCTGTACAAAGAAGACACTGAACCTGCACTTTGTACACTGCCCGGCTTGATTCGGCCAGTACCACGCAAGACCGATATTTGGAGCTTGGAAAAGTTCTTCTTGAATCCTTGTTCTGAGATGACTTCACCGCCATACTTGACGAGCCTCCACCGAAGATGAAGTCTCAGGTACTCCTCAATCTCACCAAAGTCCTTGAGCGAGTGGTCGGGAATGTTGTCTTTGGCGTGTTGAAGGAGATGGATCGTCAGAGGGACCTGAGCACATGAGAGGACCTGTGCTGCAGCTTGTCTCTTGCAGTTCATACAGGAGCCTTCGGATGTGCTCTGTCTACCACCAAAGGAGTACACATGACCGATGTAGTTGTGCTTTTCGAAAGTCGTCGTGTCTTCGCCTGGTGGTCCGCCTATGAAAAATTGGATTGTGTAGGACAGACCGTCCAGGGCGTATCGGTCATACACAACATTGATGATGTAGTCTTTCCAAGACCCTGTTCGACTTTGGCGCGGCTCTATTCCGATGGGAATGGTGCTATACCCGGCCATCGATTCAATTAGATGTCCCGTGCCTGGATAGATCGTGTCGATATGCGATCGAAGCTCTCGTTGGAACTTCCCCGTTATAAACCGACCATGATTTCGTATCGTTCTTTCAGTTACTTCTGCAAGGTCATCATACTGGTAGTTCAGCTCTGTCCAATCCCGACATGCCTGCGCAGTCCAGACTTCTTTTTCAGGATCGTTGTCTTTCCTGTGAAACGGTTCAAGAGGGTCCGTCTCTTTGTCGTCGGTGACAATGGAAGCTTTCACACTTGCGGTGTTAAGTTCGCCTGATGGTTCGTTGTCAAACCATAGCTTTGGGTTGAGACATTGCCATATAGCCAACAAGCGGTCTATCTGCCTGCTTTATGTCAGTTAGGTTGCGTGGCTGGGCCAGGTAGGTTACAAACACGTGGTGAAGCCAAAAGATGGGATCAAACGCTGCTACTGGCACATCACTCATGTGTCCCATACCAGTGGCATAGTCACTTCCGCCGGTTAGGTTCTGGCGCTCAAGTCAGCCAAGTCCCCATGATTCGTTTGCCGTCTTACGTGGATATTGTTGTGGATATACTCCAAAGATATATATCCCGTCTTTGGACACCCTTTGCCTTCTGCTATCCACTTTGTCGAAGCAAACTGTCCCCAGTTCGAATTATAGCCCTTAGAAAACATGCGATTGACTGCATCTGATAGGCTTCCAGGGTTCCATGTATAGTCTTTCGAATGCTGCTCCATTGTGCTCCATCTAGGCTTGCCGTCAGGTCCATCCTCGTGAACTCTTGCAAGGCTGGCGTTAGATCTCCAGCAGTGGTTTACCCCTTCAAGTCCTCTGAAGTATCTCGCGGGATCCTTCTCATCTTCTTCTCCCTTGAATATCCCATATCGGCTAGTTGCAGATGTCTTGCTCCACTAGGCGCAAGTCAGTAAGCGATCAATCGACAATTCGTTGGTAGACTCACTGGAGCCCAATCGCAGTCGTTCTTCAGTGGCAGCTCATCGTGAACTATTGGGTTGTCATGGATATTCCATTTGGCGTTGCCTTCTGGCATGCTACCGAATGGCAACGGTTTCCCTGTCTTTGGGTCCTTTTCTGGGTTCTCGAAGCCCACCAGCGGGTTGGGATAGAGACCGCTTTGCGGAAATTGGTTCTTTATCGTAGTAGGTGGGTAGATTCGGACGGCTCCTTGCGTCAGGACTGAGGGGCAGACTAGGTCTTCATGGTACCTTTGTTGCCTAGCCCAGTCCCAGTATGGCATCCGCCAGTGCTTTGCTGCTGTGTACCATTCGTTTGCTTCGGATGTTGGTAACCCATGCTCGCTCGTCCAGTTGTTGATCATCAGCCTCATATTCTCCCAAATACATTGCTGTTTATGTCAGAACCGAATCAAGTATGTCCAGGATCAGACCATACCTCGAAGAGAAGCATATAAGGTCTGTGCCATGCAGGAAAGTTCAGGCTGTTGTGGTTACAATATCCACCGAAAGGCTGATCACCAGCCTGTTTCGTCTTCTTGTCCGGCGCGTGTTTTGGTTCCGGCGCTCCGTCCCAGGCAACTTCTGGATACCCATGCTAAGCAAAGATCAGTCAGGCATTAATCTATCGGGACACAGGTACTTACGATTCCGGCAATCTGGAAGTAGGAGAGCTTGTCATTGACAGGCATCGACTTGAAGCGTTCCAAGGCGAGCACAAATAGCGTCCACTGTTTTTTCTCTTTTGAGTCGCCTGAGTTGGCAAGGGATGATATCTCCTTACGCACTGGAAGACCTTTCACGTAAGGAATCTCTCCAGGGTATCTCATGGCATTCGGTGGCCGAGGAAGGCCCTTGATGCCGTATGTTACATCTTCCGGAGGAATTGCTTCACCCATAATGGTGGATGGGTCTGTCAACATCGGACGAGAAAATCTGGCAGTAGATGTAGGAAAGGTGGGCTGACGATACGGAAGACTCCTTATACTTAGAAGCCGTCTCAACTCTCACTAGTAGGCTTATCTGCAATTATGACGCAAAGTGCAACTCTCATAAATAAGTACTGAAACTCAACCCAGATTCTGCCATCTGGTTCTACACTAGCAGTCAGAAACGTCAAGCCCGATGATGCGGCTTGCTACCCCAGTGATAAACATCAGCTCCAAAGTTCAGCCAATATGACGACGGACAAGAGTAATCACAAGAGTCAGAGGTCAAAGCTCAACCATTCTTGGAATCGAGTGTCTCAAAATACCCATCTTTTGGGAATTTCACATGCATTAGATCAAGACAAAAGCTGTAGCGAAGCCAACCAATACGCCTAGTGCCAGCCGCCGTCGTCACAAGCTGAGGAGACCCCGGGATCTACGGCACTAGTTAGAACAAAGCTATCTCATTGGTCACTGAACGAGGAGCTGCAGAGCTATTGAGCCAAACTAGCCAGCTCATACTTGTCGATGGAGCTGAACTTGGCAAAGGTCAACGAGAAACGGTAAGATCGTCAATGGTATCGCAGCGTCACGAACGGGTCAGCCCGGTTAGCTCATTGCCGAGCGACAAAGAACCCGATTGTCAACATGATTTGACCCAAGTCCCTGTAGATAACAACTCTACTTTAGCCCTCAAACTCTTCTCTCCTTCCTTATCCACAGCGCCCAACCCAGATGCACACCAACGGTGAATATGCCAGTTACAACACAATAGAGCCAGATCCAGTTCGACACACGCCGACCTGACTGCTCAAAGCTGAAGAAAGAAGTACTAAAGAAAGTCTTATCAGATAGGTCAGAAGAGTCAGCGTTTCAAGGTTTGTCGAGGTCTTACCGCCACAAACGTCGCTGGCAGAAATGCGAGGGTGACCCAGGCTATAGCTCTCATGTCGGAGCTATCTCGAAGTGCTGCTTCAGTCTTTTGGAGGTTCAAAGCACTATCACGCTGTGCCATTAGATTGAGACACTATGTCTGATTAGCTGACTGTGCAAGGTGTTTTGAGAATTCCGGCTACTTGCCGCTTGCATTTGCGCCTCTGCTCGCTTGGCGAGATAGATACTTCGGGATCGATTGTTCCCAGACCACGTTTTAAAGGCCGAGATCTTCATTTTAATTGAGGATACTGCTCTATCCCAAGAACCATCATCAGTATTGGGTTTAGCAAGACTATCATTTAGCTCCTGTATCCAATCAAGTAAACTCTCATTGACTTGACATTTGGCCTCGGTCATGGCACAGTCCGAAGCGATGGAAGTGATCTTTCCTGGAGCAGCTTCAAAGTCAACGTCCTGCTCGTGGCGCCGCTCCCAGACCCTATCACCATAAGCATAGTGATTGAGTTCTTCATGATATTTATCATTACGGTAGTTCTTGTGAGTTCCAGTTCGCTTCTCTACCGAGTAGAGAGAATCCCTCATGAGGGTGAGTTTCTCTGCGGTACCTTCTATCCTCTGCTCCATCAGGATGAGTGGCACGAGGAGAGGGTGCCATGCAAGGGCTTTGAGAGCTTGTAGACGAAGTAATAGATGTTTGATGTCAGCCTTGTGCAACATGTGCGCTACGACGTGCGTAACTCTTGAGGCTGGGGAGTGGACAACAGAAATGCTGAAGTTGGCAAGGTTAGAGTCCCATCTTTCTGGTTTCGCAACAAAGCCTGGGGAATCGAATTAGTCTGTGGCACTTCGAAAGAGACAGCACAGATTCAATCTTCGAACATGCCTTTTAGGCCTCCTTGCAATGGAACTTCGAACCAGGTGGGGGGCGTCTGCATCCGTTCAGTGCAGATAAAGGTATTTTCTAGGTGCAGCAAGTCGAGGTGCTCCCTGAATCCTTTCCAAGACAGAGGCGGTGCATTGTCATTTTCAGTGTTGAAAGGTAAGATTCTGGAAGTTTAAGACAAACACGAATAAGTCAGAATTGAGGGTTTTAATGGATCCTCTAGAGAATGGAGCACTTACATTAGTCTGAGAATGCCTTTTGACCCATCTTGCTGTGGGAGCTTAGATAATATCAGCACAGCAACAATGGAAAAAGCCTCTTGATTTTACCTCAAATACTTTAGAGAGATCTGGCGCGGATTTGGGGTTGTTGGAGTCGAGGGGAACCTCGCTATATTTAATCTCACTCTCATGCTGCAAGCAACTCGTTAAAACCATACATCCAAAAACGATTTTGTTTTACATACGGGGCCTTCAATTATTTCTACAAATCTTGCATCGTGCGAATCGACAAACTGATCGAAAAATCCGTCGCGTGGCGTGTTGGTGAACTTTTGGATCCAGGGCTTGACACAGCCGGCAGAAGAAAGGGTAGTTTCCACAGATGCCATGCCTTAGGAAAGTTGAAATACTAGGCGATTAAGAAGAAATATGATGTTTCTAATGTCAAATTGGGAGTTGGGAGAGGAGAGGTATGAGATGGGGTCGGCATGCAGGCCCAGTAGCCTTTTAATGGTAAGCCTCTTTTTCCACTTGGAGCGTAGGCAACGAGGCATACCGACTAAAGTGGCTGTGCATTGCGGCTTGTACCTACAAGTAATTGAAATTGTGCATCTGAGATCATGGCGTTGTCCTTACTGCTGATACCTTTCTTCTAGACTAACGATGCCATAGAAAGTCGAACTGGATTTAATACCTGATAAAATCCAAGAAGAATGAATGTTTTGCTCATTTGCGATCAGACAGGGACTTCCGAATTACCGAGTCCCCGCACGTGAGGCTGAATAGCTGCAGGTTGTCTTCTGTCTATTGGCAACATCAATGGTCTAGACATGGGTCTTGGAGTAGCTCAGACGTTAGCTGCATATGAACGCTTCAGTGTAACCCGTCACCAGCGTCTCAACTCACCACGCGCAGTGTTTGAACAGGTGCTTCGCCACCGCAGAATGACGCTTAAGTTTCGCAAATTCTTAATTAATGTTATCAAACGTCATTTTATCAAGCTGCTTAGGGTTGGTGAACTATTGATCTTTTTAGTAAGATTAAAAAGATTAAATAAATAAAATTCCTACTCTTATACTTAAATTATAAGTATTATTAAAGTAATAGGTGTCAGTAAATTTCAAGTTATTCATATTTCTGTCTCTAAGTTCCTGTCAACTGAAACTTCCGTTAATAAGTCTTCCGTAAATAACACCTCTAGCTAGCATCTTAGACATAATACTATAACTGATCGCCCCCGTCTCAATACATATTGTCTGTCTCACCTGGGTTACTTAAATTCCTTCATCAAGCAGATGATCTTTTATCTTCTTCAACTATCTGGTGAAGCGAGACACCAACATCTGCGACTAATCGTTCAAGAAACTCCGGGAGCCTCAACGGGACCAAGTCCTCGAGCTCTGTTGCAATACTACTGCTACCAGATGAGGTGACTTTCTCGAGCTCCTTTCCCACAGCCTTGATGATTTCAGGAGTGATCTTTTTGGATATATCTCGAACAATCTGGAAGGAATTGCATTAATGACTTGTAGCAGTCGATGTAAGTGTTCTATACTTACGCGAGTCTTAATCTGCGGCTTGCAGCGCTTCTTCAACACCGCGAAGCGCTTAACCAGCACGTTCTTGTTTCTAGTCCACCCGAATTTCTTTCTCATCTCATCTTGAATAGCGGAGTATCCAAGACCTTCGGCTTTGAGACTCATGAGAAGTTTGTCTTGCTCCTTGGTCCAGCCATTATTGCTTAAAGGCGGACTCGCAATTGACTGTGTGGTAGAGTCTTCTCTATCAAAGCTTGGAAACGCCCCCCCAATGGCATTAACCCCCCGGAGTGGTGAAGCTTGGTTGATGGTGGGAGTGTTATCGAGCTTCTCCATGACAGTCGGGTAGATAGAGGACATGTATGTCTCGAACCCTTGATTGCAGTCTACCACTTGTCTCGTGACACTTGGGTTCTCGGGTGAAATAAATACAAGGAGATTCGAGTCGTTGAAATGCTGAGCGTAGTTGACGCCGCCGACTACAGCCATACTGTCTCGGTCTTCTCTAGACAAAACGGCAGCTGGGCCTAAGAACTGGGACGGGCCCGCGGGATTTTTCAGGGCGTTCGATTGCAGAGAAGAAATAGGGATAGAAGGAGTAGAGGTCCAGCCGGTGCTATAACCAGGTGCAAACGGAATCTGGTTGGCAGAGGGGCAGTCGTCGCGCGACATGGTATGTAGTCTTAATGATTCAGATCAACGCAGCAGTAAAAGAAGAAAGTTTGGCAAATGGCCGTTGCATTCGCTGTTATTTAAAGTAGAGTTATTGCGTAAAGTATGGTGTAGGTTCAAATGTTTTTATTATTTTCCTGTGGCTCTTTCCCAGCTCACAAGCAGGGCTTACGTAGCTAGCACCTGGGGGTTGAAAATTGGCTTGCAAGTTAGCCTGGCACTCAGCTTCAAGTTTGGCTCTATTCCTGGTTGCACATTTGATTGGTTTGTTGTTTAGGTGCGCTGCCTGTGCGCCCGACAATGTGCTTATTTCGGGCTCGGCTGTATGCCTGGCTTCGAGCCCAGCTCCGCACCTAGTCTAATGTACCATACAACTGCGACATCCGATTTGACGACAAACGCCACCGGCATAATTCATGCGTGATTTTCAAACCCTCGTGTTCTCGACGCATCAGCGTCCAGCCAGTAAGTCGCTGCATCTCATTAAAGGATGTCCTGAGGAATATAAAATGCATGGTGTTGCCAATTCAGACCCTGATTCTCACTCCAAATTCTGACTTCAGTTTTGATACTCGAGCTTTTTACATCGATTCAAAGATACGTCTCAATATTCTGTCACATTCTCTCTCAAGTTGGCCTGTTCCATCCACCTTGAGCATCATGGCAACCTCCAGCCATACACGGCCAGAGCATACTGTAAGTTTCAGCACCCGTCAATGAGACCTTGTGATAATCTAAATGCTTCTGTAGATTGTCCAGGCTGCGTTTAGAAACGCTACTCCATATATTCTCCAGCTATTTCTAGCTGAGATTGAGAAGCTCGATCTTTTTGGGGAAGGGCACACTGATGAGGCCTATGTCGAAAGCCTGACTGAGCTGAAATATGCCATCGAGCTGATACACAAACCCAGAGTCAAAAAACAATTGGCAAGATTATAAAACTATCCAGAGGTCCATACCTGAATGGCAAACGGTGAGAAGAGAGAGTCATGGCTTGTACAAATTACTTGTGATGGGGAGCTGGGAAACTGAAAGACTCTTGGTGCATTGTGAGGGCTTGATGATGGATTATATTTAGATTGAAGTCAGGACACATTAAACACTTTCATATCTTTTTCTTTGCCAAAGGGTGCTTTGTAATCCATGAAAGACGGCTGCAGTCAGGCGGAAAGCCACACCATCCACTATCTGGTCCTCGCTGTCTATGTCCCAGTCCTCTTCCGTGTCTGAAGCTTTAGTCCTTTGGCAGGAGCTTGATGGTTACGGTGATTAGGAGAACTGGCTACTACCATCTATGATGCGGTTTCTTCCAGATTGTCGAGATATGTCCAAAAGAATTGCTATTGAAAGAAGACTGCTCCAATCACCAAGGTCGTCGTCTCCAAGTTATCAGCACCCAAAACGTCACGTTTTAAACTTGTCTTTCGGTTATTATGCTTAGCCTTTAGAATCTTTCCTTGGCGCACGTTTGAATCGCTAAGTCAGACTTTAAGTGATATAATTGGCCAGTGCTACGGCGTTCGAGACCGCAATAGCAGCCCAAATTGGATAATAACGTGGAAAATGGAGCTAGTACCTGCGCTATTGGCACCGCTGAAGCTGCTTTATGCCAATAGCGTCAAGCCTCAAAAAACAAAATAAACCCCTTAGTGAAAAACTCGAGATTTTAAATATCCCTGGTTTTCTCATCTTCCCTTCCACATTGTTAGTCCCTCACTCAGTCAAACTCTTGTCGCTCCTTTCTGACCGCGAAAATGCGTTTCGCTGCTTTTCTCTCGTTGGGCCTCGGCGCCAATATCGCAATCGCAAGTGTGTGTAAGCCGCGAAGTCGAACATCGAGTGACTCTAGTAAGCGAAATCTTCTTATAGAGCAACAGGTTGTTTACTAATTGATATTCAGGTACAGTGTCTACTGAGCCTGTGTCTACGTCGACGGGATCTATTGCTCTCTCTACTACAACTACAGACGTCATGGCAGAGAGTACAACCTCCGACGAATTATCTATCAGTATCACATTCACCGACGACGGTAAAACTTCTACCGAGGCGACCGAATCACAGAGCGCTAGCGTTGAGCTCTCAGCTTCCACTGCTACAGAAACGGCTACAACTGAAATCCCTACTACGACTGCTGAAACCACTGCGACGGCTGAGGTCACGACATCTGCTGAAGCAACCACGACGTACGAGACTACCACCACCGAAGACACATTTGTGCCGATTCCCACCTTCAATATCAAGGCCCTAGGCTCAGACATCGACGGCCAATTGTTGCGAGGCGATCCAGTTGTATATAACAACATCGGCTGGTACACGCCCTCTCCCCCAGTTCTGACACTCTCTATCGAAGATAACACCAACTATGTACGAGAGATAAACACCGGGAAATACTTGTGCGTTGCATTCGGGGGTGACGGTTTCCCAAACTCCAATATGCTCTGCGACCCTAGTAATCCCATGGCCGGAGTTGTACCCCTCACATGCGAACAGACTCGCGACCGAAAGCTCAAGTGCTCTGCGCCAGCTGGTGAATGCCACTTGGACGAGATGTCAGACACTACCAATTGCTGGACGGTTTCTGGTACCTGGGACAAGTTCTTTGTGATCCATGGTAGGATAATCAACACTCCTGCTCTTGTCATGGCATCGAGTAGCGATCTTTCCACGCCCAACGATATGGAAGCCATCGAGCTTCATCTCGTTCCCTATGCGGATTAATTTCTGTGGCATCTGACTGGCGTCAAATCAGTACTTCTCTTCCCACTTATTTATACAGTTTTATTTTATACAAGTTTCTTAGTTAAATAGTTCTAAAATATACTAATTTCACTACTTCCTCAATGTGATTAATCGATGTTGCGCTGTATGTCATCTTTATAAATCAGCATCCAGAAGTTGTCTAACCTGCACTTTTATCTTTATTTAGTTGACTATTTAATAACGCTTTTATCTTACTTTTTCTAGCAAGTGAAACCCTGTGTTCTTTTATATTTGTGGCTTTGGAATTACTCCTCTCTTGATCACAAATTGGAAGAAGAGTTCAGAGTAAGCAATAGTCAAGCCGTAGGGCGACTTAAGTTAAGCTGAGAAAGAGAGGATATATAGAGAACGTAAATACAATACATAACAAAAGCTCTAATACATTCTTACGAGATAAAATAGCCCAGGTTCGAGCCAGTTTTGCTACATACCAGCGCATGTGAGGCGCCTACTAGCAAAGTCCAGCCAGCCTCGTTTAAGCTTATACAGCCACATTTCTGCAAGCGCACTGTACGATGGTATGATATGCACGCTTTTGGAAGAACGTGGCGCGGCAGCCAAGTTCTCTGTGGTGATATAAGCGAAGGAGCATGTGCTGGTGAGAATCCAGACCTCATTTACGGACGCAAGCATGACGCCTTTTGTTTCCAAGTTCTTTAAGGCTTATCAGCCAACGCCAAACCAAGCATCTCAGATATGCAGAGGAAATAGCTTCAGAAATATCGGTCAACGAAATACGCTGTCAAAGGTCCAGCATTCTTGATACATAAAGTCTATTCTGCCAAATTCACTTACTTTGATGCTGCAACAACATTGATAACGTTCGTGACACTACACACGCGGTCATTATGAGATTCGCAAACTTTATTTCCAAGTTGCTTCCCTGGTTAGTTCTGGCAAAGGCCGCACTTGCACAGAATACGCTTCAACAGACATGTACAGGCTTGAAGAGCTTGTCAGCCTGCAAGTTCGAGTTTTCTGTGCCTTATGGTGTCAACGTGACTATGAAGACAGTTCCCGATAAAAAGGTACCCATCTCGAGCATCTGATCAGCCAAGGGCTCGCTGATTTTCCGGCTTTAGTATGACGAGTGCAAGTCCAAGGAGAAATATAAGAAGCCTTGCCCTACACCTAAAAAGCCTAAGGCCATGTGCGATGCATGGAGATGTGTTCCAGGTAAAGTCGTTCCTCTAACCGGTAGACATGCCCACTAACGCTGAGGAGGATGGATTGATACAACCAAGCAAGTCATCACAGGCTTGGAAGTTCTCACCAAAAAGTTCAACCTCTGCGACACTGTCCGAAAGATCTTGGGTCAGCCCCAAGGCGATAGCTTCATCAAGTCTTCCAACGCAATCTGCCAGTGCTTTCCCCGTATTGGTGAATTGAGTGCAACATCAGGCTTCAAGTCGTTTGACCAGGGTGTTTTATCGACCGCAGATTCAAAGGATGTCAACCAAGTCGTGAAAGTCCAAAAAGTAAGCTCTCTCAATTTATATATCTGGGTATTTATTAATCGGTATTTTCTGGTAGTGTATGAATGATTCGGGCTTCAAGACAGCTGATGACCGGGACAAAGTCAGAAAGACCCTCCAGTCCATGGCAAAGCCCAAGGTGCTTATCCTCGAGGGGCCTGAGGTATGTTCAGCTTTCATCAGCTTCTCAGTTATCCCATCAGTCTAACAGACTTTCAGATCAACGAAGACAGCTATTCTAAGCTTATGGCTATAAGCAAATCCTGTAAACCAGGGTCCTCATGTACCGGCATGCAGATTCAAGAGACCATTCAGAACCTTTTTACCCCATACATGGCCGACATTGCCCGGCAGTTCCGAGAGGGGCTGTTCGTTCCGTGGGTTCCCTTTCTCCAAGACCTGCTACTTATCTCCAACGACTTTAATCTGGCGTCTCAAAATCTCGGCTCGCCTTTTATCAGCTTCCGGTCCAGGTTTGACTATGCAACACAAACCTCTTGTGTTGAGCTTGGTAGCTGCGATGGACCTGCGGTGTCCTCGTTTTTCAAGCAAGGTAGGCTTACGAGAATTCAACCCGCATTCACACCAACTGACAATATCTCACAGTCGGCGATGTAGTTAAGAGCACCCAACTTATTTACCATATGAGTGTCCCGGAAACATCGAGTAATCTACTTACAACATACATCAAGGAGGCACAGGACGCTAACGAACTCGCCGAAGCACTCCCGGACGAGTCTGCAAGTGCTGATCTGTTCAGAGGGGGCGAGATTAAAACTGTTCAAGACCTGTTCATGTTCGTACCCACCATCGACCGCACATTCCTCCTCCAAAGGAAGATAGGGTGGATAGTTGACTTTTACGCGGGCTACTCGGCCGAAAACCGAGGTCTTGTTACCTCGACATACAACTCCCTGGTATCTGTTGCCGATTCAAGCTCATCTGCTATAGAATTAGAACTTAACGTCCAAGAACACCCCGAAAACGACAGCTTGCTGCAGCAGATAATCATGATGAAGTGGATCATGAAGGGGGAGATTCAAGGGCATCTTTATACTATGAAGAGAGCTCTTGAGCGGTACGATGACTCAATCGCCAAGTCATCATTTGGTCCTGGCAAGTCTGGTGTTGTCATGGAGCCGAGTGCCATTAGCTACCAGCGATGGACCAAGATTCCCAAGATGGCGATGCCTTGCTCGAAGCAAGTCACCAAGACCTTCAATAAGGCGGGGTTCACTAAGACGTTTTCGTTCACGGAGTATTCCAAGTGTATGGTTGAAGGCGCAACTGCATATTATCCCAAGCTTCAGATCCCTTACATTCGGTTGGCGTTGTAGATATTGGCAACTCAGACAGCTCAAGTAGGTGCTCATTTAATAAATTAGTGGTGTAGAATAACTTCGACTGGCCAATTGAGAAGATCATCCCATGGTGAACCCTTCACCTTTTCCACAATGGCGGTGATCAACGCCTCTGCCCAGTTCTCAAAGAACCAATACTCCGTTTCGCCCCAGTACAGTAGAATATCGTAGTACGCAAGAATGATAAGAGCCAACGGATGTCCCGACACGGCCAGATCCAAGAAGTCTCGCGGCACGGACATGGGCCACGAGAAGATGACCCTCAGTTCTGGCGGTGATACTTTGTACAGATTTGAAAACGCGTCATCGACGCAACCAGTGATGGATACGACGGCGGAAGTCAGCACAGCTCTGGACTGGTCTTCCATTGAGTCCGATGCTATCCGTCGTGCAAGCTCGGGTAATCTGGCATGCAGACCGCGAAGAAGGTAGCTATTAACGTGCGGATGCGGCGTCTCGCAGAAGAGTTCTTTCAGAGGACCGTTTCTGAGATCTGCGGCTCCTGGTGAATGAAGTACAGCCTCCATGCCGTTGACGAGGGAAAAGATCTCCATCAGACTCTGAACAGGTTGGGAGCACCCGTGACTTCGAAAGTCATCGCAGTTCGGAAACGCAGCGAATTTGTTGACGACTATAAACGTCGTGCTAGCGTATAAAGCGTGGCAATTCGATGAGTTGACTGGTTCAGACAGCGCTTCCCTGAGTCCACGTAGAGAAGCATTCTGGTGTTTTGATGCTTGCAGGAGGTAGGAATGTCTCTTTTCGGGATAGAGGTGAGCGAGGTGATAGCCTGAGAAAGCCAATACTTGTCGAAGAAACCAGGGATATGCTAGAGCGACTTGGGGCACTGATTGCTGAAAGGTAGGGATGGTTCTCTCGTTGAAGACCATGGTTTTGTACGTGACGGTGGTGTAGTGAAGCATGAGCTCGGCGGTAGATACCCAACAATCAGGTTCGTCGAGAGGACTGGAGAATAAAGAGCCGGATAATAGAGATGCTGGACTTCCAGCCGGGAGGCTGTTGCTAGGTGTTTGGAGAGAGCGATTGGTCAGAGGTTTTTGTTCTTGGTAGTCATCCGACTTGACAAGCTCCAAGCTACATCGGACTCTGTGCCTGACGCATGCAGAACAAGGGACCTCTTCGTCACACTACGACTCAGTTAGACAGGTGTCACTAGTCATGAGTCGCGACTCTAATCGCATACCTTGACTCGCCGCTTCTTGCAACGTATGCAGCCATTTCGGGACTTTTTGTACCCCACGCGAGTGGATTTGGCCTGTTCCGTCTCCCCGTCCATTGGAAAGATGGCCTTGGAGCGCACAAGGCAGTAATGGAACAGTGGAGGGTTGATTCTGGAAGAAGTGGGATCTCGCACTCGTTCCGAGTGGAATTTGGGGAAAATTGGGCGGTTCTGGTGAACGGGGAGTTTGGGTTGATTACCAGAGAAAATCGGATGGTTTATCTGCCCGATCCCGAGCTTATGACGAATGCGAACGCGAAGCCGAGGCTAGACTGTCCAATAGAAGTTCACGAACTGAGAGAATTACGGGGGGGTTAAATGCTGACAGGGAGCGCCATTGTTGGCAATTTATTGTTTCTATTTTAACTTCACACGCGACAACACGGTACTGTTCATGTGAAGCACTCATATATTCACAACTGCCTTAACTTCTATATACACAAGAAATATGTTCACTGAATTTCATCCATTCTTACCAACTAACACGGCTTAGTAGAGCGATCGTCGTCGAAAGTCCATGGGAACACGAGCGGCGCGACGACGACGAAGACCTCGCTTGCACTTGGTTCCAGGAGTAGGAACGGGAGTAGGAGCAGAGCTGATGGGCTCAGGGAGAGTAGAGTTACTACCGCCGACCTTGAGAGCGGCAATCTTCTCGGCTGCGTGCTCGGCGGCCACCATGATGATGGCCTGAGTGTTGCCGGTGGGAAGATCAGGGTGCATGGAGGCATCGACGACGAAGAGATTGTCGGTGCCGTAGACCTTGGTGTTGAGATCGACGACAGCGCTACCGTTGGCCTTGCGACCGTCGTCGACGCCCATCTTGGCGCTGCCCATCCAGTGATCGCCGCTGATCATCTTGGTAGCCAGGATGTCATCGACGGTGGCACCGGGGGTGATGTAAGAGAGGGTAGAATTGCTACCGCTGGTCAGGTCAAGCCAATACTGAACAAAGTCAGCCATGGCCTTGCGATCCTCTTGGTCGATCAGCCAGGGCTTGGTGTTGAGAACGGTGTTTCCACCAGCGGTGATACCAAGCTCGCCAACAGTGGATGTACCGTGGGTCAAGAATGTGCGGACAGTGATGATGCCGTCGGCCATGGCACTAGCGGTACCCTGAAGGTATCGAACGCGACCATCAGCGCCCTTTGCAGATGTCCAGAGGTGCATGCGCTGAGCAGCCTGGGTGATAGGACCAGAGCCCTGGTAGTAAAGCTCCAAGTCAGACTTGACGGGCTCAGTAGCGATGTTGTTGAACTTGTAGGCGGTGAAGTTGCTCTTGGTCTTGAACTGAAGCATGACCTGGGCGTGGTCCTGGAGATGGTGTCCAACGGGGAGGTCGATGAAGTCAGAAGCAGCGGGAAGAGTGACACCAGTCTTGGAAGCACCCTGTTTCACGATAGCGAGAGCATCAGACTTACCGATGCCAGCGTTCCAGAGAAGACGAGGAGTCGACATGGCACCAGCTGCGAGGACGACCTTACCGCCCGCCTTGACATTGATGATCTGCTTGCTTCCGTTGGCGCCTTGGGTAAGAACGCCAGTGATCTTGCTGCCGGTTCTAATGGGCTGGATAACCTTTGTCTCGAGCTTGAGAGTAAAGTTGGGAAGGTTCTTGGCGAACGGCATATAAGTGCGAGCAGGTCCAGCACGCATGTTGTTCTTGATAGACCACGAAGGGCGAGAGTACACAAGGTGTTTCTCGTTAGGCTCCTCGATAGAGTCAACCTCCTTCCAGCCCTTGGCGCTCAAGTATCCAGAGAGGATAGTGTAGGTTCGATCATCGTAGTACTTCCCATCGTCGGAGGGAGAAGTAGTACCAGGGTTGCGCTCATACAGGCGATCAGCGGCCTTGGAGAGGTCAGCCCAGCTCCAGCCCTTGGGCCAGCGCTGGAAATCGCGCTCAGGAGGGTGGATGAAGTTGAGGCCGTTGATGGAGCTGGATCCGCCGAGGAGACAGCCAGCGGTAGAAGCTGTGTCACTGCAGAACTTGGTGCCCGACATGCTGGTCATGCTGCTGCCGAGAGCGGGGATGTCGTAAGGAGTGAGGGTGTTGTTCCATGGGAGGGCCTGGGCAGCGTTTCCGAGAGCGACGGTGTTGGCTGGGCCGCGCTCGATGAGAAGAACACTGGCGCCAGACTCGGCGAGGCGCTCAGCGGCGATGATACCAGCGGGACCACCGCCGACGACGATGACATCGTAGGTCACGTTGGAGGTGGTGGGGGGCAGAGTGGTGGAGTTTCCAGGGACGCCGGGTGTGCCTGTTCCAGGAGCGGGGGTAGTCTCCTTGGCCATAGCAGCCCAGGTGGCGAACTTGGCAGAAGCAGCTTTCTTGATATCAAGACCGAACTGTCCAAAGCCAGCGCCATGATAGTTCAGAGCGCTCTCGGGATCAGAAGGGGTATCGACATCGATAGATGACCAAGCATATCCAACAACAGGAGACTCGCCAGTCAACGAAGTAGTCTCTTTAACAACACAACCCTCACAGAGGAAAGTATATGACACATGAGTGCTGTTGACAAAGGTACCATCAGGGATAGGCGTAGCCTTAACGGTACTGTTGGTGTAAACATCCGGGTTGGCGTACGAGTTCGCCATACGAAAGCTCGTAACGATATCATCGCCATTCGGCCACGCAACAAAGAGCATGCCACCAACCATACCGCCTCTGAACGAAATACCACCCCAGCCCTCCTTCTCACGAGGGAACACCATCTGCGCGATAAGATCCTTTCCCAGAGTTTCGGGCACAGCGATACCAAGACTGTAGCCATCGTCGACGAAGCGCTGGAAGTCAATTCCCGTCTTGGGATCGGTGTAGGCGGAGGATCGAAGGCCTTGGGCGGAGGCGAGGCCTAGAAGGCCTGCCATGCTGGAGAGTGTGAAGCGCATGGTGGATAATGAATGGAAGTGTTTGAAGTTTCAAGAGAGTGAGGTTAGACCACCAGGGTCTGTGTGAAAGAATGGAATGTACCGCGAGCGGTAGGAAAGAAGAAAAGCACCGTACTGGCGGTGGTGAGAGAAAGAAAGGCAGCGACAAAGAGCGTAGCTTGAACAGAATCACTTCACAGCGAACATTAACATCCTATATATCTCTATACAACGCGATGATCAGCGGATCCAATGCAATACGCCTTAATGTCCAATAACCATGAACAGACATACACCAACCGGGAAAATTCCCTCCAAAGGCAAGGAACATCTACAAGGGGCACAGTCACCTCCGACCTTATGTGTTACAAAACCTGCGAGTGAAAGTTATCTATCAACATTTGTTCCTTCAGTGGATCTGGAATTTTGGAAATGATCCCTGCAAGAGGAAGCGCCTAACGGAAAAGGATGGTGGTGTTTCAAATGTCGAGGCTGCTATTGGCGGGGTATTTAATCTTTTTTGCGAAAAGTGCTCGTTTCGTTTCATGGAGGTTTATTAAGGGGTGAGGCTCTTTCATGCCTGTGATGAATTGAAATGGTAGGGATTTTATTGGATGGGATTGGTGAGCGTGTTTGGGATTGATTGTGATGGAAGCTCGTGATAATCAGTTTTCGGGTCTTGTCAGCTTTTGGCGTACCAGACCTACGGCACCTTCTCATATTAGCATTTCATCTAGAGTGGCACTTTATCATGCCAAGTTTCGAATTTACCTCTTTCGATTTTTTCTTATAATGAACGATGTCTTCCATCCTGTGTAGTGGGTTTGAAGGATGGCCTCGGTGTCCCCATGGAGTCTCCATCACCATTAGCGACGTGGGTCAAGAGTAGACGAAAACAAGCTTTCTGACCCGGAAGCTATCTCCTGATCATGACGGCCCCGTTGATAGCGAGCTCGGACAAATCTGCAGCACAGTGGGTTGCTCGCGGTACCTGAAACCGTTGTCGATCGTTGCCTTCTTATCACTTATCGCCGGTATCATGATGATAAGAGAGGTATGACGTGGTGGCCATGACTTAGTTCCTTATCGATAGCAGACTCTGGGAAAAGGTGAACAGCTTTAGGGTGAGCTCATACTGGCAATATGGTATAAAAAGTCATGCCATTTTGCAACGGATGCTTACAATTCCTCTTCAGTTTTCTCGCTACTTAAATTTACATTTATTCGTCAAACCCGAGATTTTTACATTATTTATCTACAAAGTTTGAGATTTGTTGTTCCCTGTTCACCAACGAGACTTCCGAAAATTGGTCCGCTGTGCCGATTCGCATTTCGACAACCTGCAGTCTGCTTTAACTAAAGTCTGTAAATAGGTGTCGAGACAAGCAGACTGTGCCATCACCATTTAGAAGAAACTCCCTTTTATTCGGCTCACCTCACCGCTTTATCAAGAAGATGGCCGTGAAGTATTCAGCATTTTCAATGACACTTTCCTTTACGATACTATAACTCAAGAGCCGAGGTCCCAATTAGCTTCGAACTGTCACCTTCCAAGCTTAAATGTCCCCCAATGTCCCTACGATTAAAAGGGAAATGATATGCCACTATCCCCGCGTTCGGTCTCCATTCTCCCGAGACAACTCCCATAACTCAACGAATGATTTTAAGCTTCGACACTAACAATCGCTGAAACAATGCCGAGATCACCGAGTGCAACGCATCAATTCCAAACGATATGGCAACTTTCCCATAGCGGGACTTTATCCATCAATCGGCTGCATTACAAGTGCCGGCCCAATCCTGGCGGCTGTCTGGGGTCGATATGTTTTCTGAATGGTGGGAAAAGGCTTCATATCCCTGTTTCATCAGGCTTGGCGCAGACGGAGAGTCCGCCTGAATAGGTAAACGCGGAGTCTAGATCGCGAACCTTGTTTTGTAAAACGAATGATCACCTGGATTGTCAGTTTGGGGGTTTAATTGATGCAATTCATGCGCTTGGAATAGATATATACGGCTCTGGGCGACGTCTTGGGTTTTATTATACTCTCAGTGGTTTTTTTATCTGAAACTCAACTCATCATGAAGCTGTCTCTTTCACTTGCGGCGCTCGCCGCTGGAGCCTTTCAGGTCGTGTCTGGCCAGACAGTGTACTTTGCTGGTGAGTAACTAAATCAGTGGTGATCTGGGGATAGACGCTGACCAGATGAAAAGGTGACTCCACCATGGCAAAGAATGGAGCCAACGACGGTGTGACCGACGGCTGGGGTAACTACATCGGCAAATATCTCAAGGTCACAGCCGTCAACAAGGCCATCGGCGGCCGCTCAGCCCGCTCCTACACCAACGAGGGCCGCTTCACCGAGATCGTGAACCTCGTCAAGAAGGGCGACATCGTCGTCATTGAGTTCGGCCACAACGACGGCGGCTCCCCCGAGAAGAACGACAACAACCGCTCCGACTGTCCTGGTGCAGGCACAGAAGTCTGCATCTCCGACAAGACGGGCGAGAAGGTGTACACATTTGTGTTCTACGTCTCGCAAGCCGCCAAAGCCCTCGTCGCCAAGGGCGCTACCGTGATTCTCAGCTCGCAGACTCCCAACAACCAATGGGAGACCGGAACGTTTCAGCCTGCCGCTCCTCGTTTCGTAGGATATGTTCCTACCGCTGCTAAGGCTTTGAACAGCCCTAGCGTTACTTATGTTGACCACTTTGCTGCTGTTACGAAGATGTATCAGAAGCTTGGTAATACAAAGGTTAACTCTTTGTATCCTAAGGATCATACGCATACTAGCCCTGAGGCTGCAGACCTCATTGCCAAGGCTTTTGTTCAGGCTATTGATGAGGAGATGAATGGAAAGACTAGCCTGAAGTCTTATATCAAGACTCCTGTTACCAAGGTGTACTAAGTTCAGTTTGGCCAAGTGTCTGAAGTTGGATGACATAGGAAATTGTGTATAACTTCTTTGTATATAGTGGTCGTGATCATGATACATACAGATAACGTATATGGGATATTTGTTCATGTCAACCTCAAGAACTCATCAAAATGTCGCTGGTCTTCTAATCATCATTGCAAGCCCTGTATTAAAATGTGCTGTTCTAGTTGCTGACAAACAAAGCCTTCACCATACTCTTTAGTTCCGGACAACAACAGCCTCCTTAACGAATGACCCCTCAACCGCAACCTTGACCAAGAATCTCGCCACGCTATTTGGCCTGACACTATCAGACATCCCCATTCCTTCACCAGCACTTCCCAATGTCTCAACCTCCTTGTCCGTCTCCTTCCCAAACTCCAATCTCACAGCTCTCACGAGAGTCCAATCCATATCAGTTGCCCGAATCTCTTTATCCAACAAATTATGATCCTCCAGAGCATATTTAATGTTCGTCCATCCCATAAAAGCTCTGCTCACCCAAGGAAGCTTCCCCCACGAGTTACCTACCCCTGCCGTAGACATGACGACGATGCGCTTGATACCAGCTTCTTTCAACACCTCACATGCATTGGCGCACGAGTCTGCCAGAAAGCGAGGCGGCGAAACCTGAGCTGCGAAGGGACTGTCTGATTTGCGGACCGTGTTGAGAGTCATGATTGTTGCGGATATTGCCAAGCCTGGAGCAGCTGTAAGAGCACGGCGGATATCGTCTTTCGAGAGCGGCGAGCCGGCCACGACAGTGAGGCCAGGCCGAGAAGCAACTTTGCTGGAGTCGCGTACAAGTGCTACGGCGGTGTGATGTTGAGAAAGAAGTTCGGAGACGACGTATTTGCCGGTTCGGCCTGTTGCGCCTAAGAGGAGGAAGTGCATGATGGGATAGGAGGAGTTGTCGAAGGAGTTGTCAGAGGAGCCTTATGTATTGGCGACAAGTCAAAGAAGAATGATGGCTTTGATGAGTATTGAACAATCAGAGGAAGTTGTGTGTGCTGAGAACAGAATTCACGGTTCAATGACTTGTTTATGTACTTGGACCTGCAGTTGGGCTGAACAGCGGAGTCAGCCTCTCATTGGTCGGTTCGGTCAGCATGCTTTTCTGGGGTGCGCCGCATCTCACGCATTGATCCAACTAGCGTCTCGGGCTTACAAATTCGTGACGGACTTAGCAGTCGAAGATCGCGAAGTTTGGTGACTCATTTATCTACTGAGATCGCTTTGCTAAGCTACTGTCAATTCCCCGACGCATATCGTAGTCCTTCAATCGTTCGTTGACGAGATTTGCTAAATCCTGAAGTTGCTTGCTTTCTTCCCTCAGCCTGGCATCAAGATCTGGTGAAGTTTCTGAAGTTCCAAGAAGAATGATTTTCAAGATGAGATATAAGATGCGTAGGAAGTTATCAGAGATTGACTCGGGCTCTCCTGGTTGCGTCTCCTTGTGAAGAGATTCTAGGGCACCGAGCCATGAGTCCAAGCCATCAAGCAAGTTTCGTCTTTCTAAAAGAAAGGATTGAGCCTGTTCCTTTGAATGAGTTTCTGTAACCCCCCGGAGAAGTGAAATGGTTGAAGTCGCGACTTTTGTGAGTTCCGCTCGCATATTTGGCGCCAGTTTTCGATCACTCCTCGTTTCAATCGGCGGCGTCATTATGCTTGACGCTTTTGAGGGTTGTTGTTCTGTAAACCTACAAGGCGCAGCGAACAGCTTTATAATGAAGATGTCCAAGGCAGGCAGACCACTGTGGCGTGGAGGCATCAGGCCATCAGTGGTCAGGTACGGTCTGGCGCGGTACTCGCGTAGGATGTTTAGTCCACGGATTATATGCAGTCCCATGGCTGAGAAGTTACCTCGGACTTGCTCAACACTGATCAAGACTTGGCAACAAAGGAGTGCGGACTTCAAGCTGTCGGGGCTGGGATATGCGAGGTTGGATGCGAGGCTCGTCAAAGCTTCACTATACTGTTGAAGACCGTAGTTGTAACTCAATCTCTGCTGTTCGTCAGTCTCAGATGTATCTGCTTCTTTCTTCGACTCGAGATTTCCGCGAAGAGCCCTGAGACACAGCAGAGCATGACGTATAGAATCGTTAGTCAAGCTAGCCTGGAGGACCTGCTCCGCTTCCTCATTGCAGCTCAGCTCAACGTCGAATATCGTTTTGGTGGAGAAGTATCGATTGAGGTCGCCAGTGCTCAGTGGAGGGTTCCCTTCGGCGTGATTATGCCCTGAAGCTGAAACATCTGGCTTGCCGGCTGGTTGCGGCGTGCTGGGGAAGGGCCTAAAGACAGACTCGTAACCATCGCATTTGCGCCCAGTCTTGACACACTTCTCGCAAAAGGGCTTGGCCTCATCGCATTTGATCTTTCTGATTCTATATTCTGTAAGTATGATCCTTGCAAGAATGAAATGTGGAGTCTGGACTGACCGGCATGTTGCGCAACCCGTCTTCACCTTTGTTCGGCCTCGGGACGCGGGCTTAGGAGCGATCATTGTGAGAATTCTGATGTATCTGGGATCATGCGAGGTTTGAAAGAGGATGAATGCCGAACAGACGAATGAGCAGCTAAAGATGTGACTTGTTCGAAGGATCGAGTCGCATGGCGCTAGCGGTCCTCAAAGGTCAGGGCGGAAGATCAGCACTAACTGCATTGGGAAGCAACAGCGAGCAGACCAATCGCTGTCGAGTAACTACGAAACGACTCGACTTCACGCCATCCCCACCCTGGCATCACTTCATGTAAACCTTTCAAAGAAAAGAGAAAAATGAGTCAAAGTATTATAAGAACTGTAGTCTAGTAGATTTTATAAGGCCTGAAAGATCGGAAAGAGAATTACCGCGGTTTTCTATCTCAAGCCATTCGACATAAAGATGTTCGTGTAGATATTGGATATGCCCTGAAATATCTACCTATTGCACGGCATCGTCAAGAAATAACTAGAACCCATAGTCCTACTCTCGTGTTTGAACCCTTTTTATAGTGCTGGAGGAGTGTGTATTGACTGACCACATGTTTCGGGACTCCAATACTCCTTCAGAGTGAGTTGCCTCCCCATTGAGACCTTGCTGCTACCTCGACACTTCACCTTGACTCGAAGTTTTTAGAATACGGATATCTGATTTTAGACAACTAACTATTGAAACAATATTCAGGGGTTGTTGCTAGTATTCTGGTTCTGGAAAGTCGTTGAGCTGATTATGAAAGATCTTGGAGAGCTGTTTAGAGCCTTTAGTGCTATCGTACATATCGCAAGAACAGACAATTTTAACCAAAGCTGGTCTGAATGATAAAGCAAAAGATCAATCTGATCAAGGAAGCAACAGTTTCAGAGATATTATCCAGACTTGGTAGCAGTGTGCGTCCCATCTGCTCCACTGGGAACTTCACAACGGCCATGTAGCCACTCAACCCTATCATCGAGATGCGTCATGAAAGAAACCATGGCAAAGTGTCAGTACTCGTCAAGGACATTTCAAGGTCGTTTCAGTAGGAACTTTTCTGGTTTGATAGGCCGAGCAGCCAAATCTTCTGTTCATTCTCAGAACTGACACGCTCACAGCTCTGGTCTCTGAAAAGGGAGAACAATTTGGCCTCAGCGACTGAGCCATTGAATTAACGCTACTTGTATGATCTGAAATTCTCAGTATGATCAACGGTAACAGTTCTACGATTGAATTCCTTGCCATTGGCCTAGTAAATCGTACGCAGAAGTGATCAAAGCTTACTGCTGGACTTGCCACCCGAATTGGTTGGTGATAGCGTACCTGCAAGCTGTGAAAGTGCAGGTAACACGACAGTGTCTGGGTCTGAGGAAATTTTCACTTGGTAGACTCGCGCAGAAGTACAATGGGCAGCTGTGCCAACTGTGATTACAAGGACTAGCTAGAGCTAAGTACATGGACACTGAACCTGTGCCGCAAAAACTGAGGGGAGATGATTCTGTCTCTCAAGGAGGGTGGATCGCGATACAATTCCACCAAGACGTCGTGCTTAAAGGCCGATCCATCATTTCCCTGCTGCGATCCCTCTCTCATGTACAAAAAAGCCCAAATGTAGAAGACATCTACTACCCAAGAATCTTCTTAGCCTCCGAGAGGGAAAGCTCCTGAGCCTGGATTGGTCCTGTGATGCCCGTTGCCTGCATCGACTTCAGCATCAGAGCGAAGTCGAGCTTTCCGTAGTGGAGAATCCACCGTTGGAGACTTGGCATAACCTGCATAGCATCAAAGTTCTTTCCAAGTTTCTCGAAGACCACGGGTTGCTGATCAGGATCGATGAGGCGTCGGTCACCTAAGTCATCGCACGCGTTTCGGTCATAGACCAGCCAGATAGGATGGTTAGTCTTGGTGGCATCAATGACGAGGACATATTCAGTGTCGATATAGTCTTCATCCGTCTCTTCCTTAGACTTCATCTGTAGCTGCCCGATCGGCATGACTAGAGAAGGAAGCTGTTCACCAGAAGCTGTGAGCGTACCGGTGTTGGAAGGCTCCGGACCAAGGCGAGAAGGGGAGGATTCAATCTTCTGCAGAGAGATCAACGCAGGATGGGCATGATAGTCGCCAGACTCAATGTCTGCAGAGGGTGATAGTGGTGGGAGCTCCGCCTCCTGCGTCCACAGAGCCTCAGAATTTGTTGCGACTGCAAACGTATCCTCGCCATCGGTGCCGAGATCAAATCTGTCCACCCTATCGATAGTCAAGCCAAAGTGATGCTTCGAAATAGGACCGACATCTCTAAAGTCCATAGCAGCAAGCTGCTTAAGCCAATCCTCGGCTGAACGACGAGGCGATTCTCTGTCTAACTTACATGCTTTCTCTAGAAACTGATCCAGCATTTCTTCACTGCCAGTTTCATGCTTCAACTTCGCCAAGTACTCGTCTGGAGACACTAAGATAATAGGGTCAGCTGAATGCAATTCGGGGAGTGTACTTGGGAGGGTACTTACTAGTCCAAGGACTGCTAACTGCTTTCTGAATCTCCGCAACGCGATCGTCTGAAAGCTCAGTGGCGTCCATCTTGGGATCTGGTTGGAGGGCTTCGGTGGCTGCGATAGTATTGTCTGGGATGTTGATGATGGGAAGGCGAGTGTATGCAAGTTGTGAGTTTGTGGATCGGGGAGACTTTGGACCACGCCCTCGATGTATTGGGTATGGGGATGGTCTACCAGTGTCGCACAGAATGGAAGGTCGGTGAGTCAACAGTGGCGGTCGATCAAACTGCGCTTTGCTTGTTTCGGCGCCAGTGGCACATACTCTGGTATCGGTATAGGGGGTGTCAATATCGTTCGTTACACTGTCAGTTACCTGTATCATGCCCCAAAACTTGTTTCCGAAGGTTTCCCTCATGCTGGCGTGGTTTTCAGCTGCGAGAAATGCGAAAGTGATGGATGGTGCATGGATGTTCGGACATGTTCACCTGTTCAACGAGTGCAGTCTTTTGGGCAATTGAACGATATTTGATGGGGAGTAGATGAGAACATGCACATAGAGGCTAGGTGTTTGCCAAAGAGAACACATTCAGCTTAATTTATCCCTAACTATGGAAGTGCGGCGAAAGGCTTCGTCAGCCATAACATTCTCCGGGCGGCACCCACTCTCCTTGTCCCCATGGTTCTCTGGTGATCTGTAGTAAAGATAAAATGACTGTAGAGATGATCTACTTATGCTCGTGAATAGGAGTGACTCTGGTCCAGGATGCAGGAAGATCACTGAAAGTCACGTTTCTGGCCCTGATTGCTCCTGTGATCCCGGTCTGTTGGAAAGAATCCCGAATCTGCGTGAAATCGAGGGTACCATAGGATTGGATCCAATCTTGGAGACTTGGCAACACTTGGGCTGCATCAAAATTCTTTTCTGTCCTGCTGAACACAAGCTTAGTTGTCTCTGGTCTGATGTAGGCCCGGTCTTCCTCCAGACTTCCAATATTGCGATCGAACATTAGCCAGAGAGGGTGCGCATCCGCGATGGCATCAACGACGAGGACATAGTCAGTATCGACTGAGTATGAGATGCCGGCCTTGTCCGTATATCGGCTCTGTAGCCGCCCGATCGGCAGTACGACAGATGGAAGGGGCAGACCAGCTGTTGAGGGTTTGAGGGTCTTGCCATAGTCGCCAACAGCAAGGATACCGGTCTTACTGGTAAACTCAAGACAAAAAAGGCCTGGATGATCGCTGGGAACATGCGAAGAGAAAATGGCCGCCTCTTCCTTTGGTGGTGTATTGTCCACAGTCAGAACTCCAGGAAATGGTGATACAGTGAAGGCAGGTTCGCCGTTGGTAACCAGATCGAAGTCCACGACGTTGTTGATGACCAAGTCCAAGGCATGGTTGCTGATAGCAGAAGAATCTGAAAAGTCGACCGTGGTGAGCCTCTGAAGCCATTCCTTTGGTGTCTCACGTGGGGATACTATGTCCACCGTGCTGCTGCCTTCTTTGGTTCTTTTCGTAACCAGGTCTAGGAAAGCGACACGACGGGCTAAAGTGGCAATATTAGCGATCAGGGCCTGTTGAAAAACACGGAGGAAAGCTTACCATCTCCCACGGGATCACCATGAAAAGGTTCATTGCGTGGAGTGAAGAACTCAGGGTGCTCGGCAAGGATTGCAGGGAGTTCGACACGTACTTCAATCTCTTCAGCGAATTCATCGGAAGACTTTCTGGCATCCATCTGAAACAGATTTCAGTGAAAGAATTTATAAAGCCTGGATGAAAGCAACACTCGGGTTTCAGTTGTTGATGAGTCGTTCAAGATGAAAGAGACGATCTAGACGTTGGAAGGTCGAGTACACCAGAGGCTCAGTTTGGCTAGATGGGAGATGTCAGATGAGTCTCCTGGCGAGGGAGAGTGGGCGGAACAAAATTGCTGACAGAGAAAGTGTGCAGGCCGCCACTGGGTGATGCAGAAATGTAGTAGGCGGGGGGAGGGTGAGATGTGAAAAGTACTTGGGTACCGCATCAGCTTGTTTCCGACCTGGCCCCGCTTGGGGCACAGAAAGGGGGCATGCGGTTCCACGAGATATTCACCTCGCTTTCCACGGAGTTCCTCATACCCGCATGAAAGATCCCGGAAATCGGAGAAGTTCACAGGGGGCGTCTGTCTAGCTTGGGAGGTACTTAAAGAAATGTCTACTTGGTGACACAAGAGTCTCATACCGCCAGTCACATAGCCCCAAATGTTGAATGTGAGGCCACGAGCGTCTAAGGAGGTTGAAGGGGTTGAAGTGGTGGATAACTAAATCTACATCCAAGGCGTGTCGAGTGCAGACCCATCTGGATATTTAATTAGTGCAAGTTCTCAAATTTGATCTACCTACCATCCCGATTCTCATATCAGGTATTCTGAGTTTCCCTTAAGCGGAAAACCTCTTTTATTTTCTTCCTTGAAAGCCTGGGAAGAGATGTCGATCTACCGTAGACTCCAAAGGTGCAAGTTTGATGTCTATCTATACTCATGGCACGATGTGCCCAAAGAGTACTTGACACCTGAAGCGATGGAAGCATGTAGGGCAGGGGCAAGAGTTCTTACCCTGATAATGCAGGATTTGCGAGTCCAACTCGAACTTTACACCGCTATTGACCTCGAAACAGCTCTTGATGCTACCGAACTCATCACCGTCGCTTCATTCTTCTACTTCGGCCCGTTGATCGGTATGGCGATGGCTACGAAAGACAAAGCCAAGACTCGAGCGGATCATGAGAGAGTTAATAGCCAAATAGCTGAGATGGACCAGCTGTACCGGACTGTTTCTGAGGCCCAGCGCGCGCTAAGCAATCTTCAAACGGCCGGGGCTGTACGGGTGTTGGAGGATATAACGAGTATCTATTCATCAACGGATCGTTTTTTCAGCACACCAGTCCAAATTACACTCCTCAGCCCCATTGAGCTTCTCATGAGAATCGTAACAGCCCGTCAGACATGGAAAAGCCTCGGTATGATCCTTGAAGCAGAGATATGATGAGAAGGAGGAATGACTAATGGAAAACAAATGCCAGGGGACCTTTGTCAAGAATATCGGAGTCTAAACATAGCCAACTCTACAGGTGTCCAAAACACCCTAGCCAAAGCCGTCTTCGTTTGCATAGGCGTCTCAACAGGCAATAGCCCGGCATGCACCATAACAGCTTCGGCAGATCACTGGACTGGTTACCCAAAGCTTAGTAACTTTGTCAAAAAGCTACGCCAAATGCGTCGCATGGTCACTATTGGGGATGTGGGCCGTGGCAGAAATAAGGGCGCTCCGCTTATTGTCGAATGGAGCGAAGACCTCTGGAAACGACGGCTGGATGAGAACGAATCACTCTCTAGCCTTGTTGCACACCCAAAGGGCTACTTCTCTCACCTATATGGCGTCGCAACACCCCTTAAATGTCCCTCTTTCAAACCCAAGGCTAGGTGTCAAGCACTTTTCGAATACGCAGTCCCCGATGATGTTAGAGAGAGAGAGAGAACAGAGACTGCATTGTACCAAGGATTCACCTGTGCAGAGACCTACGCTCACCTTTTCTGCCGACAATTGGGTGGGAAGGGGCATGCTCCGTGTGTCAGACGCTGAGAAGCAGTGTCCATAGAACATGGTAGAGAACTTGGGTAGTCTGGACTCTTAAGAAATCTGAATTGTAAGGTCTCTTTTTCCTTGTTAATTAGCAATATTACGATTTCTTTTACCTTGTTCAAAGCACAGAAGGTCCAATTGTGGTAGACAGCTCGTTGCCAAATTTACCTCTCCTGTGATTGATGTAAGTAGGTATTGGTGAAGTCCCTGATCCCTGTAGGAGCGCTTTGTGAGTCCCGGCTGTAAGCCCCCCCGTAAAACGAGAAGGCTCAGGCGCTGCGGTTACGCTAACTAATCCTTTACAGGCGTCCTTTTCTTCTCGGGGAGGACCTCGCTGTGCCGCACCGCCAGTTTCATTGCTGGCAGACCACAGTGATTCGGCACCATTGGTTAGCACTTTTTGCTGCTATATCATGCGACTGGCATTACACTCAATGCATTGAGCTCGTTTGTTTATTAGACACCCAACCTGTCCATGCCCGAGTGTTCAGCTAACATCGTATTTTTAGATTGAGAAGTGCAGGGGCGAAGGGAGAATGCAACCCATTCCATGTAGACATGACACTTACTCAATTCTGCCGCCACTTATTGCACATTGCCGCACCTGGCCGAGATGATGGGTGTTGAAGATATGCGCACATATAACGTCCTTGATGACAAACCTGACATAGATGTTGGTTAGAAGACACGTTCTTTCATCTTTCTCAAGACCAGTGAATCAAGCGGATGGGGTCAAGCGAAACCTCAGACGCCAAACTGCCAGGTTTGATCACCGGAACATCTAAGGGGAAAGTCTTTTGTCATAAATGGGTAATGGACTTCAATCATCTAAATTCTATTCAACCAGAGATTTAATTGTTGCGGAAGAGGGCTTTGTAGACTCTATCGGCGTGGTCATGGTGAAATTGTGGTCGGAAAAAAAGCTTGTAAGGTACACCAGCTTCACCGGAGTTAGTGTCAGTCCGTGGACAGTCCCATCAAAAAAGGCCTTACTCAAAGATACATTACTCTCTAAGAGCATCCATCTTATTAAACAATAACAACAGTTCTAAATAGAGATCATTTGGAGTGATAGCATCTGCTTAATTTAGAGACTAAGACTTCCAATGAATAAAGAGAGTATATTTAGATTAGTTCATCTCCTTCAGGTTCGTGATACCGACAGGATCTACGAAATTTGCTGCAGTAAGCTTCTGAAGCCATTCTTTTGGTGACTAGAGCGGTGATTCGATCTATAGCCCATGCTCTCTCCAAAAAGGGAATCATGCTGTTGTCCCTCCTAGTTTCTCTTTCTAGCCTCTCGTTATAGTTGCCTGGAGATCCTGCCGGTCATGTTAGTAAATGGGAGCTGCGCTCAAGTATCAGGAGGGGGCTTCTTACGATCCGAACGCCGACCAACGATCTGTATAATCTCCGCATAGCGTTGATCCGATATCTCATCGGCAGCCATTGAAGCTGTGAGCCGGATGTGTTTTCGCAGTGAGACTTGTGGCTGGGAGCTTAAATCAGCACAGAGACGTGGGAGCTTAGAAGTGAAGTACGAACAACACGATGTTCAGAACGTCAAAGAAAGCAACTGCCCCCCCCTAATCCGTTGCTGTAAGGGTATTTGAAAAATGAAATTCGTTTGCAGGACGCTGAACGCCACAGACTGTTGTGAATGCGAGGTCTGTTGTCCGTATGAAGGAAGAAGCTAGCTCGGGGCCCAAGCGGGCAGGCTACATCACAAGGGATGTGTGGGCCTCAGGCACACATATCTCAACACAAATTCCTCTGACTCATTGACGAGATGAGACAGATCATGCTTCGGCTGGACATAGGTAGACTTGATCCGGGAAGAACCACGTTTAATCACCCGGTGACACAACTTTACAACCTTCTTCTCTGAAGAGTTCAAGAAAGCCCTGGCTCACTATTCGTGGAGTTCCAAACGCCGAATGGAAGATTCAGGATGTCAGTTAGAGGTAAAGCAGGATAAAGTGCGTGGGAGCCCATCGAGGCAAGTAATCTCAGAAGGCCGCGCACCACTATTCCACGCTAAGTAGCATTTGTTCATTGACTGAGTTAGCTGCCTTTTGTATTGAAGTTATGTTCAAGTCACTGTGATTCCTTGTGCATCCATGTCCCTTCTGATATCAAACCGACACCAGAGCCTAATAATCGCAACTCTGATTGGCTAGAGGAGTTTTAGTAGATGTTCTGTTCGGATTTGGCTTCAGAATTGGAATAAGGTTGCAAAGAAGCTCATTGGACTCAGGGGTCGTGTGAGCGGCTGCTAATTCGGCCGCTTGCTGAACAAGAGGCTTCCTCGTGTATAAGCATTCTTTCCAAGAGAAAACATTCGCCGTAAGCGCGCCTATAATACTCAGACAATATTTAGTGGTTGAATAGGAACCTTTGAGTGTCCTCATGCATCAACCATGTTCGCACCCAAAGCCCTTGTGGGAGTACTCAACTACAGAGACCTGCCTAATGCAGACATTAGAATTCCCGGAGCCTCGGAGCCTTTTCAAGCATAAAGACAAGCTTGATCGTGGTGACTTTTAGCAAAGACTGACTTCCACCAATGGCCGCTTGATACTGACACACTCTCGTCTTGGTAATAGTCCACTTTTCCGTCGATATTTGATATGACTGGAGGAATTAATGACTGTGATCACCTGGATACCACCGGGGCAGCACCCCCGCATGCAACGCTGGGCATTGCAGGGAATCATGCATGCACTTAAACCTGGCATCATGGAATAGTGAGAAAACATTTTAGACAGACTGGTGAAAAGTATAAAGGCTCGCGACATGCCTTATTGATATCCATTCAATGGTTTACAACAGGGAGCTGACTTCAATAAATTCATCATGCATTTCCCCAGCGCAATCGCTCTTCTTACAGCCTTGCCATCGGTCCTGGCCTGTAAGGGCTATACTGGGGGCCTTCCCAAGCATACAGGAACTAAAACTCTCGGATCTCCTCAGTATATCAAGAAAGGCCAGACATTTGATGCTGGGTGGGTAAAATATGATCGTGGGGTGAAGTGTACGGGTCAGGCTGAAGGAGGTAAGTCACAATAGCATAAACAATCCCCTGGCCGTCACTAATTTTATTCTCTAGGTGAAAAGGACACTGTTTTTGTCCTTGAAGATGGGGCCAAACTGCGAAATGTCATCATCGGCGCCAATCAACGTGAAGGCGTGTACTGCCTTGGATCCTGTACCCTTGAATTCGTGTGGTTCGAGGACGTCTGCGAGGATGCCATCTCCATCAAGGGCGGCGGTACGGCCAACATTATCGGCGGCGGAGCCTACAAAGCTGCTGATAAGATCATTCAGCATAACGGCTGTGGACACGTGAACATTATCAACTTCTATGCCAATGATTACGGCAAGGTATACAGGTCTTGCGGTAACTGCAAGGGTAACTGCCGACGCTCCGTGCATATGGAGGGCACCACTGCCGTTAACGGTGGGGAGTTGATGGGCATCAACACCAACCTCGGCGATAAGGTACGGATCAAAATCTACAAGCTACTGCGTGATTAACATATTATAGGCCACCTACTCCAATAACTGCTATCCCAAGGTCCAATGTCAGGGCTACAATGGTTGTGACAAGGGCAACGGCGCTTGTGAGCCTACAAAGGCTGGTCTTTGCTAAGCGGATGAGCAAGCGCCTCCAAACAGTGCCTATTGTGAATTTCTGCCCCAATTCTGACTTCAGAAATACTGACCGAAGATTAAGAGAATCTCGCTAGCGGATTGAAAGGTGCTGCTGGATGATCTTCTGGCATAGATGTATCGTATAACACGAATCAATACTCCATGATTTTATCTTTCTTTTCCGTGTTCCTACTCAGTGATTTTGAATTTGACACCTTTCGGCCACGTCATGCCCCCCCCTACCTGAGCACTACGAGAGTGTTTCAACGTATGGCGCTGTGTTAACCTGAAGCTGAAGTTTCGTGATAATTCAACGGCTTTCTCAAGGAATTGAGAACATAATAATACTTGTTTCTTTTTCTTTTTATGATATTTTCAGACTATTAAAATACTTATACATAGCTAAGGCAAGTATCTGTCCCGAAAGTAAAAGCCCTGGATCTTTATGCAGACCAGGTTCTCCTCGACGAAATCGATAACAAACAGCTCATACAAGCTACGCCCAAAACAAAGAAAAGCATCTGTCTCATCTTTCATAAGACTCCATTCTCTCTTTGAACACGGTTCGCTTACCTCTGACGGAGATAGTAGGGGCAAGGCTCAGATAGTTCATCCAAATAAACAAGACACCTGCGTCCGTTCAAAGTGTACCACACGCTTTTCCATGTGTCCAGCAATTGATGTTTCCATTTGGGATCACCTGGGCGTTCTTGTTCCACTTTGATCCATCCAGTAGGGGGAGTGGTTCCCTGTCGAACAATTCGGAGCTTTGCCACAAACCTCGGCGTATGGTCTTTGTTAAAGAACTTCGCGTTCATTCTTTCCAAAGGGACCCTTGACAAGGGGCTGAACTTCCTTCCATGAAAGAGGGCCGAAATACACGTCCTTGGTCTTTTCAAAGTACTGAAAACTGGCCCAATAGCCGCCAATAGCCCCGGGACTGTGCTCGTATCCCCAATGACCCACGTATGGTATGGCTTCTTTGAGAATAGGAGCATCTGGATGCATATGTGGTTTTTCTGAGCCGTTGAAGTGGCTGTCATGGGATCGTCCTTTCCAGCTGGGTACTGGATAGAGGCCAGTGTTGAATTGCCATTTGATGCCAGTATGAGCAGAGTCTGGGACGTCAGTCTGAGTTCTGACGCGTTGAAGACCCTCTATCATCCAATATCCAGCCACGTTGGGGAAGATCACAGAGAACTCTTCGAGTTTCGGGAGCTTCTCAAGATCTAGGGCTTCACCGAGAGGACTTTCGCAACGCCACATAGTGTCGCGGTCCGTGGCACGCCTGTAGAAGGACATCTTTGAAATCGAGAGTAGTTTTCGTACGGGAAGCACAGATATACCAGTGGCGGTACGAAAGTCTGGGAGGCCCATGTCGAAGACTCGCAGTGTATCAATGTCCAGGCTCATCCGAAACACAGCACGCTGATCAACAACTCCTTCAATATTCTGCTCCGCGATGGCAAACCTATACATCAATCTTGATGACAACTTCAGTGCAAGAATGGAATCCTCACATGTCGACTGCACCTTTGAATACCTCCGTAACTCTTTGGGTCGATTAAGCAGGGTTGGTGTAACTTTAGGTGAGCTTGCAAGCTCAACGATTCGGTGCTGAATTTCTCGTTGTAGTCTAACAATGAAGGATCGGGCGACTGCTGAAACCTTGCTATCTTCAACTCAAGGGGGTTCAAACCTGCCCACGGAATATCCCAACCACGGGGCCTCAGCTTCGGTAGGACTTATACTGAGAGGATCCCTATATCGTTTCTCGTTCATCCCGTCAGACCTCTGCCGAAAGAGGAAGTGCTGAAGAATCAAGGCTCGATACAAATCGTCAAGAATGTATTCCCCAAACGCCTTTTCATCATTCGGGCTTGGTCGAGGAAACCCAAGAGGGAAGCGGCGGCCATACGTATCCGTAGAGTGGTAGGATCCATCTTCAGGCCAATCGACAGGTTCAAAGACGATGATTTGAACAGCATGAGGAAGTATAAATAACGGGCGCCGCAAATACTCCTCACGCTCGACGATACATCCAGGGGGGACCGGTATATTAGTCAGGATCAGCTTCGGCTCGGTGAGAAGTGTAGCCAGAGTCGCAAGCCATTCGCGTACGGCAGTATTCTCCCGAAAGAATTCGAGGAGACGCATTGGCTCGTTTGTATAAGGAGATAGTTCTGAGCGCAGCCTGACACTGTGTACCTTCTGATTCTGAGTATGGTCAATAAGATCTTGATCCTGCGCGCTCAGGAGCAAAGCAAATGAGGTATCGGAATACGCATTGATCTTGTCCTTTTCTCGTCTACCATGGTAGTGCATGATATCAATGGCTGGACCAACAATATCTGGTACAACAATGTCCACGTACGAAAGAAAGTCTGCTTCGCTCGCGAAAGACAAATACTTGGCTGCACATGTCACAGATATCTCACCCTGGACCTCGTATTTTTGAGTCTTCAACACCCGAAGTCCTGCTGGTACATGCCCTGGCACGTTCCATGGTATCTTGCTGTTTGGGGGGTGCACGATAGAGTAATCGGAGTTGCGGTGCCACTCCGCAAGCTCCCGACTCCGGCGCGCGATGCTGCCATACCCGACAAACTCTGCACCCATCCTCTCGATGTTCTGCGGGAGGACCTTATGAACGTGCGCGTCGTGTAGCTTCTGAAGTAAGGGTACTGAACGCTTAATGGTTAGCTTTGGTCCCTCAAATTGTGACATCGTTACAGGATCGTACTAATGTGAGTGGACAAGAGTTTTCGACCTCCACTGGCTCTGTGCGCCTGTATAAATCCTGTGGTACACCTGCTAGCCTCCGTTAATGCTTCTCGCGGGTATGAAAACGGTTCACTTACCGCAGTCTTCCTCCCAAGGTGACCGTGGCCGAGCACTGCATTGACCTCTGCCCAGTCAGAGGGCCCCAAGTGTGTTTGTCAATGAACATCTAGCGGCACTGGAAGGCAATCTCATCGACTTCAGTTCCGCTGGGACCGACGGACTATGCCTAGTCAGCCACCATCAACATGGTCTAAGGACGTAGATACCGACGGAGAGATTTGATGTGTATGAAACGGCCTCCTAACCTCATTATAAGCTGGCACGGACTGAACCACATGGAAGTGTAGCAAATCAACAATGGTTTACAGGCGAAGAAGAAAGGGGCGGCGGTGTTCTAATCATATGGTATGTACATGACATCGGACAAGGACAATAAGTTTAGGAACGAACCTAAAGAGAGTACTAGTTTGCCAGAATGATCTTCCTTCATCTTCCTCACACCATAGATAATTAGAAGCACTGCTGTTGGTCTGCAGTTGGTGTAATGAACCGACTCTTGTATAAGCATGTTCATTATCTGACTCTCTAATGTGATATCACGCCTTACCTGCGTCTCACCTCTGTCCTTCTATCCCAGCATGTTTTGATTCCACTCTAGGAAGGATTGAAAAGTCCCTGCCGGTAGAGTACGGCTCATGTATGGCGGGTCCGAATTGATGCCCATTATTTACTGGGAAATCTCCAATTCCCCATATGATTTGAAATGGGTCTCTTCAAAACATGTTGTCACCATGATTGAGTTTCCAAGTGGCAAAGCTCTACAGCAATTTCTTTTTCCTTTTCCTGGTTCTACCTATAATAATACTATGCATTGCCTAGACCCCAATTATATATGTTCTGGATATTGTAACTGTCAAACTCTATAGCCACAGAAACGCGTGACAGCCAGATGCTCAATCAGTCAGCTCTGTTGACGGCGATTCCATTGAAGGCGAAACCACAGGAAAGGGGAAGTTTGATTCGGCAGCACGTTTCTAAGCTCCTGAGACATTGATCTATCTCTGATGGAGGCTGTAAGAAGGGTCCGGACTTGGCTCCTCCTTAATGGTTTTCAACGTATAGCGCACAGCGTTCTATGTCTTCAACAGTTGGTGTCTCCAGGCGGGATCTGAATCATCAGCTTCCTGTACTTTGATCCACCCTTTTGGAGCGGTCATACCCTGTCGGACAATCCACACCTTAGATACAAGCTGCGGGGTGTGGTCATCAAACAGAGCTTTATTGCCGTTCTCTCCATAGGGACCCATAATCAAGGGCTCGATGTCAGCCCATGAGAGAGGGGCGAAGTAGACTTCCTTGGTTTCGTGAAAGTATTTGAACCCAGCCCAAAGTCCTCCAACTATTCCGGGACCTCGCTCATATCCATATTTCCCGATATAGGGGATACTCCCAAGTCGGTCGGATGGGTCACCACCGTCAATATGGTTGTTGTCACAAAAGCCTCGGGGGACGCCTATCGGAGATCCCGCTGGTATTTCTGTGTCGAGTCGCTCTGCTTTGTAATAGCGGAAGAAGTTGAATAGCCACTTGGTGCCAATATGAACTATAGTTCCATTGTCAACTTGAGGTCTGACTTGAGGAAGTCCATCCATCTTCCACTCCTGCCTCACTGCTGGAATTATCAAAGAATACTCGTCTAACTTTGGAAGCCTGTCAAGCAACAAACCAGGAGCGCAGTGACGGCTGCTGTTACAGAAAGACTCAAGGGCATCCTTGGGATGATAGAGACTATGATAGTCCTCTATGAGAGGAGCTTTCGCACAGGGAGTGGGGCGCGATGGCCACGTCTATCATAGAAGCCTGGAATGTCTTGGTATCTTGAGACGAAACTCAACTGACACGTGACCTGTCACGGACTGCCGACTTTTGTCGAGGCTTTATCACTCCCCTCAGCTCCCTCTCAGCCCTTGATCAGCCCAGATCGGCCCTGCTCACCCCTTTTGGCTGAGTAGTGCCGCTCCTGTTTCTTTAAAGTTAATAGCATTATATAAATTATGCTTCTTTATAAAAAAGAAAATGCCTCTTTAGTTATATAAAAGGATGGATAAGGTAGGGTAATCTTAAGATAGTAGGTAGTTTTATTATATTATTAAATTTCAACTTATATAGCTGTCTTTAGGGGGGTTAAATCTAGAATAATTAATAGCCAACCACTCTTTAAGCCTTTGCCTTTAATTGACCGACTTAATAACCCTATAAGTTATTCTTAATAGTAACAGTTTTTATTTAACTTAATTCCTTAAGGCTCTTTTAGTTTCCTCTCTTTTATATAAAAGCTTCCTATACACATAACCTATACAGAAACAGCTAATCACAAAAGGAGCAACTACCCAGTTTCCCACAGCCTCTTATTTACAGCTGGCGATATCCAAGTTGCCTCCCGTAACAGGAATATCCTTGCAGCCCTGAATCCTGAAACTCTTCATTTTCTTCGCTTCTTTACTGGTATTCTTTGACCACTTTGTGGGCCATAAGTCGCCTTTGTCAGCGGCGGTCGCGGACCCAAGTTTCTTGCCCCGACAGCCAATGTCGCTATGGATTGAGACGGAGCAACGGGTCCAAATGAAGCTGCAGAACTCAAAAGAACCAACGCCCTTCGAAGTGATGGCCTTGTCGAAATTATAGCAGTCGTTATCTCCGACACTGCTGTGGTAGTGGCGTTTCTTTCCGTGCTGGTCTTTTCCGGTCCAGACTGTAAAGCTCCATGCGTCTGTGCCTGCGATGGCAATTGTGGTGAATGTAAGGATCGAAGCGAGCTTCATGTTGGATTGATTGTCTGGTTGTGATTTGAAATGATTGGATGTGTTTGTGAAAGACTGTGTTGTATTGCAAATATTGCCAGGCGTGACGCAGCTATTATATACTTAGCAGTGGTCTAAGATCGACGAAGATCTACAGTCATCATCGGATGAATTTCTCAGCTCAGTCATATCAAGTACTGTAATTTTTCATATGCTCATTCGATGGTGATCTTGTACACTCGAGAAGTCCTTTTGTCGGGTAGAGCTCTGGGGGAGGAATTACGGCCCCTTGCACTTAACCATGCAGTGGGGGCATTGAAATGGGGCGTAGTCGATCCTTCATTGCTAAACATAAGGCGCATAATGTTCGATGAAGCTAAGCATAGGCTTGGAGCCAGGACTCGGCGACTGTTTCCATCGAAAAAGGCACGATGGTAATAGTCCCCCCCCCCCCGAACTCCTCCTGCACACTCCTCCACTCCTAAGTCCTGATTTTAGACGAAAGTATTCAGAGCACTCTTTGCCCGGTTTCGTCTCAGATGTTAGCATGTGACCCCGCAAGGGGTTTAGACAATTACAGTACATCCACGTTGAGAAATGTCACAAGCTCCTACTGGCCAGAAGAACATTGTGCCCAGCTAACGGCGCAACGGAGTTTAAGTGGGCCAATGTCAACCAATAGTGCTCAAGCATTGGTGTGAAGTAAGACGACAGTCCAGTAGTCACGGATCTTCACATGACTCTCTCTCCGTTTCGGGCATTCTGACTCTTGCATATGTACTGGGAGCTCCTTGGTCAGCTCCGCCATAAAATTGGGATCAGCGGTGATTTCGTCAAAGAAACTGCATCCACAAAGTGCACCAGCGAGATTTGGAAGCCATTCTCCGTACCTTAGTTTCTTCCAGCCTATCCAGTAGGGAAGGCCTATTCAGAAGACGGCCTTTCGTCAGACAGCCTGACCTGATGTGTATACGATGTATACGAGTATGCATAGCCTCAGCATGTCTGCCTGATTCAGTGCGTCGATCCCGCCCCCTTACTCACTTGGCTGCGCCCCGCTCTTGCTCCTCCTTCCTTAGTTGGCTTGTAATGCGATTTCTACCGTCGTTGTTTTTACCCTTCCAAGCCACTCATGCCCCTGTAACCCCAACCTTTGGCTGAACTTCTTCTAATAATAATAGTAAACCTAATTGTGACACAAAGTAAAGCCTATTAATTTAAACACGAGCTCTTATGCTTTATTTTCTTGAATATCTTTCCTATTTTAGCCATTGGTTTAATTCCCTGGCCCTTTCTAGATACAACGTGATGACCGAAGGTGGAGCCCATTTCCAACCGCCAATCGAAGAACTCTTTGGCCCGCTCATGGGTCAGTCTAAGCAGGGATGATTATGCATATCAGGTTCCGATTCCCCGTTGTCGTTATTGTTACCAACGCGACAGCTTGGTAAGGCTGCAGCAAACAAGATGAGATGGGAGTCCATTGCAGTTCGTGAAGCTCGACTGGAGCGGGACTGTCTAATATTATCCGCTATGCCCAGGCATCATCCGTTGCGACCAATATAACAATATAAGCCCTAGTCCCGTTACCTCTGCAACGGGGGCCCTCGTTTTTGGGCGTCATTTGGTCCAGCGGTCTTAGCAACATCATCCTGCCCTGCGCTGCGGCTGAACGTGGGACTCCACTATATATATTTCAGGGGTTAAACTATATTCCCCCACACAAGCCGCTAACGTGGATGATGATCAATGGCATTGCTCCAACCCCGGGCTTGAGTTGCAAACCCTGGCAGCAATATGTTTGTTGGTGACCTTATCTGCGCGGCTAAATTATTTCAGTTGCTACAACCACGGGGCAATAATGGTTCCGAGCTTACATTGGAGTATTTGTAAAAAGTCTCACTGGGAAGGACAGTAGAAGCTGGCTAAGTCAGGAAGAAAAAGGAGAGCAACGCCCCAGAAAACCTCCATCTCCATCACTGTGATACACCATCCTCGCTTAAGCACCACCCCAAGCGACACTCTGCTTCCTTCACACTTTTCAAAATGAAGTTCTCTGCCGTTATTGCCTTGCTCCTTCCCCTCTCCGGCGTCCTCGCTTCGCCAGTCACAGACTCTGGCCCTATTGGCATCGCAAGAGACGAACATGCCACAGGAACTGAGCCCTTGAGCGTCGATCAGAGCGAAGCTGATTTGGTGGGTCGTGACATCTTTTCACGCTCCACTAGGAAGTGCAAGATCGTCAACGTCTCGAACCGCGCCTTCTGCCGCAGTGGACCTGGCACCAACTATCCGATCAAGTACTCGGTGTACAAGGGCCAGGAGTACAAGTTTGATTGCTACAAGAAGGGAACTTGTCATGAAGGCAACTGGTGAGTTACTATGAACCTGTCAACAACGGCATTACGTGTCTGATGGTCGTGGTCTTGTAGCACTTGGGACCGCCTCCCGCATGCTGAAGGGTATTGCTACGTGTCTGGCGCCTACACCGACAGCCGATGCACTAAAGGTTCGTATATTCTCTTATCTTACACGCTGCTGGTAACGCGTGTTCGTTGCTAATCTTCTACCCATGATAGCCGCTCTCGGAAAGTGTTAGGTTGTTACTCTACTTAATCATATGCTGCAGTAAAAGCACATTGCAGGCTACTTCGTCCGATCGAGGGCCCACAATGCCAACATCTTTGTTTCGACTAGCGTTGAAAGCAGCCACCAGTGGCAGGCCATTAGACAACAAACTACTAGTTAAGACTTTTACACACATCAGAAGTACACAGGGTCTATTTGCATAGCTGTCTAAATGCGGTTGCTTGTGATAATTTTTTTAGCCTCAATCCATTTAAGTCTCGCTTTATCTTCTTGAGACTAGACTTTATCTGTGCGATAATGCTACAATGATGATACCTAAAACGAATTTCACTAGATTAATTAGGTGACTTGAAGTCATTCACCATATCTTCGACAATCTTCACACTATAGCTAGCAAATGGTTTATTAGCTTATAGATTATAAATAATTATAAGAATAGCTTCTGTATAAAAATAGTAAATTAGGTCTTACTTATAGTAAGTATAAGTAATAAAATATATTTATTTTACTTTTATAAATATAGGCTTAAATCGATTTGCCTCTTTAGCACCACCCTAACATTCAATCTCAGGGTTCTTTTTCTTAGCCTAACGTGTTTCATTTAGATTAAAGGTTCTCGGACTTAATTGTGCCGATTGCGGGGGGGCTGACTGCCAATGTCGAGCCAGAGATCTGAAAGCTCATAACCTCCTCTCTTCTCCCCTGAACATCATTCTTAGACGTTCAAGTTTGACCTCAAGCTTTGGATGTGCAACAATTCGCTTCCGATGTGATAATGCCCAACATGGATCCAGCCCAGCGTCAAGCAGAAATTGGTGTACAATGCCAGGTATATCAACCTCTGATCCATCAGCAGACAAGAGCTCTTCGAGTTCATCCATCGGCTGACTCCGATGTCGAGATTGAATGCGACCTATTCACGATTGACCTCAAAAAGAAATCAGGCGCAACAGTCGCAGGAAACTCTAAGAAGGCCGGGTACGAGGCATTGTCGTACACTTGGGGGGATCCCGAGCCAACCAAGAGAATCTTGGTAAATGGGCTACCGTTCTGGATCTCTGCGAATCTCTTCGCGGCGCTGAGACAACTTCGGCTCCCGGAACGACCCCGACTGTTGTGGATAGATGCTATCTGCATCAATCAAAACGACCTAATTGAGAAAGCAGGCCAGGTGGGGATGATGTTCAGCATCTATCTCAAGGCGTACAGGGTCGTTGTCTGGCTGGGTCAAGCGACTGATGATGACGAATATCTCTTTAACCTGCTCGAGACCTACGGCAGGGAGGGTATGGGTGGCATTCGTGGAGCGGTGGAGGACTCAAGAGCACGGAGAGCAGCTACCGAGCTCATCGAGACCAAGCCATGGTTCCAGCGGACTTGGACCCGACAAGAGGTACATGCGGCTTATAAAGTCCACGTGGCCTGTGGAAGCCGGGAATGTTCTTTCGAAGACTTTCAGTTCGTTATGGGTCGCCTCCTCCCAGACATGGATGAGATTCGGGATACGTTCAGACCCCATCGTGATCCTCGGGAACGAGCCTTGAGCGCTAGGAGAGCATACGTCTTCTTCAAACATCATTGCGAGAGCGACATGTACACTGAGGGAGGCGGATTCCATCAAGCCTGGTTCAGGATGATTATGCGAAGCAGTCTATATGAAGCGACTTTGCCACAGGACAAGGTCTTTGCTGTCCTGGGAATCATTAGAGAGATTACCAAGGAGGCCTATGACGTTACGGAAGGGTTCCCGGAGATTGATTACTCAAAATCAGTTTCGACAGTGTTCGAAAGCTTCCAGAAGCACACAATCAACATCAGCCAAACTCTTGCCAGTCTCCAGATCTTTTACGACAGAGACGCCATCGGACAGGACTTGCCATCCTGGGCTATCGATCTGCGCCAAAACGTTACCCGCTTGATGCTTCGATTCGGCGTATTCCACTTTGACATGCCCTATACGGCGCCTCCAGTGCAGGCATATGATGACTATGGGCTTTTGCGTCTCGAGGGAGCCCGAATTGGAGTTATCGCCTCGACAGAGAGTCCTTGGCAAGGTGGAATGCACCGGGAGTTCAACTCTGAGATTTTGGGATCTTACTCTTCAGGGGTAGGACTGGAAAGCTGTTATTCGAGCCATGACTGGTGGATGCCCGATAATCAGGGCAACAAAGGCATCGAAGAGATATACAAAATTCTTGAGAAGCGCTGCTCCTACAATTGGGCAACCTTGGAACCTAGGACCAACGATGTCATCGAAGAGTACAATCTAACTCGACATCGCTGCCTAGTATTTGTGTCGCATCTGGTGCGAGAGGGAGATATCATGGTTCATCTGTCAGGTGCCGAGATGCTTTTCGTCTTGCGGCCAGGTACAGAAGCAGGACGCTTTAGCTTTCTAGGTCCAGCTATTATCGCGATGGGAGTGGTGAGGAAACTAAAGGACAGGGATATGTTCACATATGCCTTTCCTCGCCGCGGAAGTGGTTGCGATGTTGACTCGCCCGAGAGCTTTGTGCTCATCTAAGGCGAACTTTGGTATACTTTAACAGGTAGAAACAGAGCATCTCTTGACCTTTATAAGTAGGAGGATATAATCTTGATTTCATATTCATGTAACAGCCCATTGAAGAAGTTTCGATACATATGGCTAGAACATTCTCATGGTGCGGAGCAATCGTGGCCTCAAACTCGAGGTACTCAAAAGACCGGGTAAAAAGTCTGTTGGGACGTCAACTGCTTTGTCGCCCCGCACGACTTTGCCTATCTTGTAAGTCCTATAGTCTGCATGATTTTAAGAGATAGACTAGTTTCGGCTAGGAACCGGCCTGGGCATATGCGTCGTCCGAGTCCGAACACATCTTGTCTCGGGTCTGGCTCTAGCGTTCTAATAGCTTTGCTATCATCTGCGCTCTCGCGCAAGAACCGGAAGGGGTTGAAAGATAAAGGAACTTTGTATACAGTTGGGTCATGACTGAACTCCCTGCCAATTCATTTCAGTCAACGGCTCTTATTTGATAGGTAAGTACAGCATTTGTAATACTAGTCACCAGATATTAGGAATTAACATAGAAGCACTATGATAATGTAGACTTTATATGTAACATTCCTTATAGTCCAATGGGGCAGACAAGTTGGGACAACTGGAGGACTTGGCTAATAACTGATTGCCCAGTAGACAAACTTGGAAGAATTAACCTTATCTACTAAGGCAATATATTTAAAGGCGTCTAAATAGTTGTAAGATATCTATGTAGGATTTATTTCATTCTGCAGAAGACTGTTACTTACACTTTAGTAACAGTGGTTAAAAAGTAAGACTCTATAATTGAGGCTTAAAACTAATAAGTAAATTTAAAGTAAAACTGCTCCTTTAAAGCTATTAACTAAAAGAAAGATTAAGACATAATTAATTTGATTCTTTAAAGAGAACTTACTGGGGTATATAACCAAGAATTGGCCTGCCCAGACACCTCAGCCTAACCCCAGCCCGCCTCAGCCCGAACTCAGCACCAACGCAGCTTAAAGTGGCAGGAGCTCAGTTCTAGAAACGAATATAGACCCTGGCGTGCTTGAATTTCGTCTCCAAGTTATATGGTATCTATGCAATATCCGCAATGTGTCAACCTCCAAGTTCATTCGAAAGATCACTGCCCATAAAGGAAGATGGAAAGACTGGCTGATAGCTTCAACTGAATTCGCAGTCTTTACCAAATAATACATACCCCGGGACGTCAATTTGAGAGCTAGAAGTGAATCTTCGGAGGTACACCGGATCTTGCGGAACGCTCGTACCCATCCATCATACTCCTCTTGGATAGTTGGTGTCACCTTGTGTAAAGTTGCAAGTTCGACAATGCGAAGTTGTATTTCTCGAGGGAGCTTCTAAATGCAAACCGTTCCAATGATGGTGGGTTGAGAGCGCCATGCCAGGGATAGTAGGAGCGAACCGTGGTATATCCTAACCAAACCTCTGAACCCTGAGAGATATGGGCATCTGCTCCTTTGCCTGGCTGCTGCTGGAGGTGGAAGAACATAAGAAGGGGAGCTCGGTAGAGGTCATCGAGACTATACTTGCCACAGACCTTCACATCATCGGGGCCCGGCTTCGGATATCCAAGCGGAAAGCGACGCGGGTATGAGTCTGTGGATGTGTATGGCATATCCCCACGCTCCTGCAAGGGGGCAAAGAGAAGGATCTGAACGGCGTGAGCAAGGATAAATATTTCTATGCGAAGCCCGGCCAGAACTCCCATGAAGCCCTTCCGAATGGATGGTAGCAGCTTCGGTTTGGTGATAAGGGTAGCGAAAGTATTGACCAAACGGCGAACCGAATTGTCGTACATGTAGACGTAGATAAGGTCTAGTGTGGATTGACCGCGTTTGGTGTCACAGAATGCGCTGAGAAGCAAGCCCAGCGATTCGAGTTTTGAAAGACTTTTGTTTAGTTCTTCGTTGTCACCATTCGCCCCCCAGGCGAAAGAAGTGCCGTCGTACTCTCTGATCTTTTCTACCCAGTTATCCAACGCCAACACGTCGATGGCAGGTCCCACGATACCTGGGAGGATGTTTTCGTCATAAGAGATGAAGTCAGCCTTGCTGGCAAACGACAGGTACTTGCTTGCAAGCTCGGCGGAAATCTTGAATCGCGAGATGCCTGGGACATCCAAAATATTTATGACACGAAGCTGCTTCGGACGATAATCCTCGTATTTATAATCGAAGGAGGCAATGTTGGCACGGGTTTCAGGATACACGATAGAATAGTCGGCGGTGCGGTGGGCCTCAGCGACCTCCTGACCCTTGGGACCGAGGCTGTCAAACCCGGCTTCTTCTGACGCCATTCTGTCGATACTGGCGTGGGGAAGGTATGGTTGTTGCTCTTCATGGCGGATATATTAAGACTGAAGTTTCCTGGACTAGTCGTTAGCTTTGATCTTTCCGCGACTTTCAGTATTCATGAAGTCTTGTGCCGGCTCTTGATAACACTTTGCAATACTCGCGTGCTTCAGAAATACTGATTTGTCTTTGCTCTGGGGCATGGAAGACCCGAGATGGCTCAGCAGTTGAGTCAAACATTGAGCCAAGGTGCACAATAGCTGCTAGATGCGTTGTTGAAAGGGTGTAGTACGAGCATTGAGGGTGGTGTAGATGGAGATGGCAGGAAAAGGGTGATAGTTGCAAGATGAAGAGTATGGGAGAGAGAAGAGAGAGGTGATGGGGAGTAAGAGAAAAGCAACAGAGAGTTGAGGCAGTGGATATCTCAGCTGCATGGACCAAGTTCTTGTTCACGGTGGGGTCAGATTCAGTGGCCAGTGTTCACTTCCCCGGCGTCTCAGGGCTCATTCCACCTGGCGGTCTTTCGATTCGTGTGGTAGTTCATGCATTTCTATGAACGAGACCTCTCCACCCAGCAGTGTTAGACACTTTACCAGCATCCATCGCCACAACAGCACCAATAGAAATTAAAATTAACATGAATTACACTGTACCTCTCAGGGAACACGGCCGCTGAGCCCCCTCCTGGTCACAGAACTATTGGCGAGCAAGCAAGTTCAGCAAGTGGAACGCCACTGGATCTGACTTGAGAAGCCACTGAAACACCGTCACTCTTTGCAGTTGAGCATATGGTGTTTGTTTCGTCATGGAATAGGCATCTATGTTCAAACGACTTTCCCAGTTTATCTCACAGTTGTCTGTGTCGCTGAACGTGAATCACTCCATATCTGAACGATATCCAGGGCTGAAAAGACATCTCCAAGCTTTTCTGTTCACGGCAACAATAGTTGAACTCTGGACGACCCTGCCACTAGCATCCTGAGTAAGTATCATACTCACTGTATCCTTGTGGCATCGTCAAGGCCAACCCTCATGCTAGAGGGACAGATGGAGTTGGCGGACCACTTGTCAACTGCAAGGTTTAGCCCTCTGATCTCCATTCCCTGGAGCCAGAAAGCTGGATAGCACCAGCCCAATCTTGAGCAGAGTGGTGCGTCTCACAATCGGAAGATCAAATCCAACTCTCGTGCTGCGGCGGTCTTTTCCTTCGTTCTCTAGCCCCTAGAGTTTTCTTGAAACTTGGGCATCGCAAGTATCGGTGTGTTGTAACAAGACCTCTCAGATTAATAAGGTAATTATGAATACACTGAAAAGAGCCCCATACCTATGTGAAATAATGCGGTTGTCTCAGGGTTCGGTGCAATCAGAAGGTCGTGGCGGTATCATGTTTATGAGTTAGTCAAAGGGCTACAAAATACACTTCTAGTTTAATATAATGAAATGGCTATTGCTATCAATAACGCAACATTACTATTACGATATTTATTGAAAATACCATGATAAGAAAGCTCTGAGCTAGCTACCAAGCATCATTCAAAGCTCTCTCTGGCAACATCACTGGTGATGTCTCTCTGGTGTATAGCTCGAAGGAGGACCAGGAGACCAACTCGGGGAAGACACACCAGGCGAGACAGGTGTCTTCCTACCAACTTCATACTGAGGGAGCTCGTTGGCACCATATCCATTGCCATGCTGTTCTGCAGGAAGCTCTGTAGGAGGTACTTGTGAAATGGAGATGGACTGGTGAGGACTCATATGGTGCGGGCTCACGGGCTCTGATGCATGGCCCCAATATCCTGTCGATGTGAGCGGACTGACTGTGCTGGGAGGATGTATCAGGTTGCCCCCGTTGACCTGATACTGATTCTGTGTCATTGAGGATTGACGTCTCTCTTCACGACGGCGGTTGACTTTCTTGCCGATACAGAACCATATGAGTAGAAGGATAGCTAGCCCTGCAGCACCGCCGATGGCAATGCCAACGATAGCACCTGTAGCTAGTTTCGAATCAGGGCTGTTTGTCTCGGTTGGCTTTGGCGACGCAGTTGATGTACCCGTCGTGGAGGGGATCGATCGTGTTGGCGAGCGCTCTGCTATCTCTGGCCTGCGTCCAAGCAAGTCCTGCAGCGGCTTGTTTCCCTCATCGAAACCATCTTTGGGGGCCACGAGTTTTGCACCACCTTTCTTGTTTCCACCAGTGACATTGTACACATCGACAGGTACGACGTTCTCAGTGATGTTGGGGTTGTAAATAGCCCAGTAAGTCTCGTTATTCCCAGCATTGTTGTTTGTTCCAGTCCAGAAATTGTGCATTGACCAGGCATCATATGCTAGATCGCAGGCGTCTGTGTCGGTGTAGGTGCCTCCGATGACGAAGAGCTGTGACATGTGTTTTACCATATTGCATGATGCGCTGTAGTGGTCGTACTCTGGTGGGAGGGTAGCGTTTCCGTGATGGTCGGGGTATGCCTTCACCCAGATGAACGACGGGAGGGTGAGGATGTAGATGTCGTTGAATGAGGTTGCGTTGACAACGGGGGGTTGCACGCTCAGTCCTCCCCAGAGGTATCTTTGACGATGTGAGCACATGATCCTGGTGATGGAGACAAAAAATGGGGTTGACTTACATGTTGAAGGAAGACTTGTCTGGTGCCCACGCCACATCGACGCAGAATTGACGCCTGTTCTGCGGTATCTCTCCAGTCGTCTTCTGGGTTGACCATGAGTTTCCCTTGGCATCAAAGACAAAGACTTCATCAAACGCTTGAGGAGCTTCCGTGTTGTTACCATAAGGGTCGACAATGCCTCCCAGATACACAAGTAGGCCGAGAGAGTCGCCGGCAGGTATCCAGACCATGCCTCCTTCAGCTCTGGGCTGTTTGCTAAGACTAGCCGCCTGTGTGAACTTTCCTGAGTCGTACGAGTACGTGTAGAAGTTGGAGCTCATGGTTCTGTCGCCGGTCCATCCGCTCATCGAGGCGTTGCTTATCCATCCTCCGAGGTAGTAGCCCATGCCAGTCTCCGAGACACCGACACCAGCGCCGTACGAGGCTACCTTCGGCGGAGGGGTTATATCGGGGGTTCCAAAGTCGTCCCATTTGTCGTAGATTATGTCGTAGCTGATCAGACTATACGGCTCTTGTGAGAAACCGTTGTTCCATTCGCCGCCGTAGAGGTAGAATCGCTTGTTGACGCTGTCGCCCCAGAGTATGCCGCCGTTTACGCTCGGAATACTGTTGCATTGGCGTTAGCAAGAAAGACGATCCAGAGAGTAGGGTTCATCTCACCTGTCGTTCTTGCTTAGGCTGATATTCAGGTCAGGCCAAAGATCGCCGCCTCGTTCGACGAGGTTGTTGAGGTCATGGTATGAAAGCCAGGTATCTGGGAAATAAATAGTGGCCAAAAAGACTTGTCTGGAAGCTCCTGGGCTGACATACTGGAGTAGTTCTCGTGAGTTTGCTGGAAGTCATCAAAGTTGACCCAGCCGCCATCGATGTAGAGTTTGTCGTCAATGACCGTTGTTTGGTGAGCAAATCTTCGGCAAAAGTCATCTTTGGGGTTCTTGGCGGTGGTCCAGTTGACAGTGAGAAGCAGAGCAAGTATAGTTTGAGTGCATATGAACCCAATTTGCTTCCGTATGAAGGTCTCCATGGTCTGTTTCAGTAGAGTCGCAGATGAAATGGGGAGGCTTCGTAACATGGACACTCAACTCCGCACAACAGTGGGAGTCTCCCCTTTTTGAGCCTCCTTCTCATGCCTGTCTCTCTTCGGGTAGAGATCAGGCTCTGCAAATCTGAGGGGAAGTCGGCGCCATTGGGTGTTCTAGATGGTGATAGCGCATGCCAGCTAACAGGGGGTATCTTGATGAAGGGTGTGTTCTAACCAAGGCTATCGAAAGTGGCACTCGAATTGCCGCAAGCTGGACAGATCGTCCTGGTTCTGGGCACAATCGATACCTACTGTAGACGGGATGTGGCTGTTCGGATTTTTATGGCGTGCCTGGCTGATTAAGAGGTCGGTGGCGAACACAAATATTTCTTCGTGGCCGGTTGGTTCGCAACTACGATGTTCATTTGACTGGTGTTCTGTGGGTGAACCTGCTGTTCAGCATCCTCTGTCACACGGTACATCGCGGAACATGCAGACTGTACACCAAGTTACTGATGCCAACTAATGGACAAGAAACGGCCGCGACCAACATGTGCAAATGGCGTTGGGTTCTGAGGAGCGGGAAATACCGACGACAAAACGCCATGGCCTGAGCCAGCTGTTAATAAGAAGAAAAAGAAATGCTTGCGGTAGCTCATGCTTTTACATAACCGTACAAAGAAGCATAAAGTGCTCACTAGGGCGTTGACTACAGGAAAAGGTGGTATCAAGTGCAGCAGCATCGCAAATCACAGTAAGTGATGTTCAGGAAATATTGGTGGCGCATGCAGGGAGGTGCCCTCACCGGAACGCCACACAGTTCAGCTTCTGCAGAGGCTTTATGCCGTGGCCGTCATCCTTGCACAATCATGACCCTCAGGCCTCGACCTCCGCTTTTCGACGGGGAAATCTCAGGCCTGAACTCACTGGAGCGGTGCAACTGGGTTTTCTTTCTAATGCCCGGGCGGATCGTAATAAACTGTACTCACCGCGAGACGACCAAAAGGTGTCAAAAGAGAAGAAGTACGTCGTCAACTTCAAATTCTTTAAGTGGCCAATGGCATTCACAAATCTTAAGTCTCAAAATTAGATTAAAGTACTCATTATGTCAATCTGTCGCGATAGGGGGAGGTATGGCGCTGTGCTTGAAGTGTCCCAAGTAGCTGCCTTCAGATTCTTGCTTCTTCCCTCCCGTCATGTCTTAGTCTTTATATCCCAAGTATCCAGTTCTTTACGAATATCGAAAAGGAGAACATTCGTCAGGCTCTCCAAGGGTAAGGCTTGCTTCAAGTCTCTTCTGTGTATTCTTATGTTGACTCCCTCCTCTCTCTATGTGACATGCAAATCAACCTTGTGTCGGTCATGCGCCTGATAGTTCTGGTATCTGACCACTAGTTAGACGCAATGGCATTCGAGAGTTGCTGGGCATCGTCTTGGTGACGGTAACCTGATCAAATGCTTTTTGAGGTATTTAGGTATCTCCAAGAGCTGGGACATCACGTCGACCATTGTGAGCCTTTGATGTGCATCAAGAATGGTTCTCTGAAGTTCGAAACCCGATGTAGTATATTCCAGGCTTCCCAGGAGCTACCTCCCACAAATCCAGCGTCTCGAAGACATTCTCAATTCATTCATGTACCGTGTACCATCAAGTATTTTTGCTTCCGTGAGCATCGGCGTGCTTGGTTCTATGCCTTGTCTATTATCATGTTCAGCAATGTATACCCAACCTTGAGGCGCCGTTCTACACTTGGGAATAGCTCGAAGTGAACTAGAGGGAGTCTCGCTTCCTCCATGGCTCAAGAAGTCCCTCGATCTGGGATCCTCAAAAGTCCGCATTTGTTTCTCTACAGACTGGGTTGCTTGGCTCGTATGGAAAAGTCACCATCGAATTACAGGGCAATTCAATAGCGGTTGTAGGCCGCCAAAGGCGTGCTGTACCAGATGCTTAGACTATCTACGAGTCCAAGGTTGAGGTCAAAGAGGCTGAGCAGGTATTCGACCTGGTCTCAGCTTTTCACAAACTCTGGGACGCCACACAGTGTCTTATGGAAGGACATACAATCGAGGATAAAGAGGCATCAGTATCCTCCAATAACTTCGAGAATGTCTGCGTCACATGACCCTTTGATTTGAGGATTTTGCATCATCAAGGTCGGGGTCTTGACTCCACTTCAGTATCAGCTTCGGTGCAATATCTCCTTGGCCAATATTCAGCTTCGCAATGCTCTGCTTGGAAAGTTGAATTATAGATGGCTATTCCTCCTCTTGATAGGTCTCCCTGAATCGCTGAGCTGAGAGAGCCTTTGGCCGTAACTGTTCAATGGAACCGAAAGCTCACCTGTTCAGTTTTGCGGTACGTAGACTTCTTTGTGTACGCTTGTGAACAGAACATAATGTTCTATTCATCGCTTGATGGAAAGGTCAGGTCTTGGAAAATCCGACGTCTTGGCCCCACGAACCCGGTCCGTTGGGTTCATTTTGCTTCGATATCATGTACAGGATCTGCCAGATCACAGGTGAACACCTGTGCGCAGTGCATAGAAGAAACCATTGGAGGGGAATGATTTGGCATTACTACTTGCCCTTTACCCGCTTTCGTCGCTAGGCACTAGAGAATACTTTGACATTGGCAGCACAACATTAGAGCCAGTGGCAGCGACTCGCAACAGTCCACTAGCGCCAAACCAATAAATGCTTCTCTCCCTCTCTGTTTTGACATTCTTTCTTTCTTTCTTCCTTCTTCATCCTTTTTTCAAAATCACAGGATTCCTTCCCTTCTACCACATCAGTCGTTGATCTCTTCCAAAGACAACTCAACCTTTCCCTTACCTCAAACGCTCCGACGATCAACCCAGCGACTTGACGTTAATTCCAAACTGGTTAACCAAATCGACAAACAACGTAGCACTCGCTCGAGTGCTCACCAAAATCTCGGTACGAACATCCAGAAAGGCTGTGGTGGTACATCAGAGAACAATACTAACTCACATACTCTCTCACAGGTAGGCACGGCTACCGTTGCTGTCCAAGCTGTTGAGGCTCTTCTACCAACCCCGATCGCAAGTGACCACCGAAACTATGGAGAACGACAAGACAGACTATGACGATAGCCCGGTCAAGTACATAAAGAGGTTGAAATCTATGATTAACCACACCGACGGCGATGATATTGCTGATCTTATGCCTCAGCGTCAGACACCAGAGGAATGGCTTGAGGCGCTCACAAAACTGGACTTTACAGACTGTGCCTCTGTTTACGAGCTTCAGTCTGACTTGATCGATTATGTCATCGAGAAATTCATTCTGTGCACTGGTAAAGATGTCTTTACTGTTTCGGCATGGCCCGTCGCTATGACTTTAGAGGAACCGCCAATTTCGGATCTCGACAGCCTCCATCCAGGCCTTCTGGCTCTTGAATTCTTCCGCGGATCCGAAGCTCGACCTGCTCCCGCGGATGAAAAAGTCCCCAAATCATCACTTCCTCGCGTAGTGTTGCCCATAGGACGCTTGCTCAAAGGATACACAACAGAGAGTGGTATTTCAGATTCTGATGCGACTGCATATGTCCTGGTCGTTGATACCATTACGCCTGGGCATCCTGTCTGGCTGATCTGGGATCGGCTGGCTGGACACGAACCCGAGCTACACTACGTCCACCCAGACAAACATAACCCGGATTTTAACGGAGTTGGGAAGAACTTTGATGCTGCTCAGATTCTCCCCAGTATTAACGACTGGCTAGAGTCCTACGGAAACCTCGACCTCAATCAGCTTGAGGAGTCTTACAAGGCGACTTGTATCACCGGTGCTGTACAGGCCAAGGAAGTTCTCTTATCGGAGGCTGAAGAGCTTTTGCGCCAGTAGATCACCTCCATGGGCGACTACTTTGGACATCAGGGAGTTATGGGCCACCGGAAGGAATAAGTCAGAGAATGGGAATTCTTTTACACTCAGACACAATCTTTTGAGTGACATTGGGGTCTGCTATGGGCAGGAATCAGAAGGGTTTCTTACGGTATCAACAACATCATATGATATATTCATAGTCGTGAATAAAATGATCCGCCCTTAATCTCATGTGTATTACAATGACCTGATGTGATATAAACTCAACAAAGCGGCAAATTCCTGTTAGCAAAATCTGTGAAAGATTGTCCTGTTACCAACGAAACCCGACCAAAAGAAGTGCCTGTCCATCCATGCAACACCAAGTATCCAACTGATTACTCTCATCACTCAAACTGGACTGGCTCGACTCGATTAATGTTTCTCTTCGTAAAAGGCTCACAGATCACATAAACCTTCTTCTTCGCCACTCTCAATCCCTCGCCATTGTAAGCAACCTTGCGGGCATAGACATTCAGCTCTCGATGGGAGATGACTCCAGACGGAGGCCTGAGATGCACCATCATGACATTCGGGCATTTCTGGCCGTGTTCTCGCAACAGCTTCGCACGCGCGATGGCATCAGCACGATCTTGATACCCCGGTATGAAGGGTGCACGGGAGCCTGGGTGCTCAAAGATCTCCTCCAGACCTTCTCGAACATCTTCAAGAAGGTCGTCGTATATTGCTCCAGGCATGTCGATCTTGTCTGGGACTTCAAAGTACTTGGGAGTAGCGCGACGGGGCGTGACACTTTGTCTGTGCATCTCGACATCACCAGTTGCGACCCAGCAAGGCGTTCCAATCTCCAGGTCCCATGCCATGATTGATGCTGGCGGTTATATGATTGGATTGGTGATGAGTATGTAGAAGTGTTAGATGAGAAGTTTTTTGATTGCAGTCACAAAATTGGAGATTCTTTTGACGGGGTCATATGTAGCAGCGAGTTATGTGGTGACGTGCAGAGAATAAAAGAAATCCAGTTCCCGAGAGATTGCCGGGCATCACTCGATACTTATGCGCAATTACAAGCTGTTACGTCGAATTATGGAGCCACTTACGCGCTTCGCTTTCCATCGATCCCGTAGACTTTTGGCTAATACAAGAAGAGCATCAGATCACACGATCAATGCAGGCTTGCAATTTAGCTTACTAAAGTTCTGCGATTGTCACCCAACATCATCCGGAGGATACCGGGTGCATGAAAGGAGGGTGAAGCTGAGGAGGAATGTGACCTAGCATCTAACGAACGTTGTACGGACTGTAAACTGAGTTCGTTTGGTTCGTTAGGCTTGTGTGATAGTGTGAAGTGGCTATACTTCCAAATACTCGAGTCTCGCCAATTTCGATGATGCTAGAGAGAAATGTCCAATTTACATCATGATTGACATTTCTGGTCGGGGTCTTACCCCAGAGTGACGGCTATAACGGGAAATGCGAACGGCTGTCAGACGAGTGCTCATATCAGGAGACGAACGCGGAGAACTGCGGGGTATCTCAACACCACTGCCCCAAGTTTGAGTCTGGAAGAGTCCAGAGAACAGGTCGGATGGCACGTGAAGTGTCATATCATATTTGTTACCATTTCCAGCTGCTTCCTAATTCGGCGATTGCCAGCTGACTTGTGATGCGGCCTTACGAAATGATCTAGCTCCTCGTTTCTTCTTCTGAATTTATTCTGCGAGAGTTTAGCCAAAGACGATCTTAGAGACAACATTAGGAATGACGGTGACAGAACTCTGATTGAGAAATCGGCTCAATCTCCCCAATGTTGATTTGAGTCAACTATCATGAGCCACAAGAATAACACAGTCCCGAGAATATATTGTTAGGGATACAAGATGTGGCCATTCTGTCAGATCCGATAAACTCGCTTAGAGAATCTCCAGATCAACAGGAGCAGATTCACCGACGCAAGACCACAATCGAGTCAAAAGCGCTCTAAACGGAAACGACTCGTCCTTTGAACAAAGGCTTCCGGGCTTTACAGATGATAAGTTTAACGTCGGAACTGCCTTTGGCGACCAAGATCAATCCTTGATTGGTAAAGGTGCCGGCCGCAGAGTCACAAATCATGCCAAGGCATCTCAATGAATATTATCTTCAATCGTCTTACTCGCCGAGATAGTGATATAGACGCACCATGGTTATTATAAAAGAGGCAACAGTTCGTGATCCCCGTTGTAGCCGCAACACATACTCGCTAGATAATGGCTCCGGACCGTTTCAATCCTATTCCTATTCAATCAAAAGTGGTAAGATCGATAAGACCTCCCTCTCCAAGACCTTACTCAGGATTTGACAATTAAAGTAGGTTTGAGTAAGGCGCGCGATACGGGCGTCAGCTGTCAGGTCTATCAGCTCAAGATAATACCCCAATAAACATTCAGGCAGCATACCAACTGCAAGCAACACATCTGGCTCATGACTTGAGAAAATGACTTATTCAGTGTAAGTCTTTGACACGAACTCTTACAATAATTAGAGTTTGTATGGTCTAGACGTGAAGCTACACTGTTGGATACATCTAGGCTCCGTGTTCTTCTCAACGCCACGGTTCGGAGACCTCACCCCTTCAACGACAGATGGTGATGCCTTCACTCTTTCGACATGCCAAAGCCACGAGCTCACGTGACTTGAGCCCTGAGTATATAACCTCTTCCTACCTTTTGACTTCTCTTTCCTTTCTTCTTCCTCCTTCATCACCCCTCTTGAGTTTCTATATCACTCTTTTCAGACATATCTGTTCGGAATTGTGATCATCGGCCCTCTTTTCAGGCAGGTCTGCTTGGAATCGTCAAACAGCGCCTTACACGGTTACGAGTCACACGGCCTTTCCACGCCAGCGACAATTCAGTATACACCTTTCCGAGCAGTCGTGCTCGTATTCAAGATCCTTCCTAGGTGGTTCAGCCCTCGTTGACCTCTCTGGTTACGAATAGCAGGATCAAAATCAGCATTACAAGATTCATGTCTTGGTAAGACTCACGAATTCGATCAGACCGGCTTGGAATCGTGGCAATTCAAGTATCGAGCCCCTTATTCCCTGATACAATGGCAGAAGCTGCAGTGACCAATGGCAGCCTCGCTATCGATATTGCCGAAGCGGACAGGCTATCCAGACATCACCACAGCTTCAAGAGTTTGATGCGCATCTTCGATGTCAGCAGACAGCATCCCGTTCTGGCTTTTCCCGGAATCCCCGCCTGGATTGATCCGTGTGAAAATACCCAGCAGGCGAACAACGCACAAACCAACGTGGAGGTTACAGATATCCCTGATGCCGCCGTCGATCATGAGTGGCCTTCTATCATGGACTCTCCTGCTTGCTTGTCACGATACTGCTTATTTGGAAGCGAAGAAGACTTGAACTCATACGTTGACATTATCAGTAAGTTCACAAATCCCACAAATCTCGGTAGAAAGCTCACTCATGTGCGCGAATTTAGTTCCGGACATTGTTCAAACTGCGGCTCTGGTTGCCTTTCACTCCTTCCAGCCTTCTATGGTGGCCGATGACATCAAGAAGTTGTCCTCAGGGGCTTAGAAAGCCGGGGATCAACCTATGATGCAAGAGTTCAGGTTCAAAAGCCGTATGAAAGGCTACTATATTGATCTCAAGGCCGCTATGGAGTGTCGTAATGGCAACCTCAATATGCCGAGCCCAGCGGTAATCCTCGTGGCCTACGAGAAGAACCCAGGAATCCGGAGATTTGTCAACCAGATGGCATGCCTCTGTACCAGCCCAACCTTTATTCCAGCTCTGAACAAGCATATCTCCAAACCCACCTCGGAGATCGAAGGCAATAAAATATGCCCAGAGGCGTTTGTCCTGTCACATGCCATCCAAATCATGCTTTTTGCCCCTCAGAAGTGGGATTCAAAACGTGAATACTCCAGGGATCATAAATATGCCCATCGTTTTCCTTTCTGCAGCACCCTTGGTTTCGGTGTTGACCTGGACGGCGATATTCGTACTAGGCTCTCCGTGAAGGACATGCGTCGAGCAATTCTCCTGTTTTGCTATCTGGTCAAGCGACGAGATGGAAGTTCGGCTTGGATTGTCAACCCTACAAGCATCTCAGACCCCGAGGGTTCCAGTCACGTACAAAATAACGACGATTTAGCACCCGCTAAAGCGCTTGATACTATCGACATCAACACCCTTCTGTTAGAGTCTCTCACGACTACACGCCCAGGAAGAGCCGTTTCCCGACGCATCAGGGATTCGCATCAGTCCGAAATGTCTCCTCTTGATTTGAGGAACTTACGAAAAAAGGTTGGCTACTTTATGGGAGAGCATAACCAGCCAGATTTTGGTGCGCTTCTCACTCGCTCTCGCCAGACTGAGACCCAAATCACTTTTCAGCTTAGAAGACCAGGCATGACGCTTTTCATCCAACCTGAGGTTAATGGTACGTACTTCCTAGCGGCCCTGCTTGGAATTGTGTCCTTCCACTTGTGAGCCTTTTCACTGACCCGCCTAGCATCAGCCAAGCCCCAAGACATCCAGAATTCACCCACAATCGTCTTGGAGGAATGTAAATTTCGCGACGGAAGCGACCTCGACGTCGAACTGAGGGATGCAGACAAAAGCTCAAAGGCATCAGAGAAGATCCGTGGTCGAGCTGACGATGACTTTGACGAGCACCGGAAGGGTAACTTGCGGTGCTTCGACTTGCGTAACTTGAAGTTCCTCAACTCTGATCAACCTTGCTACTCAGCAACTCTCGATGCGGCAAAAATGGTGGTTGAGGCTCTCAAAGACACGAGAGCCAGACCTTTACCCGTCGCAAGCCACCAGAGCGAGGCTATGGCTGATGTTGTTGGTACATATGACATGGTTCGCGGGGATGGGAGCTGTGGCCTTAAGCTGCTCCACGACCAAACCAATACTGGGCCTTCTATGGTACCGCCCAGTACTCGGCTTGACTATGTTCACCTGGTTTGCTCCTACAGTCCGATCATGACCCGGGCGCTAGATTTGGCGATCAAGTACTGCAAAGACAATAAGGAGCGTCTTCTTGTGTATGTCGAAGACCCATGGATTCAGTGGTAAGTTGCACATAGATCGGCCCTGTTCTAGCATGCATGCTTGGAATTGTGTAGCCTGGTTGGGAATTTACTCACATCTCACAGCATTCTTGTTGGCCTGTTCGTCACTGCTGGATTCGATGTCTGTACTGTCCGCCCTTCGGATGGGACAGTTGAGACTGATCGTATCATTCGAGAATGGAACAACCCTCGGTCCGGCCTGGAGATCTTTGTCGCCAACATCTACACCAAGGTAATGGATGTGGACATGCAAAAGTGCTGCTCCAAAGCTCTGGTCTTGGATTGGCCTCTTGAACCACAGCGCCTTCTTCGGACTACAAACCACATGGTCAAGAACACACTGAACGGCAGAGAACCAGCAATTATTCACATGCTCAAACTTTGCTGGAGCTATCAAGATGAAGTCGAGAGGATTTGCTGTACCAAGTGGGCAATACAGCTATCGAACGACATCAACCTGCCCGAATGGATGACAGGTGCAGTCCGTGAGGTATGCATCTTTGAGATGATCAAAACTGCATGGCATCAGGGATTCAACCGTTATGCTTGGGTAATCATGCATGACAACAGATACCTAGATGATGAACTTTACCATATGTCACATCACGATGGTATCACCGGTCGCCTCGGTCATGTCTTCTCCATCGCCGCCAAGCTGATACTCAACTTCCCCGAGGACAGAAATTTCTGGGCTGATAACGAAGAGACTTTTGTCGCAGGGTGCTATCGCTTTCTAAATGTGATTGGTGATAGGCTTGACGAAAAACTGAGCTACACGCCAGACAGGTTGAGGGAAAACTGTCTCTTGGCATTCGAGCACGCGACGGACTTCATACACCAACAATTGAAACATGGGTGTATATATATTCATCACTATCACGAGTGGAACGAGCAGTTGCGTCTTGGTATCGAGGCCAGAGCTCGGGGCGAGGTAAGCGCTTGGTCTGATGAAGTGGAGAGTCTCGAGGAACAGGACCCTAACGTTGATGCTGAGGCGGCTGGAGATCAGGAGGCAGAGTAGGCTGACGAGACTGGCATGAAACGTAAGGCTGGCGATGATGGCGAGGGTAGCGCGAAGAAGCAGAAGACAAGCGCTGCATAGATTGAGTGAAGCATGCTGGATGCGGTTTTGGACGGGACAGATGAGATTGAGACAGACATCGGCGCACGATGGCGGCCGGGGATTTCATAATAACCCTTAGCAGGTGACTCAGAAGAGAGAACTCACCAATTTTAGAAGAATGAAATGAGAAGTTAGTGGCATTTTGCTGGTTTACTAATGAGGGAAGTGAAGCTGTTGAGGCTGGTCAATTGATCGTGCTGTGCTGTGAGTGAGAGCCCGTTCCAGTGGACGGCGGTAGTGCTGATCCGCTGAACATAGCCGCTGTGCCGTCATTGTCGGATGTGAACATGCACAAGATGCACCTGCGATTGGTTTATCACTTATACCGAATACCACCCCGTCAAACTCTAGACACAATACGTCTCTAGCAAACTTTACAATAACTCAACTCACAATCTTCATTCAGCGATAAGAGGCGAGTTTTATATAATTCCCCATTCTCAACCTCAAGCCAAGACCCGGAATCTCAAGCCGGCCCGAGCTTCAACCTGCACTAACAATTTCCCTCCGAACATCCGCGTCTTTCCGCCCTCTCTCACCTCTCGCACATCCGGCTTCCGCACGCACGCACGCTTCACCGAAAAAAGACCATTCACCGATCAACAGAGCATGCAACCCTCAGAACCAGAGCGCTACATCCGCAGCCGCATCGCCAACGCCTGCGACGGGTGCAAGTCCCGCAAAGTCAAGTGCGACGGCAAATTGCCCTGCAGCTACTGCACGCGTCGCCAGAAGCCCCACGACTGCCACTATTCTCCCCAGCGGCGGCGCAAGGCTCATTCTGTGCGCTCGCCGCAGACTTCGGAGCGGGCGCAGTCGACGAGACATACTACGCCTTCTACGCCTGCTGCTGAGCCTGTGGCGCAGATTGATAGAGATAATGGAGCACAGATTGATGCGGAGGATGAGACTGAGGTTCCGAGGGAGGCGAGGTTGGTGTGTGATGCGCAGGGGAAGTTAATCTTTGTGGGCGATTGTGCGCCTCTTTCTTTCTTCCAGAGCGTGAGACAACTCGTCACTACTCGAGTTGGACAGAATGCATTTGCGCCGCAGTCGAGTCGATATTCAGTCCTCGAAAATGCAACGGCGCATCAGTCGAGACGGATACCGGGTGATAACCGCACACCAATCGTTCATCCTGAAGATGTCCCCCTCGCAGTATCGAATTACTTATCCATAGCGACAGGACTCGTGGATCTCTTCGACAATCGCCGCCTTCAAGATGATCTTATCCTCTGGGCGAACATGGACCAGAAGCAAGACGACGCTACAACCATTGTCAACTTCCTCGTGCTCGCCATTGGCATGAAGATTAATGACGAGGAGCGATCACAGGACTACTTTGAGTATGCGCGTGATAAAGCATACTCCAATCTCACCGGCAATCTCAGCGTCTCAACAGTCCAGATGTTTACGCTCATCACACTCTACATGCTGTGTTCATGCCAGATCAACGGCGCGTTTCTCTTCTTTGGAACAGCGGTACGCGCAGGTTACTCGATTGGTATTCACAGAACAGAAGTAAACGCGCGTTTCGGTCCGGACATTCACAGGCAGCGCGATCGGCTATGGAAGAGTATACGTGTTGTTGATCTTTTTCTAAGTTCATCGATGGGGAGACCGCCTGCTACATCGGATGTTGATTGTACGGTTCCGTATCAAAGTCCTGATGAGAACCTTGAAGAACCGGTGGATTTGCTTAATGCGTCGGTGCAGATATTCTTGGTGCTTGAGGGTGTTGTGACGGAGATTTACTCACGACGTAAGGTCTCGCTGCAGCTCACGGAGGGGATATCACTTCAACTACGAGATTGGTCTTCACGGTGGTTAAAGCAGCTCAAGGATATAGTTGCGAATCCCGAGGCTCAGGATAGAGCTCAGGCGAGTGGTGCTTGTCAGATATTGGCGACGTATTATTACGCCGTCATGCTGGTGTCGAGGCCCTTCCTCATGTATGAGCTTTGTCGGCGGCTATCAGATGGTTCGGTCAACTCGAATGGGAGATCTGCTTTGACGAGTGGGAAGTCGAAACTTGCTGATGCTTGTATTGACGCGGCGAGTTTGATGGTTGATCCGATCCTGGATCTCATTCAGAAGGGGATTCTTGTTGGACATGTCCCCATTCTTGTGTAAGTCTCCATTGGCCTACAACTTACGACCATTGGTTCTAACTACGAGAGATCGTGGCTATTTGCTAGCTCTCTCGTTCTCGGAGTCGGCCTCCTCGGTGGATTCGGCCGCGTCCTAGAGAAATACACCCGCATGGCCATCCACGCCCTAGACCACTGCTCCAAGCACGACACCCACGCAGGCCAATACTCACTCATCGCCCAATCCCTTTTAACAACGGCCCTCGAGTATCTCGAAAAGCGGGAGCTCGCCGAACGTCAACGCCGCACCGAGAACTCAAGCCAGCTCTTTGGTCTCATACCCTCCGACACGATGGACTCATCGCCCACCTTCACAGGCCAGTCGATAACTACACCGTCCTCACGGGGCAGGGAATCACTAGACCGTACGTTCCTACAGCATAACGGGTTGCAGAATGTCGGATCACCGTTATTTGGCGACTTGGACTCGGCGTTTCTGGGTTTGAGCGAGAGTATGATGCAGACGCCTGATCCGAGCTATTGGGGCGGACCGATGGGGAACGAAGCTGACTCGGGGTCGGCTTTGAACTTGTTTGCGCTATTGGATGCGGGCGGTGGTATTGACTTGACGCATCATCTGTGAAACTTCAACGACGAATCGGTTGGTGCGGAAGTTCGGAGGTGTCAGATTTGGCGGGTATGTTCCTGATATCAGATCCGACGAGGATTGCGCGTCGTGGTGCAAAGATAAGATGATGGTTGGTCCTCGGTTAGGAAATGCCCTGTCTAGCCGAGTGATACGATGATATGCGGGATGTAATATGATAGATCATATGGCGCAATGCCTGGAAAAAGCCGTCATCATGCGAGTATGATGATATGCAAAAGTCCTGAGTTGAGGGACAACATTCAATGGACTTAGGGAGAATACAGGTGTATGAGGTGTAAAGGCATCACGAACAGCCAATCGCTTTGATCTACTGGTGCAATCAAACCCCTGGATAGACATAACTAGACTCTCAAAACATTAAAAAAAAAATCAGGCTTCATTAAAATCATTATCTATCTTTTCATCTAAGGCAAAGCCGTTCTCAAAATCTGCATAAACTTCCAAACATCCTCAAACCTCGTGTACAGCGGCACAGGCGCCACGCGGATAACACCAGGCTTCCTCTTATCACAAATCACCGCATTCTCCTCCAGCGCCGCACTAACATTATCCAACAATCCATCCTTCAACAACACACTAAGTTGCGTTCCCCTCTGCAGCGGATCCCTCGGTGTGATGATCCTGAACAGCTCCGCGTCTGAACTCTCAGCCAAGATCTGATCGAGCAGATACTCCGCGTAGGCTGTCAACACCAGAGCTTTCGAGCGCAAATCATGCATGGTTGTCTTGTTGAACACGGATAAAGCACCAGAGAGACTGGCGAGGTCGATGGCGGAGGGGTTGGAGAGCTGGAAGCCGCCTGCGCCTGCAGTGGGAATGAAGTTGTTGTCCATGTTGAAGCGCACGCTCTTGTCGCCGCCGTACCAGCCCATCAGGCGCGGACGGTAGGTAGCTTTGCCGGTGGCGTCGTTGAGCTCGACCTTGCCGTGGCGCTCGTGGACGTAAGCGCCTGCGATGGAGCCAGGGCCTGCGTTGATGTACTTGTACGTGCACCAGCATGCAAAGTCGACGTTCCAGTCGTGCAGCTTGAGCTCGACGTTTCCAGCGGCGTGGGCGAGATCCCAACCGACTACGATGCCTTTTGCTTGCGCGTAGGCTGTGATGCGGGGGATGTCGAATAGTTGGCCCGAGTAGTATTGGATACCAGGGAGGAGGAGAAGAGCGGTATCTTCAGCGTGCTCATCGATAGTTGAGAGGATCAAATCAGTTGTGATGATGTGATCCTCGTTAGGATGAATCTTAACCATGCTCTTCTCGGGATCAAGACCGTGCCAGACGACCTGGCTCTCAATAGCATAGTGATCACTAGGGAACGGCTTCCACTCCAGAATAACCTTGTGTCTCTTCTCATTCGGCTTATAAAAGCTCGCCATGAGGAGGTGCAAGTTTGCCGTGAGTGTGTTCATAATAACAATCTCATGCGGAGAAGCCCCAACAAGGTCCGCCGACTTGATAGCGCAGTCCTCAGCTAGATCCTGCCATGCTGGAAGCGGTGAGTTGTCAAGAGCGCTGAAATGTCCGTTCACACCGATAGAAGCCCATGTCTCAAGCTGAGCGTTGAGATACTCTCGCACAGCTTTTGGTTGAGCGCCGAGAGAGTTGCCGACGAAGTAGAGACATTGTTGATCCTCGGCTGCAGAGCCATTGCCGTTGCTGTGGCCATTGGTGCCATTAGCTGCACCAGCTGAACCAATTAGTCAAGATATTCATTGAGAGTATGAGTGTACTCACGAAGTGAACCGTCGAGGGCTTTCTTCTTGAGGGACTTCTTGGTCGGCAGGACAAACTCATCCCGAAGATGGCTTAGCTTATCCTGCGAGTCCAAATGGCGGGCAAAGTCAAGGGAGTTGGCATCGCTGGGGAACTTGGCAGCAGCACCGCTCCTCAGACGCTCGACGAATCCAGAAAGCTCCATTGCAAATTATGATAATCAAACAGGGTAAATTGATGTAATGAACTGATGTGCTTGAACTCGTATGATCCGTTTGTGAGTGGGATTGCGAAATCACTTTATGTTCCGTGAAGCCTCCACCAGAATTTTAGCGGAAGCACGGAACTTGGTTGGTCCATCCGCACATCCGCATCCCGACATCCGCATGGTGGACGTCATTATCCATTTTAGATATAGCGAGGTGCAG